ATTACGGTACTGCTTGTTGAGCAATGTAGGGGATTTGGAGCTGGCTGTTGGGAGGACTGTTCTAGAAACGTTGATGCATCAACTTTGTGTGAATCTCACCTCTGCAGTTGCAGATGAAGAACAATTCCAAGTCCTAGAAGTGAAGGTAAAGGGAGATAAAGGAAGATTGTGTTGTGACTTGTAAGCATATCTTGCTGTCCTAAGCACTAATATGGACGTAAAAATTGAACTTTTCATAAAGTCACACTAGTCAGATTTCTGTTGAGACCAAACACCCATCTCTGGGATTTTCCAGGCGTTCAGAGGCAAATCGCCAAGGTTCGGTGGGTAATCACTGGAAACGTCACAACCAATCACAAACTAGTAGGACTTCCTTGACATGGCTGGACAACCTGCCCAATCACGCAACAACCATAGATTTGCTTCCCTTCGACCAACCGAACCAGAAACAAAGCCACCACAAACCATCCACTTCATACCGAACCAGTCTCCCAAGAATCTGGTTCGCAGATCTCCCAGGCCTGGACCACACAACCACCACATCGAGCCCTGGCCTGGCCCCCCTCCCTCGTTAGCATGCGTCACAGCAAGCAGATGTCCAGTCAGGTGAGCAGCATTATCGTACTCAACCGTTCTCAAAGTCCACCCGTGACGCACCCTGAAAGCCCTGTATTGTTGGTGTGGGATGGGGGATGCTTGCCCCTCCCTTTCATATATTTTTGCAGCCGTTGTCTCGTCATGTCACCGTGAAATTCCCACCAGCACGCTTTCATGTTCGTGTGCGGCAACTTCTATGGCAGCTGTCCTTGATAGAATGTGAGGAAGCAGATCAGAATAGCTTGCTGTCCTCCTCCCGTGTCCTCATCTCGAGATTCTCACTTGACTAGCCTGTGCGCGGTCCGAAGCATGGCAGATTCGTTGGTTTTTCCAGTTTCGAAGTCGGCGCGCTCGCTCGTTTTCAGTCAACCAGCGTAGCACTCCCTTCGATATCAGATTCCTGTGTGCTACTTCGTGCTTGCTTACAAGCCGCCACGTACCATTCTGAGGCTATTACTGAGCTCGGGTTTGAAGATGTTGGAATATTTCACTCGCGGCTTGCATCAGACGGTAGACGAGCTCGGAGCTCCTTTCTTTCTCTCCGCCATGCAGCTGCTATCTTTCGTAACACTCCCTCTCTTCCTCCCGGCTGTCCTCCTTTCCACCATGGCCACTCTCCTCCTCCCTCTCGCCTCCTCATGGCCTCTCACCTACCTCCGACAGTTCCCGCTAATCGGCCTTCACGTTGACAGCATCGTCATTCTTTTAGGAAAGCTTTCCGATCAGAAATGGTCGAGCGACGCGACGACGATTTTCCGTAACCCGTCCATGTCTTCGCCGGCTGGCGAAAGCCTTCGCAACCGGCGCACGCGATCCTGGGACAAATTTCTAACAGATAACATCTCCGCTACCATTCGTCCTCCCCATTCAACGGGATCTGCTGTTAACCCCAACCCCTCTTCCTCCTCTTCCGTGGAACGCGCTTTGTGTCAGTCGCTCTGCTTGATGACGGACCTTCCGTCCACCTCTCCCAAGTACGGTTTCATTCGGAGCGTCGCGGAGGAGCTTCTGCGGAGCAAACGACAGCTCCAAGGATCTCAATCTCTCCGAAGCCAATCGTCGAGCGCTTCTCCAGGCCTTCTCAAGGACCATTTCCCGCCTGGAGAGCTCTTTGAAACGCGGTCAGGCGTCGGCGTTTGGTCTGACCCAGATTCTGGATCAGGTTTCCCGCGGCGCGGCTGCTGCTGCTGCAGTGGCCGTGGCTGCAAGCGGCGGAGGCGGCGGGATCAGCGGAAGCAGCGTTAGTGGGGAAGTTCGGCGGATGCCAGGCGGAAATGGCGCGGAGAATGTCCAGGCGGAGAAGCTGTCTCAGGAGCTGCTATGGCTGGTGCTGAAGCTTCAGGGTCGGAAGGGAATCGAACAAGTGGTGGAGGTTTGGGCGGAGGCTCGGGTTCTGTCTGAATTGGCAGTGAGATCTTCGCCACGTGTGCAGCTGAATCTTCTGAAGCTGACGTGTATTGTGCTGGATTTGGTCTCGTCCCACGTGGTGTCATGTGATGTGAAGTCGCAAGAGCACCTGCTGCTGCACTGGATGCCGTTGCTTTGTCAGTGTCCAAACACATCTGACGGCCTGCTCTCAACTGACAGTAACCGGCAGGTAAGTTTGCTTCCAGATGAGTGGCTTTGAGAAATTGATGATTGGAACGGCTCTCACCACCCCGTTTCCATGTTCCGATTCTTCCGTTTTCTTCTTGGCCCTGGAACTTTCCCGATTCGCTCCCTCCTTGTGCTTTCACGTACCCATCTTCCCGATCCCAGCTTGCAGCTGTCTGTGCTGTTATCCCCCTACATGCGCCTGAGTTTTATCTTATTGACCTTTAATTCGGTCCATATCAAACAGAGGATGGGGAGGACATGTGCACAATGATTACTCGCCTGCCTGATGCAATCCAGGAGCTGGTGCTTTGTTTAATCTTCTTTTTTCTCTCTTCTTTTTGACAGAGGACGGAGGAGGATATGTGCACGATGATTACTCGCTTGCCTCCTGCAAGCCAGGAGCTGGTGTACGTGGCATGGCTGCATGAGTACACGTGGTCAACCTCTGATTGGCCGAACCTGCATCCTGCCTTTCTCCTCTGGTGTGACACTTCCCGGACTAACCCTGACCAAGTTACCACTAACCACGGTGAAGCAAGCCAAGCCTTGCAGCAATCCCTTGTCAACGCGTAGTTGGATGGTAAACCTGATTTTTGGACTGACATGTAACATGTATGTAGTACCATGCGTTTGGAGGGCATGATGTGCATCAGCGTGTATGGCGTGTCCGTTTGTTACTGTAACATGTGATGTGAAGTGCCAGGGTCGACTCATTCTAGTCCATGATTTAGTGAATGTATCATGTACCAAAACATTGCTAGTTATTGAGATGATATTACACCAGCTAGGTGACATCCTGATTTATTGGTAAGAAGCACCCATCCAACTCAGCTAGTTGCAGAGGCCACTCAGACCATTGGTAGTTGGCATGGCATAAATCTTATGGTCCATGCATAAGCAGTCGGGCTGGAAATGTGGTAACACAGTTACATAGACGTGGATGGGAGGATCAGCCTCCAAAAGGCATGGGCGAGGGAGCGGAAGCTGGGGCCATGGAGATTGGGTCATCTGGGTCCTCTGATGGTTTGGAGCATGGGGAAGAAGAGACAGGAAATCTATGCAGCGAAGATGGTAGTTCGAAGGCCTCAGAAGCTGGTGCCATGGGGATCGGGTCATATGGGTCCTATGCTATGGTGAAGCACGGAGAGAAAGCGATGCAGGGAAGGGAGAGAAAGTCAGGGGTAAATTCATGATAATTACCAGGCTATGACAAAATAGGTTACAACACGGGGTAGGCTGTACAGGTTTTTCTGATGCCATGCTACTGTGACAACACATCGATCTGAAGTAAATACCAGGTCGGCTCTCATGCCATGCTCTCACAACGTAAATTCCGGAAAATTGCACTTCACAACCGCTGCACAGAGGTCTAGGTTACTGTACATACCGATGTTGTTGTGGTGTGGAGTACAGTGATCAGAGAGTACAGAAAAGAGAGAGTAAAGTCACGAGAGCGAGTACAATAAACATACCAATATCGTTGTGCACATAAAAGCTGGCAGCGACGATTACATAGCTTAGCACCAGCATCGTGCCCTTGAAATAATTGCTCTCTCCCTCCTGCAACCGGGGCAGACGAAAGGCACGGCATGGAGGGGAGTCGGGCAGTTGAAAGGGATTGCATGGAGGGAAGTTGGGCAGACGAAACAACAGGGCATGTAGGAAAATGGCATCTCAATCAAGCTGTCTCAGACCAGTGGTTCAAGCAACATTGACCCAACTGGCACAACAGAAGCCCACCTGAATCGGCATTGACCCACCTGGGGCAACAGAAACCCATCTGAAGCGACAGAAAACCACCTGAAGCGACAGAAACCCACCTGAAGCAACCGAGACTGACCTGAAGCAGGGGGGCAACGACAAGCACTGTCATGCAGAGCGTGGCTGTTTCAAAGAGATGGAAGTTGAGATCCATTGGCACTCCCATGGCCCACCCCACCACCACACACAAGGGGATCTGCAAGCAAGGGAGGTGGAAGAGAAGGGAGGGAGGTGGGGAGGTGGGGAGGTGGGGAGGTGGGGAGGTGGGGAGTTGTGGGGAGGGAGATGGGATGGGAGTGGCATAATTGTAGCAGCAGCCCTTCATTCCATGCAGAAGCAGCATCGGTGGTGGGTTAATTAGTAACCTGCAGCAAACATGGCAACTTCTGGGGCGACTCAAAGGATCTCACAGGGAACACGGTGAATGTTTAGGCGTCTTCAAGAGTAATCGTGACTCATGGCGAACATGGTGAATTTCAGACGACTCGAGAATGACTCACAGCAAACATGGCGATTTGAGTGGATGAGCCGATGGCAACCCCGAGGGAGATATCCTGCAGATTGTGATTGTAGTGAAGGTAGAGGATGGGGAAACACAAGGGAATTAAGTAGAGAGCGATGGATAAAGATAACGTTTTTGGAACGAGGAATTTGAAAAACACACGCACACACAAATTTAGTCCTTGAAACGAGCTTCTAGACGTCTCAAAACCCACTCCCTTCAGCTTTGCCTTCACTACGTCCTCTCTCCTCCGACAAACCCTTCTTCCCTCCCCCACCATTCCACCTCTCTCCTGCCACTGCCACTTCTCTGCTTCTCACCACTCACACCCCTCAAAACCCCCTGCTTACCAATTGCACCCTTCCACACCACTTTATCCCCCCACTCCCGCGCACCACTTTATCCCTGGCAGCGAACATGATGGCTGAGGCATGCGCGGCTGCACATTTGAGTCGACTCAAAGGTCAACAATGACAAACAACCTCCCTCCCCCCCCCCCCCCCCCCCCCCCCAACCCCCCCTCCCCCAACCACATTTCACCACTTTATCGCCCCACTGGCACGCACCACTTTATCCTGGCGAACGTGATGGCTGATGCATGCTCAGCAGCGTTCCCCACGATGGGCAGGATGATGACGCTGATGAACGCCAATGGAATATCCTTCGCGTCCGCTGCTCCCTGAAAAATAGAGAGGAGAGTGCGGAGGAGTACGAGGGAGTGGAGCAGAGTGCGGCAGAGGAGTGGAAAACAGTGGGGGGGGGGGGGGCAGGAAGAGGGGAAGTGGAGAGGGTGGGGCAAGAGCACAGCAGCATTCCCCACAATGGGGATGAACGCCACTGGGATGTCCCACGCGTCCGCTGCTCCCTGATGGGGGGGGGAGACAGAGAGGGAGCAGTATACGGGTCAGTGTGGTGTGGGTCAACGCGGGTCAGTGTGGTGTGGGTCAACGCGGGTCAGTGTGGTGTGGGTCAACGCGGGTCAGTGTGGGAGCAAAGGAGGCAGGGGAGCAGTGCTCGGTACAGTGTACCTAGGTATAGAGGCCATCTCAAATTACATACAAGGTACCTCATCACGGAATACCTCGATAGCGTCTACAAGGTATTTGGAGAGAATGAAGATAAATATTGTGATGACGCCCATCCAGACAATCGCTCCCCAGAAGCCCAGCGCCTGCTCCTCGTCGTCATCATCGTCCCCATCCCCTCCGTCCTGCGAAGAGGGAGTGGAGAGAGGAAAGAGAGGAACAAGAGGAAGGAGACAAAGTCGAGGAGGAAGGAGGGGTCAGGGAAGACTCAATTGCTCCCCAGAGGCCCAACACCTGCTCATCATCACCATCCTCATCATCATCACCATCCTCATCATCATCACCATCCTCTCCCTCCTGGCGCGAGGGAGAGGAAAGAGAGGAAAGGGAAGATGAGGAGGAGGGAGGGGCCAGGGAAGCCTTGATCATTTCCCAGAAGCCCAGCCGGCACCTGGTCCAGGTTTCCAGCACATCGCGCATTACTCACACCGTCGTAAGTGAGAGTGCGTCTTGAGTTGGAGGTAGAGAGAGGTAGCAGGCGTAGGCCACGAGCATCATGACGCTGCTGAAGCCACACCAGTACACCGACTCACACTCTCAGGGTATACGCGTGTAGCGCACTGACATGTCACACACGACTCACATCGTCCAATAAGTGCGTTTTAACCGAAAGTAGAGGTTCGACGCCATGAGTGAGCCGAGGTCCCCTCCGCGAGAGTTAATGAACGCTTACGAATCCAGCTCCCTGACGTCTGATGTGGCTGCCTTTATCCACGGAGAAAAACCTAGAAAACTAGTACGAGTATTGCAGCTCAATTTGGATAGACTTCCGAGCCGCCTGCTACTTTCGCGGAGCTGCTTTAGTGAGCTTCCGACACTAGAGTATTTCCTGCGCGATAGGACCTGCTAGCAAAAAAAAAAAAATGTGGCCGAGCAATGAGATCGGTCAGCGAGGCGGCTGAGCAATCACATGCTGCTCTTCCGCACCCTCTAACCCTGTTATCGCAAGGACCAAACGATCAATGCTGGATTCCCTTACAACAGAAGGAAAGCCGAAACTCGATGGGAAAAGGTTGTCGTAGAATGCTGGCCAAGGAAAGGAAAGGAGTAATCACGGGCTGACGGATGGATGGAAACTGATGAGTGGAGAGGGAGGGATTTAGTCGCTTCCGTGATAGGCGGTGAATCGCGAAGGGCGTGTTTGCTAAGAAGAAATTTCACGTTCGAGACCCCGCGGGGCTTTTCTTCATTGTCAACATGAGGGTGTGGAATGGTTAAAACGGTGAGAAGGATCAAAAGGGCTTGAAATCGTTTATATTGTGAACACTCCCTTTCGATGGTTTTTCCGCAACACCTGACCCCAACATGGGCTACGGGAAAGTCCCCCCCATGTGCACAAGACTTTCGAAAGTTGGTGGGAATCTCTGCGGGAAAGGGAACCCCGCCAAACTTGTACTGCTCACTCATTGGTCCTCAGACCCCGCCCGAGAAATCCCCAAGGATCAGAGGTTCTAGAGTCAACCCGGAGGACGTGTCAACAGTAGTTTCGAATGACTCCTAGCATGACAACTCATTTCTGTGCAATTCTTCTGCTGTTCCAACACTATACACCCTTCCGGGTCTGGTATAAGGGGTACGTTTTATCGCACCTCCCATACATGACCACCGTGTCAGATACATACAACCACCAGTTCATTCAAACCTCATTGTGTCAGATAATTTCCCGCCAACTCTGCTATACTCCGCACAAGATCACTACCACACAATTCGACCTGTTTCTAGCAGGACCATATTCGTTTATATACTTTAAGGTTATAAGCATTGCGGGATATGCTTCTTCAAGGCAAATTTGCCATGCATGTGTTCCCCGATAGAAACAGGTCGAAATTCGTCGAAGCATGCTTTCCTGAGGCTCTCTGGTTCGCCATGCATGCTATGAGGACGAGGCGAAGCCGTCATGCGTGCGTTCGTTAAAGGAACAGGTCGAGACGTATGCTATTCATTCCGTTTTGGAATTGGTATAATTCGCCATGCTTGCATTCGTGACGTTACAGGGTGAACTTCGACATCCGTGCAACAAGGCAAGATTCCTCATCTATGCGGTCTACAACGATCCGTCTTGTCATCAGAAACTTAGCATTTCAAACAAGTTTCTTCGCGACACAATGGTGTTGTAGATCCAGATAAACCAGATTAACATCTCTGAGGATCCAGATCCAGGTGCGTTCCATGGTCCTTAGCTCTGGTTTGTGTGCGTTCCATGGTCCTTAGCTCTGGTTTGTGTGCGTTCCATGGTCCTTAGCTCTGGTTTGGGTGCTGTCCATGGTCCTTAGCTCTCGTTTGAGTGCTGTCCATGGTCCTTAGCTCTCGTTTGAGTGCTGTCCATGGTCCTTAGCTCTCGTTTGAGTGCTGTCCATGGTCCTTAGTATGAAAATGGTAGCTAGAAGGACAGCTGGTTCCGGAGAGGTAGAGGAGAGAGGTAGAGCGAGAGGTGCCGCGGCTCTGAGGTTATGGCTGTGAGGCATGCGGTGTTTCTGATCCTCATGCGGTGTTTGGGATCCTGAGCAGTGCTTGTGTTAAAAAAAAAACCCTTTGGGGATCAGAAACACTGCTTGGGATCAGAAACACTGCTTGGATCAGAAACACTGCTTGGATCAGAAACACTGCTTGGATCAGAAACACTGCTTGGATCAGAAACACTGCTTGGATCAGAAACACTGCTTGGGATCAGAAACACCGCTTGGGATCAGAAACACTGCTTGGGATCAGAAACACTGCTTGGGATCAGAAACACTGCTTGGGATCAGAAACACTGCTTGGGATCAGAAACACTGCTTGGGATCAGAAGCATTGCTTGTGCGTCAGAAACATCGCTTAGGGTTGGGTCATTGTTTCAGGATTCGATCGTATGTGGTGTTTCCCGTTTCTTAGGTGGTTCCATGATGTTGCCGGTTCCTTGTGGTGTTTCCTATAATTATGCGGTGTTTCCGATCCCTTGTGTGATATCTTCTTTCTCACCCCCGACGTAGCACGGTAATGAAATTGGAGGAGCTGGTGAAAGCGGGTACTAATGAGGAGGAGAGAATGGAAGCCTTGGAGGGGATGAACAGCGCTCTGAGGGAAGAGTTGCAAGAGGCGCTTGATAAAATTGAGACGCAAAGGGGCCAATGCGAGGTAGCGTAGGTGGAGAGGAGACGTTCTTGCATGTTTTTTTGTTTGGATAATTTTTACAAGTGCAATTGCTGGTTTGTCTCCTCGTGTTTGCGCTAGTGAGAAATTGCAGTCGAATAGGCAAGGGAGAATTCACAAAGACTTTTCATTTTGGAAGAATCCACTCTAAATGCAGTGAGCAGGAGCTAGGAGAAAGCAACAGAGAGCAAGTCATGGCAAGGCAAGAGGCCAAGAGAAGCGGAAAACAAAGTATTGTAAGAGAAAGGGAGCAAACGGGGAAACGGACCAAGGAGTGAGGGTAAGTTCCGCTGACAGGGACGGGGCCAGTTTTCCCATCACTGCATCTCACCGCACGTCTCCTCTCCTCTCTGCTTGTCCCTTTGCAGGTTGAGAGGTTCGAGCAGGTAGAGGAGCGCAGAATGACGGAGCAGGTGGAAGAGCGCAGAATGGCGGAGCAGGTGGAGGAGCGCACGGTGAGGAGCAAGAATGCTCCAGGACAAGAAATCAGAACTTCGATACAGAATAAACAATGCTGGGCAATGAATCAACACTGCTCATCCTCGCCATCATCCCGCCTGTACGTCCCAAGGCTTGCTGTTGCCACTACTGCTGTTCCATTCACTGCTGCTTCTTACACCGTTTCAGCATGCTACACCGTCACTGGTGTGTGTTGCGCCTCCACATACATGCATCAAGATTAGAATTCTACCCACAAATGCGCCTTCATTTGAGTCATAGTTGTTCTCGACGTCTGTTCCATCTGCTTTCCGTTCTCCATTTTAGGTATTGCTCACTTTGCCGCTCCAATCTCCTCCTTGCCCTCTTGTCTCTTCCAGGTGATAAGCAATCAGTGAAAGCTTTCGCCTGCTAAGGTGCTCAAGCCATGGCAGACGAAGGATGCGCCTGTGAAACGGCTATGGTAAGTCACATCCTTTCCAAGTCATCGTTGATTTGCAGGTTTTGTATCATCAAGCGAGAGGTGAGACTCATTGCTTTGGCAAGCAAAAGTTTTGCTTTCCCCTTCTCCTCTCTTGCCCTCTCTTTCCCCTTTTCCAGGACTTTTTCAGGTGTATTGCTAACCCACCCATCCCATTACAACCGTCCTTCTCGCCCCATCATATCTCATCCCATCCCATCCCATTCATCTCATCCCATCGACCCCATCATCCCTTTTCATCCCATCCCATCCCATCCCATCCCATCCTATCCCATCCCATCCCTTCCCATCCCATCCCAACCCATCCCATCCCATCCCATCACATCCCATCCCAACCCACCACACCTCATCTCACCTCACCTCACCCCACCTCACCTCACTGCTCCTCACCTCACCTCATCTCCTCTCATCCCATCCCATCCCATCCCATCTCATCAAATACCACCCCACTCCACCCACCACACTCCATCCCATCCCATCTCACCTCACTTTGCATCATCTCATCCCACCTCATCTCATCTCACCTCACCCCACCTCATCCCATCCATTCCCATCCCTTCCCACTTCACCTCATCCCACCTCACCCCACTTCACCTCATGTCACCTCACCTCACCCCATCACACCTCACCTCACCTCACCTCACCTCACCACGCCTCACCTCATTGCATCTCACCTGATCTCACCTCATCTCATTTCATCTCATCTCATCTCATCTCATCTCATGTCATCTCATCTCATCTCATCTCATCTCATCCCATCCCATCCCATCCCATCCCATCTCATCTCATCTCATCTCATCTCATCTCATCTCATCTCATCTCATCTCATCTCATCTCATCTCATCCCATCCCATCCCATCCCATCCCATCCCATCCCATCCCATCCCATCCCATCCCATCCCATCCCATCCCATCCCATCGCATCGCATCGCATCGCATCGCATCGCATCGCATCTCATCTCATCTCATCTCATCTCATCTCATCTCATCTCATCTCTCATCCTCCTCGTGTCCTCCCCAAGCTTAGTCACTTTCCTCCTTGGCCGATCCCGTGCGGACAACCGACATTGTATGAGCCCCAGCACATAATTTATCGGATATTTTGTTTCTCATATACCAACACTGTTGCAACATGCGCTGCAACATGCACCTCTGCTGTTGTAACATATTGTTCTCCCAAGGACTGTGGATGTCATACCAGCCTGGTGCATCATGCCATACCAGCCTGTTGCATCATGTATACCAGCCTGTTGCATCATGCCATACCAGCCTCTTGCATCATGCCATACCAGCCTGTTGCATCAAGCCATACCAGCCTGTTGCATCATGCCATACCAGCCTGTTGCATCATGCATACCAGCCTGTTGCATCATGCCTACCAGCCTGTTGCATCATGCCATACCAGCCTGTTGCATCATGCCATACCAGCCTGTTGCATCATGCCATACCAGCCTGGTGCATCATGCCATACCAGCCTGTTGCATCATGCATACCAGCCTGTTGCATCATGCCTACCAGCCTGTTGCATCATGCCATACCAGCCTGTTGCATCAAGCCATACCAGCCTGTTGCATCATGCCATACCAGCCTGTTGCATCATGCCATACCAGCCTGTTGCATCATGCCATACCAGCCTGTTGCATCATGCCATACCAGCCTGTTGCATCATGCCATACCAGCCTGGTGCATCATGCCATACCAGCCTGGTGCATCATGCATACCAGCCTGTTGCATCATGCCTACCAGCCTGTTGCATCATGCCATACCAGCCTGTTGCATCAAGCCATACCAGCCTGTTGCATCATGCCATACCAGCCTGTTGCATCATGCCATACCAGCCTGTTGCATCATGCCATACCAGCCTGGTGCATCATACCATACCAGCCTGGTGCATCATGCATACCAGCCTGTTGCATCATGCATACCAGCCTGTTGTATCATGCCATACCAGCCTGTTGCATCATGCCTACCAGCCTGTTGCATCATGCATACCAGCCTGGTGCATCATGCATACCAGCCTGGTGCATCATGCACACCAGCCTGTTGCATCATGCCATACCAGCCTGTTGCATCATGCCATACCAGCCTGTTGCATCATGCCTACCAGCCTGTTGCATCATGCCATACCAGCCTGTTGCATCATGCCATACCAGCCTGTTGCATCATGCCATACCAGCCTGTTGCATCATGCCATACCAGCCTGTTGCATCATGCCTACCAGCCTGTTGCATCATGCATACCAGCCTGGTGCATCATGCATACCAGCCTGGTGCATCATGCATACCAGCCTGTTGCATCATGCCATACCAGCCTGTTGCATCATGCCTACCAGCCTGTTGCATCATGCCATACCAGCCTGTTGCATCATGCATACCAGCCTGTTGCATCATGCCATACCAGCCTGTTGCATCAAGCCATACCAGCCTGTTGCATCATGCCATACCAGCCTGTTGCATCAAGCCATACCAGCCTGTTGCATCATGCCATACCAGCCTGTTGCATCATGCCATACCAGCCTGGTGCATCATGCCATACCAGCCTGTTGCATCATGCCATACCAGCCTGTTGCATCATGCCTACCAGCCTGTTGCATCATGCATACCAGCCTGTTGCATCATGCCATACCAGCCTGGTGCATCATGCATACCAGCCTGTTGCATCATGCCATACCAGCCTGTTGCATCAAGCCATACCAGCCTGTTGCATCATGCCTACCAGCCTGTTGCATCATGCCATACCAGCCTGTTGCATCAAGCCATACCAGCCTGGTGCATCATGCCATACCAGCCTGTTGCATCATGCCTACCAGCCTGTTGCATCATGCCATACCAGCCTGTTGCATCATGCCTACCAGCCTGTTGCATCATGCCATACCAGCCTGTTGCATCACTCCTACCAGCCTGTTGCTAAGTCTTGTTTCAATTTCCCTTTTGACAACGTTACCATTGCAGAAGTCACCACCTCATGTTTGCCCTGCAGAATCCATCATCTCCTCTTCCCTCTCCTCACATCCTCCTCTGCCAACGCTTCTACTTTTCCCTTCATCCCTCCCACCATTTCTCGCCCTCTCTTACCCTCTTTCCATCACCTCTATGAGGTATGCTCAGCAATGAATATGTTGCCGTTTTCAGCATGAGCCATATTTGCCTTATCTGTTTGTTTTTTTTGTGTGTGTGTGTGTGTGTTTTTTTTTTTTTTTTCTCTTCAAGAGCAACCTAGCAATGAGTGCATTGCCATTCTCAGAAGCATGCACCATCTTTGCCTCCCTCACCATCCTGGGGGTCCTTCTTATGCTTTTGTGTGTATGCTACATAATAACCTGTTGTTTTCCCGTTGCCTCCGGTCATATTCCGTCTTTGTCTTTCTTCACTTCCAATGCTTCTCCCTTTCGGCCTTTATCGTTCCTGCCCCATCCCGCTCCCTCCAACACCCTCTGACCCTCTTGTCCACGACAATTGGCTGCAATATTAAAAACACCTTTGGCTACAATTGGAGATCAAGAGCCAATGTGTTCATCATCTCCTCCATTGAGTAAGCTCTTTTCCAAGTATTAAAAGATGTCTTGATTGGACTACACAATGTTTATAAGGTTGGTGGCTTGCTCAAAATCACCTTTCACATTGTCGAAGAGTTCATCACTTATATACTTGCACGTCATAAGAGTTCAACATAATGGGTTGTTCACGCTTTTTTCCATAATCGGTTGCAGATGATTTTTCCAAGCCCACATTTTCCAGCATACTCTCCGCTGTCCCTTGTGAGTTTGGTGCTTTACTCTAGGCAGCTTTACAGTCGGGTAAGAGGGCGAGTGTGTGTGGTTGGGGAGGGAGGAGGAAGGTGGGGTGAGGAGGGGGTGGGGGTGGGGGTGGGAGGATGGGTGGGTGTGCGTGTGTGCGAACGTGCATGTGTATGTGTAAGCAACTGCATACGTGGGTGTGGGATTGAGGAGCTATGTTTGGTAAACTGAGGGACTCTTTCGGTGCTACACCTCGGTGCGAGCAGCAAAGACCTGCTTCACCATTTGCTGCTTCTGCACCTCCCATCCGCCTCGGTTTGCCTCATCACCATGTGCCACGCTGCCTGCACCTCAGCTTCTCCTCCTGCACCTCTGCTTCTCTTCCTGCACCTCAGCTTCTCCACCTGCACCCCAACTTCCCCACTCCTCTAGCCATCTCTTCTTCTCCATATGTTGCACTAATATGCCCTGGATACCTTGTTTCCTGCCTTTTTCTTCGACTTTTCTGGGATGTAACAGTCCGATCTTGTGTGCATTCGCCGTTATTTTTGTGTTTTCTAAGTTCTACTGCTGTTGGGTCTCCTATTCTCACACTTACAAAAGAATTGAAGTCAAAGGCTGCTAAGGGTTGTACGGTATTGGAGGCGTTGGATTGAAAAAGAGCGGCAAGTGAAACGTGACGCACAGGTCCATTGCGTCAGTTCATGTTATGCAGCAGAATCAATCTTTGCACACAAGCTGATCCTACCAAGAATGTAACACATTTTCCGCATGTGGAGCCTCATTTGTTTTTACTCTATCAAGTGCCATTATGATTATGAAAAATGAACAGTATACAGGAGGCTAGTGAATGTAAGTCCAGACTGAAGCATTCGAGGATGCTTTAATTGCGTCACCCCACCGTGGTTGAAAACGCTGCTGTGCACTGGAGTACGATACGATGCTCAGGACATTTCGCTGCTGCCCTACTGCCCTAATGTGACACATACATTTGCCCCTAGGCCTTTGAAACTCTTTACTAGCACACTCGTTCAGATCCAAGGAGGGAAGTGACAAGTCCCACTCCTACGTTGAACCCTCCACCCTGACCTTTAGCGTTAATCCCGCAAATGTCCTAACTACCTTACCTGCCCGGTTGTTTTCCGAGTATGACCTATCGTCACCTGATGCTTCGTCGCTTGCTCTTCGTACTGACCTTGGGCTCTTGCCCCCCTCCAACCACACACTCCGCTTCCCGTCCCGTCCCGACCGAGTCCCCGTTTCTCTGTTCCTCCATGCCTCCCACGGTCCCACCTCACCTCAACCACATCTTCGAGCCTTCCCTACAACGGAACCCCATCCACGCACCTTGTTTCGAGATTGGCACGTGGAGCCGCCTTTATGATTGGATAAAGGCGTTTGGTGTCTTTATGTTTTCCGGTTGTCAGTTGTGTGGAATAGTGTCGGCCCTGTTGTTATGGGACTGTCCTTCCGTTCGCGCCTGACGTTAGGTTATTGCTTAGCTGGCGAGTAATATTTATCGCAAGGCGTAAGTTTTATCGTACGACTAGAATTACTGGATACGTAGTCGTCGTTGTGCTACGATATATAGGATGCAGAGGCTGGAACCGTGGTAGTTTAAGTTAAGTTATAATAGAGCCGCGATGTCTCGAGTCGTAACTGACGGAGACTTGAGTCCGCAGCGCCATTTTCCGCGAAACCGCGGACCTGCTTACGTGGCCGCTCCTCGCGGAATCCAATACCCGGAGGATTTAATATCCCCGACCAACGCGGGTGTCGCACCCGGCCGAGCGGGCGAACATGTGCGACGGCCAGCCGGTCGCACGCCGATTCGCACGGTGCAGGAGGGCCATCAGCTTACGGAAGGCGACGATTTCGCAGACAACCGAGGCGGCGGCCAGAGGAGAATAACAATCCCCGCCGGGGGTGGCGGCGGGGGAGGCGGCGGATATCACGGAAGCACGTCGCCGCTGCGCAATGCCATACATGGGCGGTCCGAGAGCCACTCGGGGGAGTCGGGGGAGCGGGGAGGCCGCGCGGAGCACGCGGGGGACCTTCAGCCGCGGCGAGCGGCGAGCTCCAACGAGGCGGGGTACGGCCGGCCGGCCGCGCTTCGCCTGGACGCCGACATGATCAAGGCCGGCAGGAAGGTCAGTCGCCGGCGCGCGTAGAAAGGCCCGTGTTTGCGGCGAGTCGAAAGCAGGCGTCGTTATGATTAAGGCGGCCGGGTAGGTCGGTCAGTTGGCGTTGGTGCTGGTGTTTGCGGGTTCCTGCTTCTGCGTTTGCTTTTACTTTCGTTTCTTGTTACCGCTGTTTGTATGCCTTGGCCTTCTCATGCAATTATGTTGTCCGGGGATGTTTTTTTTTTTTTTTTTTTTTTTTTTTTTTGGAATTAAGTCATCGTTGGTATCAAACGCTAACGCCTGCTTACAGGTGTCCGTCTCCTTGCCTTTTCGCTTGACGCACGCGGCTTTCCCTATCACCGGGCCCATCACGGGTTTTCTGTCCGTCTCATCCGCCAGTCATTATTCGTTTGGGGTGCCTCAAAATCGCTTTCGTGTCTTTATCACTCCTCTTATCGCGCCCATTTACCCTAACCCTTGTGATCTTTCGCCCGTGGTTGTGCGTTTGTTCATCTCGGACTGTAAAGTCACATGGTTGTGTGCCTTTCGCCATTGCAGCCGCGGCGTGTGATTCTATTCGATAGGACATACACCCAGCAATCCATTAGCTTTCGACACGGTCTATCCAATGGTCCATCCATTAGCATTTTTCGTTCAGATGAGATGATTTTTCAGTCCATCCAATAGTCGTTTCGAAACAGCTCCGCCCTTCTCTCTTGGTCGGCCAATTGTGATTGCGCGAACCCTAATTCTGCGCCGCTTTTCATGGCTCGCCGTGGCGCTCTATTCCGCGATCCGCTGGTGCAACCCTAGCGTCCGTTATGTTGCTCCCACTCGCATTCTCTCTCTCTCTCTCCTTGGTCAGCCCTCTCCCCTCGCCATGTTCCCCCTCCCCCATTCCGCCTCCCGTTCCCTTCTCATTCCCCTGCGCTTATGTGCAACTCACTCCTCCGCTTATTCCACCCGTCTGCCTAATCCCTCCCCCCTGCGCCCGTCTCCTCTCCCCTCCGCCAATGTTCTCCGCCCTGCGCCCATCCCCTGCGCGCGCCAGGACTCGCTGAGTCCCCGCCGCATGGGAAAGGTCGCCACGCCCTCCGCGCAGCCCAGCGGCGCCGCTGCCCGCGCAGGGGGGGGCGGCGGGGGGCCCGGGGGCGGAGGCATCGGGGGAAGCTTCCAGGCGTCGCGGGGGGAGGCGGAGCACATGCGGCGGGTGGCGGAGCTGATGGAGGCGGTGCGGGAGAACGACGTTGACCTGGTCAACGTGGTCCTGCAGGAGGCACCGTCCCGCACCGCGCTGCTCAACACTGTTTATCCAGGTAGAACCCGTCCAGGTGTGTCTGTGGCCGTCCAGGTATATCTGTGTTCGTTCAGTTCAGGTAAAAGTTCTTTTCCCTGTCAGAATCCACTCATCAACGAACATTGACGCACACACCACTGCTCAAGGCGACCTTTACACAACCACCCCCCTCCTCCTCCTCCTCCTCCTCCTCCCCGTCCCTCACCCACCCATCCCCTCTTCGTTTTCCTCCCCCATCCGCTCTCTCTGTAGGAGCTGATGATCGCGCGGGCCTGCACGAGGCGGTGTGCATGTGAACCCCGCTGCCACTGCTAATCTCCTCTCCCCATAAAACCCCCTCAAACTGTCCCCAGCTCCTTCCCCCCGTTTTCTCGACTTTCCCTCCGCCTAAGCAGCCTCGCAGCGCACGGCCCTGCACGAGGCGGTGGTGGCGTGCAGCACGCAGGGGCTCTTGCTCCGTTGCAACACCCCCCCACGCTCCTCACCCCCACCTTCTCCCCCTCCCCCCCCTTCTTCTCCCCCACCAGCCTCTCAGCGCACGGCGCTGCACGAGGCCGTGGTGGCGTGCAGCACGGAGGGGCTCTTATTCCTCTGCCCCCCCCCACCTCTCAACCCCACCCACACCATACCGCTCACCCCCACCCATACCACTCTTTTCTCTCCCTTCCTTCCCCCCCTATTCAACCCCTCACCCTCCTCCTCCCTTCTTCTGAACCAGCCTCGCAGCGCACGGCGCTGCACGAGGCCGTGGTGGCGTCAAGCACGGAGGCAGCGGGCGCGCTCCTTGAGTGGGGCGCTGACCCTGACGGCGGGCAGTCCGCGCAGGTGAGGGTGTGTGAGAGAGCAGCAACGTGAGCAGAAGCATAACCAGCAGCATAACCAGCAGCATAAGCAGCAGCACAAGCAGCAGCAGCATGGGTGGGAGCAGCATGGCAGCAGTGTGAGATATGGTGACGCTGCTGCTGTCGCTCGCTCCCCTGATGTGCCCCTCACTGCTGCTCATACTTTCCGCTCATCTCGTCCCCTCCCTTCCCTCCTGACCGCACAGATGCCGCCCATCATGTACGCGGTGCAGACGGGCAACGACAAGATGGTCACGCTGCTGCTATCGCACGGGGCGGACATCAACGCACAGGACGCCAAGCAGTACACCGCGCTGCACTACGCCTGCGCTGCCGGCCACAGGTACGGTACGGTACTGCTGTTCACAGGTGCGCTGAGAGTGTGCTGTGAGGCGAGTTGGATCAGACGAGAACCCACCCAGGTGTGTTGCTGCTCCTCACGGGGCGGACATCAACGCGCAGGACGCCAAGCAGTACACCGCGCTGCACTGCGCTTGTGCTGCTGGCCACAGGTACAGTCATGGCACACAGGCACAGGCGTGTTGAGAGGCACATGTGTGTTGGGAGTGTGGTGTGAGGCTCAGGTGCAATCATGCGGCACGTGTGTGTGGGCAGTAGGCCTCTGAGCCATCAACGCGCAGGACGCCAAGCAGTACACCGCGCTGCACTACGCCTGTGCTGCTGAGGCACAGGTGCGGGGCTGGGGCACAGGTGCGGGGCTGGGGCACAGGTGCGGTGCAGGGCTGGGGCACAGGTGTTTCCCATCCCGTCCCAGACACCTCTCTCCTCTCAGCAGCACAACGAAGCTCCTATTAGTCAGCGCAGCGAGCATATGATCAGAACTTCAAAGCGATGTAGCTGCCTCAACTGCTCCTCCCCCCATCCCTTTCTCACCTTTATCCTCTCTGCGCTCTCTCGCCCCAGGGGCATAATTACCACCAACGCCACTGCTCCTCTTCCTTTCCCCCCGCCCCTTCCCCCTCCCCCGACCCCCCTCCCCCACCGCCCCCGTTCCCTCCCCCAGGGGCATAATCAAGCTGCTACTAGTAGCGGGCGCCAACATGTATGCGCGCAACCGCGACGGGCTCTACCCGCAGCAGCTGGCGTCAACGGACCGCATCCGCACGCTCTTCCGCAAGCTGCACGAGTACCACCAGCGCCATGGGCCCTCGTCTCCCCCTCTCCCCCCGTCCCCTTTCCCCTCCCCCAGCAGAGGCATGATCAGCGCCACTGCTCCTCTTCCCTCCCCGCCCCTGCCCACCCACCCCCCGCCCTCTCCCCACCTCTCCCCCACCCACAACCCCCCAGGGGAATCATTAAGCTGCTGCTGGTAGCGGGCGCCAACATGTATGCGCGCAACCGCGATGGTCTCTACCCACAACAACTCGCCTCAACCGATCGCATCCGCACGCTCTTCCGCAAGCTGCACGAATACCACCAGCGCCACGGGCTCGTGGGGGACGGGGACGGCGCGGGGGCGGGCGGAGGGGGCGCGGGGGGAGGGGGAGGGGGAGGGGGAAGGGGGGGGTTGAGAGGGTCGCCGCCGATCTCCCCTGGGACGTCGGGGAGGATGAGTCCCAGGGATGTGGGCGGGATGGTGGATGATGGGTGGGATGACGAAGGTGAGCGCGTGTGGTGACGGGTGTGTGTGGGTGGATTGATTGGTGGGATTGTGGGTGGGGTGATGGGTTGATGGGGGAGGGAGAGGATCTCCCCTGGGACGTCGGGGAGGATGAGCCCGCGGGATGTGGCCGGGATGGTGGATGATGGGTGGGATGACGAAGGTGAGCGCTTGGGTGTGGGGTGTGTGGGTGGGGTGACTGATGGGGCTGTGTGGGTGGAATGATGGGTTGATGGGGGAGAGGGTCGCCCCCAATCTCGCCTGGGACGTCTGGAAGGATGAGTCCCAGGGATGTGGGCGGGATGGTGGATGATGGGTGGGATGACGAAGGTGAGCGCTTGGGTGTGGGGTGTGTGGGTGGGGTGACTGATGGGGCTGTGTGGGTGGAATGATGGGTTGATGGGGGAGAGGGTCGCCCCCAATCTCGCCTGGGACGTCTGGAAGGATGAGTCCCAGGGATGTGGGCGGGATGGTGGATGATGGGTGGGATGACGAAGGTGAGCAGCGTGTGTGACAGGGGTGTGTGGTTGATGTGGGTGTGTGGGTGGGGTGATGGTCTGATGGGGGCGTGGGTGGGGTGGTGAGGGTATGTGCGTGCGGTGATGAATGTGTGTGTGTGTACCCAGTTCACATTGCTCTGTCCCCCTCTACTGTGTTCCCTCTGTTTGCTCCACTCGCTTTTCCTTCCCCAGTTACTAGCTTCTCACGGCGTTGCATTCACTTCACTTGCCCGATTTGTTCAACCCATCTCCCTGCCCACCCTCCATCTGCTCCTCTGTCCCCCTCTTACCCTCCCCCCCTGTCCCCCCTGCCTCCCTATCTTCACTGCCTCTCCTTCCTTCCCGTCCTGAGTTCCTGCCCTCCCGGCTCCTACCCCCTGCCCCCCCCTGCCCCTCTCCCCTGCCTCCCTGCCCCTTCCTCTGTCCCTGCTGTCCCTTTGTTTCCGCTGCCACTACTCCTGTCCCCCCGGCCGCTCCCCCCAGTGCTCAATGGGTCGTCAGTTCAGCAGCTCATCTCCCTCGCTCCCTCGTGTCCCCCCTGCCCCTCCCCCCTGCCCCTCCCCCCTGCCCCTCCCCCCTGCCCCTCCCCCCTGCCCCTCCCTACTGCCTCTCCCCTGCACCCCTGCCTCCCTGTCTACCCCCCTCCCCCCAGTGCCCAACGGGTCGTCAGTCCAGCAGCTCATCTCCCCTCGCGCCCTAGCCGCCCGCACGCGTCTGGGCGGCGGCGGCAGCGCGCAGCAGCCGCCCGGGCGGCAGGGGCCGGCAGCGGGGCGGGGCGGCGCCGGCAGCCGGTCCGCTGTGGAGCGAGGGAGCACCCGGGAGGACGATTGGCTCTCCCAGCCTCACGCTCGGGCGAGGGGAGGCGGCGGGGGAGGGGGAGGCGGAGGGGGAGGGGGAGGAGGAGGGGGTGGGGACGGTGGGGACCACGCTGACGTGGAGAGCCCACGTGATTTGCTGGACAGCAACGAGCAGATCTTCCTCCAGGCGTGGGAGAACGACCGTGATGACGACTCGCCGGCCTTCGCCTGGCCAGGCCCGGGGGGAGCAGCAGGGGGAGGTGGCGGGGGAGGAGCAAGAGGGGGTGGTGGCGGTGCGGGGAAGGACGAGCATATGGGGCCGGGAGGGGCTGGGGGAGGGGGATCGGGGGGAGTAGCAGCAGCGGGACCGGCAGCGTCGTTGGCGCGGAGGCACATCCGGGACTCGCGGACGCTGTCGGTGGAGTCGGGTGGGCAGCAGTACGCGCGGCGCATCGTGCAGGCCAACGACAGCAGCCTCTCCGATGCTGAGGCTGGTAGCTTTGGCGCCCGCAGGCACACCGCAGGTGAGCTGCCTCTCTGTCCTCCCCCTGCTGCCCCGCCCTTTCCTTCCCCTGCTGCCCCTCTTTTCTCTCTGCTCCCGCTGTTCCCCCTGCTCGGCTCTCTCTGGCCCCCCTGCGTCCCTGCTGCCTCGCTGCCCCCCCGGGCTGTCGGTGGAGTCGGGTGGGCAGCAGTACGCGCGCCGCATCGTGCAGGCCAACGACAGCAGCCTCTCCGATGCTGAGGCTGGCAGCTTTGGCGTCCGCCGGCACACTGCTGGTAAGCTTCTGCTTCCCTCTGTTTTCCTGCAGCCCCCCTGCTTCCCCTGCTTGGCGCTCTCTGCCCCCCTGCTTCCCTGTTGCCGCTGCTCCCTTGGCTGCCGCTGGGAGAGGGGGGAGGGGCAGCAGTACGCGCGGCGCATCGTGCAGGCCAACGACAGCAGCCTCTCCGATGCTGAACAAGGCAGCTTTGGCACCCGCCGGCACACCGCAGGTAAGCTGCCCCTCTCTACCCCCTGCCTCCCCTCTTTTCTCTCTGCTCCCCCTGCTCTGTGCTCTCTGCTTTCCGTTTCTCCCTCCTATGCACCGCTGCTCCTTGGTTAGTTGCCACTTCACCCCTGCTCCCTCTGCCCCTCTCCCTCTCCGCCTCCTCCTTCCGCCTCTCTGCTGGATTTCCCCCTGCCACAAGTCTTCTGCGTTCCTCTGCCCGTCTCTCCTGCTCGCCTGCCCACGCGCCCTCTTCCATTTCTTCCGCTGACTCGTTACTCTTCCCACTCGCATGTCTGTCTCCCCCGGCCAGCCCCACTCTCAAAGGCGACTCAGATCGACCCGCGCTTGCAACGGTGCCCTCGTATTCTGCACCCTTGGGTCCCCTCGTGCCTCTGACCCAAACCTCCCCTCCGCCCCACTTCCCCACCCCTCCCGTTTCCCCCTCATCCCTCCCTGATCCCCCATATCCACAATGCAGCAGGCGTAGCCAACACAGACCGCTCGCGTCTGGCCGCCCAGCCCCGCCCGCGCAACTTCGCTGACTTCCGTGCCGAGCGCCTCGTGGGGCAGGCAGCAGCAGGCGGCCTAACCTGACCCTTCCCCGCCTTCCCTCTCCCATCTCCCTCCACTCCACTTCCAATGCAGCGGGCGTGGCCAACCCAGATCGTTCACGCCTGGCCGCCCAGCCCCGCCCGCGCAACTTCGCTGACTTCCGAGCAGAGCGCCTCGTGGGGCAGGCAGCAGCAGGCGGAGGGGGAGGGGGAGGCGGAGCAGGGGGAGGGGCAGGGGGAGCTGGGGGAGGCGTATCTGGGGGCGGTGGGCCTGGGACGCCCGGGAGAGGGGGCATGCGGGGACGGTCCCCCTATGATAGTGTGGATTCCGCTAGCATGGGGAGGTTGGACCTGGGGGGTGGGGGAGGGAGTAGGCGGGGGTCTTTGGACGGGAAATCAGGTGGGGGAGGGGCGAGAGGCGTGGTAGACGTGTTTGGGAACCCGTATGGGGGGAGAGGGGGGCGCGCAGGGGATGTGGCGGGTGGTGGCGGACGGGCGAGTTCGGATGATGAGCGGGAGGACGGCGGGGTTGCGCGGGGCGGGGCGGGGATGGGCGGGGAGAGGCGGCAGCATGTGGGGGGCCCGGGGGGGCGCGGGGGGAGGGAGAATATGTATGCATCGTGGAATGGGGCTGCGATGCTGGAGGGAGGGGGGGGAGGGGTGGGGGGGGCGGAGGGTCATAGCGGGAGGCTGCATCGTGTTGCTCCTGCTGCATCCGCTGCATCTGCGGCGGCAGCAGAGGATCGGGACGGGGAGGGCGGGAGGCACGGGGACAGCGACAGCGACTCTGGCAGACGGCCACCAAACAGAGCAGCAGCAGCAGCAGCAGCAGGTGGGGGAGGAGCATCAGGCGCTGCTGCTGGCACTGGTGGGGGCGGAGGGACAGGGGCAGGCGGAGGGGGTTCAGTGGCCGCGTCTCGGTCCCCCTCTGGAAGCGACTCTGCCAGGCGACCCGCCTCTCTGCGGGTGGGGGAGCCTGCAGGCTTTGAGGACGAGGGGGGCGCTGCACAGAAGAAACCACTCACTCCTAGCGGGGGAGGGGCAGGGGGAGGGGGAGCGGGGGGGAGTGGGGGAGGGCGGGCGCGGAGCCCGCTTAGAGGGGGGAGTGGGCATGAGGAGGGGCGCGGAGGGGGTGGGGGAGGGGGGAGTGGGCGGATGACGCCCAAGGGGGCGAGAGAGAGGAAATCGGTGAAGTTTGCGCTGCCGACGGATGGGGAGGGGGAGAAGAAGGAGAAGGAGGGGGAGAGTGGAGGGGAGGAGAGGAAGGGCGGCGGTGGGAAGGAGGAGGAGAAGAAGGCAGGAGGGCAGGTGCCTGTGTCGCCTAGTAACAGACGAGCAGCAGCAGGCGCTGCAACAGGCAGTGCTGGTGCTAGCGCCAGTGCTAGTGCCAGTGCTAATTCTAATGCTGGTGCGAGTGCTAGTGGCAGCGGCAGTGCAAGCACGGGAGCAAGCTCGCCCGCACCTGAGCAGATATCAGAGGAAGACCTGAAGCTCATTCGGCCTGACTGGCGGGATGCGGCAGCACGGGGCGGGTGCGTGGCGTGTGGGGAGCTGCAGTGCGACTGCCCCACCAACCCCAATAACCGCGACGATGCTGCTTCTGGGGGTGGGAAGAAGGGAGGGGACGGGGAGAAGAGGGACGGAGGGGAAGTTCAGAAAGAGAAGGAAGGAGAGAAGAAGGAGGGGGAGAAGAAGGAAGGGGGGAAGAAGGAGGGGGGTGAGGAGGAGAAGGCATCACCGGCAGCAGCAGGGGGAGGGAAGAGTAAGGAGCTGATGGGGGATGAGCCCATGGCCCCACTGGGCACCATGAAGTGGAAGCGGGGCGAGCTGCTGGGCGAGGGGGCTTATGGCAAGGTGCGTGTGTGAGAGGCTCACTGGTTACGAGAGATGATTATTGTTGCCTGTGATGCTTATTGCTTGCTTGCGTGTGGGGTGAGTCGTGGGCTTGTTGCGGGGAGCAGTGGTTGATGCCGGATGGGGGATGAGCCCATGGCCCCACTGGGCACGCACGATGAAGTGGAAACGGGGCGAGCTGCTGGGGGAAGGGGCGTACGGCAAGGTGCGTGTTAGTCTGAGTGTCGATGTGGGTGTCATTCTCAGTGTCGCTGTGGGTGTCATCCTGAGTGTGATTGTGGTTGTGATCCCGAGTCTCATGTTTTTGCAAGACAGCTCAATGTAAGCTGAGGGGTGTTGTGCGTGAGTGTGTTGTGATAATGTGATTCATTCGACTTTCTCACGATTCCTCTGCGGCGGGCGACGGGAAGGCGATGCACATGGTGTAGCGGCACTGGACCAGTTGATTGTGCTGTACCACCAGATGCGGCACCGCTGCTGACCTTCCGAACCCCTCCCCCACTCCACCCCACTACACCGCACTCCACCGCAATCTACCACATTTCACCCCACTTTATAACATTCCACTGCGCTCCACTCTTCTCCACCGCACTGCACCCCTCCAGGTCTTCTTGGGTCTGAACGAGATGACGGGGGAGCTGATGGCGGTGAAGCAGATCAAGATGACCACCCAGGGCGACGAGAAGGCGATGCACATAGCGGCCCTGGAGCAGGAGATTGTGCTGTACCGCCAGATGCGGCACCGACACATCGTGGCATATATCGACATGGAGAAGGATGAGAGTGACGGCTCTCTCTACATCTTCCTGGAATTCATCTCTGGAGGGTCGATTCATAGGTAAGGAAGGGGGGGAGGCTCGATTCATAGGTAAGGAAGGGGGGGAGGCTCGATTCATAGGTAAGGAAGGGGGGGAGGCTCGATTCATAGGTAAGGAAGGGGGGGAGGGTCGATTCATAGGTAAGGAAGGGGGGGAGGGTCGATTCATAGGTAAGGAAGGGGGGGAGGGTCGATTCATAGGTAAGGAAGGGGGGGAGGGTCGATTCATAGGTAAGGAAGGGGGGGAGGGTCGATTCATAGGTAAGGAGGGGGGGGAGGGTCGATTCATAGATGCAGCATTGGCACATCGTGGCTTACATTGACATGGAGAAGGATGAAAGTGATGGCTCGCTCTACATCTTCCTCGAATTCATCTCTGGAGGGTCCATCCACAGGTGAGGAGGGGGAGGGAGGGGAGGGGAAGAGGGGGGAAAGAGGGGAGGAGAGAGTGGGTCCATCCGTCCACAGGTGAGGTTGAGGGGAGGGGAGAGGGGGGTGGTGGAGGGTGGTGGATGTAAAAGATGATGCACGTGCGTGGTATGGCGGCCCTGGAGCAGGAGATTGTGCTGTCGAAGGTAAACAGGTGGGCTGCGGAGGTCTTATGTCCATCAACTTAAACTGAGTAAAGCTTATGTCCATCAGAACTTGAGTAAAAGGTGATGCACGTGCGTGGTATGGCGGCCCTGGAGCAGGAGATTGTGCTGTACCGCCAGATGCGGCACCGACACATCGTGGCTTACATTGACATGGAGAAGGATGAGAGCGATGGATCGCTGTACATCTTCCTGGAATTCATTTCTGGAGGGTTGATTCACAGGTGGGGTTCAAGGGATGCTTATCCACAGGTGGGGGGAGGGGGGAGGTGGAGGGGGGGGAGGAGGTCGGGAGGGGGGGGTGGTGAGGGGGAGGTGCGGGGAAGAGGTGGGGAGTGGAGAGTCGGGTCCATTTACAGGTGAGATGAAGTGAGGTGAGGTGGGGTTGAGGGTGCTGTACCGGCAGAAAAAGACACCGGCACATCGTGGCTTATATCGACATGGAGAAGGATGAGAGCTATGGGTTACTGTTCCGGAGGGTCCATCCACAGGCAGCGCTAGAGGGGGGGGGGCGAAGTGGGGAGGGGGAGGGGAGGTGGGTCTGTTCACAGGTGAGGGGAGGTGGGTTCAGGATGCTGTACCGGCTGATTTACCTCTCTCACCTCTCCCACCTCTCCCACCTCACCTCACCTCACCTCACCTCACCTCACCTCACCTCACCTCACCTCCCCGCCTCCCTCGTCCCCCTCTGCACCCACAGCGTAGTAGACAAGTTTGGCAAATTCACCTCCCCCCTCGCGTCTCTCTCTGCCCCGCACTCCGGCCCTCAGCATGAGCAGCACGCGGGACAAGATTGCTCTCCTCCCCTCTCCGTCTGCCTCTCGTCCCTCCTCCCCCTTCAACAGCATGTTAGACAAGTTTGGCAAGTTCAGCGAGTCCCTGGTGCGAGTGTACACGCGGCAGCTGCTGCTGGGGTTGGAGTATCTGCACGGGTGCAAGATCATGCGTCTCTCCTCGTCCCGTCCCCTCACTCCCTCTCCCTCGTCCCTCTCTGCCTCTCCCTCCCTCTCTCCTCCCTTCTCTTCTCCTGTGCCTCTTCGATTCCCTTCCCCCCACTTCCTTCCCCTCCTCTTGCACACAGCATGTTGGACAAGTTTGGCAAGTTCAGCGAGTCCCTGGTGCGAGTGTACACGCGGCAGCTGCTGCTGGGGTTGGAGTATCTGCACGGGTGCAAGATCATCCATCGCGACATCAAGGGCGGGAATGTCTTGGTCGACCGGGATGGGGTCATTAAACTTGCTGACTTCGGTGCTTCCAAGGTGAGAGGCGGAGGGCAGTTAGAGCGGGCAGGGGTGCGGAGGGTGGTGAGGGCATGCTGAGGAATGGGGGGTGGGGCGAGTGGGAGGCGGGGCGAGTGGGAGGCGGGGCGAGTGGGATGGGATGAGGTGTGCTGCTGCTGGGGTTGGAGTATCTGCACGGCTGCAAGTTCATCCATCGGGACATCAAGGGCGGGAACGTCCTGGTCGACTGCGACGGGGTCATCAAGCTCGCTGATTTCAGTGCTTCCAAGGTGAGGGGCAGAGGGATTCTATTGTGGGGGGCCTTTGTGGCGTCTCCAAAGCCTCCTAGGTGAGACATGGAGGGCGGTCAGTGGCCAACGGGAGGTGGGGCGAGTGGGGCATGTCAGCTTCAATATGGAGGGAGAGGTTTAGCGGAGAGGGAGGGGCAAGATGAGGGAGAGGAGGAGGGAACGGAAGGAGGGAGAGTGGGACGGGCAAGGGAAGGGGAGCTGCAGGGCCAGTCAGCAGCAACGAGAGGGGGTAATGTGAGAAGTATGTATTTTGGAGAAAGAATCAGATCCAACAGTGTTATCTCAGTGGAGGTAACCGTGTATAAATCCACTTGAATAACACAGTTGGGTCTGATTCTTACTCCAAAATACCTACTTCTCAGATCCCCCCCCCCCCCTCTCCTTGCTGCTGATTGGCCCTGCAGTTCCTCTTCCCTCACCCATCCCACTCTCTTTCCTTCCGTCCTTCCTTCTCTCCCTCATCTTGCCCCTCCCTCTCCCCTATACCTCTCCCTAATTCCACTCCATCTTCCTCTCCCTCCAGATTGATGCTCCCACATGCTTTTCAGGCGTTCCACGAGGGCACGGTGGGCGAGGGGTGCAAGTCGATCCGAGGGTCGGTGTTCTGGATGGCACCGGAGGTGATCAAGGGGGAGGGGTAGGCAGCAGTCCCTTCCTACTCCTGCCCACTTACTTCCCCTCCCCTCCCCTCCCCTCCCCTCCCCTCCCCTCCCCTCCCCTCCCCTCCCCTCCCCTCCCCTCCCTTTCCTCACCTCCTCTTTTCTTCCATGTCCCCGCCTACCCTTCTCTTCTTCTCCCTCCCCTCTCCTCCTCCCCTTACCCCCCCCAGGCGTTTCACGAGGGCACGGTGGGCGAGGGGTGCAAGTCGATCCGTGGGTCGGTGTTCTGGATGGCGCCAGAGGTCATCAAGGGGGAGGGGTACGGCCGCCGCGCTGACATCTGGAGCCTTGGCTGCACCGTTATTGAGATGCTCACTGGCAGGTGAGTGCAGTGCGGGGAGTGTGGATGGGTGTAGCTGGGTGTAGCTGGGTGGCATCTGGAGCCTGGGTGCAGAGGTCATTGAAGGGGAGGGGTACGGCCGCCGCGCTGACATCTGGAGTCTCGCTGCACCGTTATTGAGATGCTCACTGGCAGGTGAGTGCAGTGCGCAACGTTGCTGGGTGTGAATGGGTGTATTTGGGTGCAGTTGGGTGACATCTGGAGCCTTGGGTGCACCGTCATTGAGATGCTCACCGCCAGGTGAGAGCAGTGAAGGGGGACAACTTAGCTGGGTACGGTTGGGTGTAATTGGGTTTACAGGTTTCTCGCTTGCTCTCTCTCACCGATCCAACCCCTTTTCCCCTTTACTCCTTTTCCCGCCTCTCCAGCCACCCATGGCCCAACATGGACAACACGTGGTCAGCCATCGTCCACATCGCCAAGACCACCACCTGTTGTTGGGGGAGTGGTTGGCGATTGGGTGGCTGTCTGTTCTCGCCCCATGCTCTTGCGCTATCACCCAACCTCTCCCCCCTTCCCGTCTGCCCCCATTCCCACTTGCCACCCCGCCCATTGCTCCTCCAGCCACCCATGGCCCAACATGGACAACACGTGGTCGGCCATATTCCACATCGCCAGGACCACCACGAGGCCTTGCTCGTCGTTCCCCCTTCCCCTCGTCACTGCCCACCCCGCCCCCCATTGCTCCCCCTCCCCCCCCCCCTCTCCTCTTCCACTCACCAGCCACCCATGGCCCAACATGGACAACACGTGGTCGGCCATATTCCACATCGCCAAGACCACCACGGGCCCGCCCATCCCAGAGGAGTGCAGCGACGAGGGGAGAGACTTCCTCGTCGCCTGCTTCAAGCTCGACCCCGCAGAGCGCCCCTCTGCCACTGAGGTGAGTGGGTGTGTGTGCGCGTGTTGGTGTGGGTGTGTCTGGGTGTGTCTGGGTGTCTGGGTGTGTCTGGGTGCGAACGGCTGTACTGCATCAAGCATCAGTGGGAGGGCAGGGACTTCCTTCCTCGTTGCCTGCTTCAAGCTCGACCCTGCAGAGCGCCCCTCCGCCACTGAGGTGAGCTATATTGGTATGACTTTTGAGAATTCTCAAAAGCCACTGAGGTGAGCTATATTGGTATGACTTTTGAGAATTCTCAAAAGCCACTGAGGTGAGCTATATTGGTATGACTTTTGAGAATTCTCAAAAGCCACTGAGGTGAGCTATATTGGTATGACTTTTGAGAATTCTCAAAAGCCACTGAGGTGAGCTATATTGGTATGACTTTTGAGAATTCTCAAAAGCCACTGAGGTGAGCTATATTGGTATGACTTTTGAGAATTCTCAAAAGCCACTGAGGTGAGCTATATTGGTATGACTTTTGAGAATTCTCAAAAGCCACTGAGGTGAGCTATATTGGTATGACTTTTGAGAATTCTCAAAAGCCACTGAGGTGAGCTATATTGGTATGACTTTTGAGAATTCTCAAAAGCCACTGAGGTGAGCTATATTGGTATGACTTTTGAGAATTCTCAAAAGCCACTGAGGTGAGTGCACTTTTCTGTAGGTTTGTGCGTGTGTGGGTGGGTGTGAGTGTGTGTGGGGGGGGACAAGGGGGTGTGTGACCATGCATGAGGAGTGGAGGGTGTGTTCAACTGACTATCCGTGGGGAGCGCGGCGGCAAGAGCCCGGCTTCTTTTTTGAGGCCGGACCATCCTCAAGAGCCCGGCTTCTTTTTTGAGGCCGGACCGGACTATCCTCAACAGCCAGGCTTCTTTTTTGAGGCCGGACCATCCTCAAGAGCCCGGCTTCTTTTTTGAGGCCGGACCATCCTCAAGAGCCCGGCTTCTTTTGAGGCCGGACCGGACTATCCTCAACAGCCAGGCTTCCTCCTCACTGCCTGCTTCAAGTTTAGAGACGTCCTGTTCTCAAAACGAGCGCGGCGTTAAGGGCCGGGCTTCCTCACTGAGTGGACTTTTGAGTCGACTCACAAGTCACCTCGAGCGGGGCGGCCAGAGCCGGGCTTCCTCACTGAGTGGACTTTTGAGTCGACTCACAAGTCACCTCGAGCGGGGCGGCAAGGGCCGGGCTTCCTCACTGAGTGGACTTTTGAGTCGACTCACAAGTCACCTCGAGCGGGGCGGCAAGGGCCGGGCTTCCTCACTGAGTGGACTTTTGAGTCGACTCACAAGTCACCTCGAGCGGGGCGGCAAGGGCCGGGCTTCCTCACTGAGTGGACTTTTGAGTCGACTCACAAGTCACCTCGAGCGGGGCGGCCAGGGCCGGGCTTCCTCACTGGGTGGACTTTTGAGTCGACTCACAAGTCACCTCGAGCGGGGTGGCCAGGGCCGGGCTTCCTCACTGAGTGGACTTTTGAGTCGACTCACAAGTCACCTCAAGCGGGGCGGCAAGGGCCGGGCTTCCTCACTGAGTGGACTTTTGAGTCGACTCACAAGTCACCTCGAGCGGGGCGGCCAGGGCCGGACTTCCTCACTGAGTGGACTTTTGAGTCGACTCACAAGTCACCTCGAGCGGGGCGGCAAGGGCCGGGCTTCCTCACTGAGTGGACTTTTGAGTCGACTCACAAGTCACCTCGAGCGGGGCGGCCAGGGCCGGGCTTCCTCACTGAGTGGACTTTTGAGTCGACTCACAAGTCACCTCGAGCGGGGCGGCAAGGGCCGGGCTTCCTCACTGAGTGGACTTTTGAGTCGACTCACAAGTCACCTCGAGCGGGGCGGCAAGGGCCGGGCTTCCTCACTGAGTGGACTTTTGAGTCGACTCACAAGTCACCTCGAGCGGGGCGGCAAGGGCCGGGCTTCCTCACTGGGTGGACTTTTGAGTCGACTCACAAGTCACCTCGAGCGGGGTGGCCAGGGCCGGGCTTCCTCACTGAGTGGACTTTTGAGTCGACTCACAAGTCACCTCAAGCGGGGCGGCAAGGGCCGGGCTTCCTCACTGAGTGGACTTTTGAGTCGACTCACAAGTCACCTCGAGCGGGGCGGCCAGGGCCGGACTTCCTCACTGAGTGGACTTTTGAGTCGACTCACAAGTCACCTCGAGCGGGGCGGCAAGGGCCGGGCTTCCTCACTGAGTGGACTTTTGAGTCGACTCACAAGTCACCTCGAGCGGGGCGGCCAGGGCCGGGCTTCCTCACTGAGTGGACTTTTGAGTCGACTCACAAGTCACCTCGAGCGGGGCGGCAAGGGCCGGGCTTCCTCACTGAGTGGACTTTTGAGTCGACTCACAAGTCACCTCGAGCGGGGCGGCCAGAGCCGGGCTTCCTCACTGAGTGGACTTTTGAGTCGACTCACAAGTCACCTCGAGCGGGGCGGCAAGGGCCGGGCTTCCTCACTGAGTGGACTTTTGAGTCGACTCACAAGTCACCTCGAGCGGGGCGGCAAGGGCCGGGCTTCCTCACTGAGTGGACTTTTGAGTCGACTCACAAGTCACCTCGAGCGGGGCGGCAAGGGCCGGGCTTCTCTGAGTGGACTTTTGAGTCGACTCACAAGTCACCTCGAGCGGGGCGGCCAGGGCCGGGCTTCCTCACTGGGTGGACTTTTGAGTCGACTCACAAGTCACCTCGAGCGGGGTGGCCAGGGCCGGGCTTCCTCACTGAGTGGACTTTTGAGTCGACTCACAAGTCACCTCAAGCGGGGCGGCAAGGGCCGGGCTTCCTCACTGAGTGGACTTTTGAGTCGACTCACAAGTCACCTCGAGCGGGGCGGCCAGGGCCGGACTTCCTCACTGAGTGGACTTTTGAGTCGACTCACAAGTCACCTCGAGCGGGGCGGCAAGGGCCGGGCTTCCTCACTGAGTGGACTTTTGAGTCGACTCACAAGTCACCTCGAGCGGGGCGGCCAGGGCCGGGCTTCCTCACTGAGTGGACTTTTGAGTCGACTCACAAGTCACCTCGAGCGGGGCGGCAAGGGCCGGGCTTCCTCACTGAGTGGACTTTTGAGTCGACTCACAAGTCACCTCGAGCGGGGCGGCAAGGGCCGGGCTTCCTCACTGAGTGGACTTTTGAGTCGACTCACAAGTCACCTCGAGCGGGGCGGCCAGGGCCGGGCTTCCTCACTGGGTGGACTTTTGAGTCGACTCACAAGTCACCTCGAGCGGGGTGGCCAGGGCCGGGCTTCCTCACTGAGTAGACTTTTGAGTCGACTCACAAGTCACCTCAAGCGGGGCGGCAAGGGCCGGGCTTCCTCACTGAGTGGACTTTTGAGTCGACTCACAAGTCACCTCGAGCGGGGCGGCCAGGGCCGGACTTCCTCACTGAGTGGACTTTTGAGTCGACTCACAAGTCACCTCGAGCGGGGCGGCAAGGGCCGGGCTTCCTCACTGAGTGGACTTTTGAGTCGACTCACAAGTCACCTCGAGCGGGGCGGCCAGGGCCGGGCTTCCTCACTGAGTGGACTTTTGAGTCGACTCACAAGTCACCTCGAGCGGGGCGGCAAGGGCCGGGCTTCCTCACTGAGTGGACTTTTGAGTCGACTCACAAGTCACCTCGAGCGGGGCGGCCAGAGCCGGGCTTCCTCACTGAGTGGACTTTTGAGTCGACTCACAAGTCACCTCGAGCGGGGCGGCAAGGGCCGGGCTTCCTCACTGAGTGGACTTTTGAGTCGACTCACAAGTCACCTCGAGCGGGGCGGCAAGGGCCGGGCTTCCTCACTGAGTGGACTTTTGAGTCGACTCACAAGTCACCTCGAGCGGGGCGGCAAGGGCCGGGCTTCCTCACTGAGTGGACTTTTGAGTCGACTCACAAGTCACCTCGAGCGGGGCGGCCAGGGCCGGGCTTCCTCACTGGGTGGACTTTTGAGTCGACTCACAAGTCACCTCGAGCGGGGTGGCCAGGGCCGGGCTTCCTCACTGAGTGGACTTTTGAGTCGACTCACAAGTCACCTCAAGCGGGGCGGCAAGGGCCGGGCTTCCTCACTGAGTGGACTTTTGAGTCGACTCACAAGTCACCTCGAGCGGGGCGGCCAGGGCCGGACTTCCTCACTGAGTGGACTTTTGAGTCGACTCACAAGTCACCTCGAGCGGGGCGGCAAGGGCCGGGCTTCCTCACTGAGTGGACTTTTGAGTCGACTCACAAGTCACCTCGAGCGGGGCGGCCAGGGCCGGGCTTCCTCACTGAGTGGACTTTTGAGTCGACTCACAAGTCACCTCGAGCGGGGCGGCAAGGGCCGGGCTTCCTCACTGAGTGGACTTTTGAGTCGACTCACAAGTCACCTCGAGCGGGGCGGCAAGGGCCGGGCTTCCTCACTGAGTGGACTTTTGAGTCGACTCACAAGTCACCTCGAGCGGGGCGGCAAGGGCCGGGCTTCCTCACTGGGTGGACTTTTGAGTCGACTCACAAGTCACCTCGAGCGGGGTGGCCAGGGCCGGGCTTCCTCACTGAGTGGACTTTTGAGTCGACTCACAAGTCACCTCAAGCGGGGCGGCAAGGGCCGGGCTTCCTCACTGAGTGGACTTTTGAGTCGACTCACAAGTCACCTCGAGCGGGGCGGCCAGGGCCGGACTTCCTCACTGAGTGGACTTTTGAGTCGACTCACAAGTCACCTCGAGCGGGGCGGCAAGGGCCGGGCTTCCTCACTGAGTGGACTTTTGAGTCGACTCACAAGTCACCTCGAGCGGGGCGGCCAGGGCCGGGCTTCCTCACTGAGTGGACTTTTGAGTCGACTCACAAGTCACCTCGAGCGGGGCGGCAAGGGCCGGGCTTCCTCACTGAGTGGACTTTTGAGTCGACTCACAAGTCACCTCGAGCGGGGCGGCCAGGGCCGGACTTCCTCACTGAGTGGACTTTTGAGTCGACTCACAAGTCACCTCGAGCGGGGCGGCAAGGGCCGGGCTTCCTCACTGAGTGGACTTTTGAGTCGACTCACAAGTCACCTCGAGCGGGGCGGCCAGGGCCGGGCTTCCTCACTGAGTGGACTTTTGAGTCGACTCACAAGTCACCTCGAGCGGGGCGGCAAGGGCCGGGCTTCCTCACTGAGTGGACTTTTGAGTCGACTCACAAGTCACCTCGAGCGGGGCGGCAAGGGCCGGGCTTCCTCACTGAGTGGACTTTTGAGTCGACTCACAAGTCACCTCGAGCGGGGCGGCAAGGGCCGGGCTTCCTCACTGGGTGGACTTTTGAGTCGACTCACAAGTCACCTCGAGCGGGGTGGCCAGGGCCGGGCTTCCTCACTGAGTGGACTTTTGAGTCGACTCACAAGTCACCTCGAGCGGGGCGGCAAGGGCCGGGCTTCCTCACTGAGTGGACTTTTGAGTCGACTCACAAGTCACCTCGAGCGGGGCGGCCAGGGCCGGACTTCCTCACTGAGTGGACTTTTGAGTCGACTCACAAGTCACCTCGAGCGGGGCGGCAAGGGCCGGGCTTCCTCACTGAGTGGACTTTTGAGTCGACTCACAAGTCACCTCGAGCGGGGCGGCCAGGGCCGGGCTTCCTCACTGAGTGGACTTTTGAGTCGACTCACAAGTCACCTCGAGCGGGGCGGCAAGGGCCGGGCTTCCTCACTGAGTGGACTTTTGAGTCGACTCACAAGTCACCTCGAGCGGGGCGGCAAGGGCCGGGCTTCCTCACTGGGTGGACTTTTGAGTCGACTCACAAGTCACCTCGAGCGGGGTGGCCAGGGCCGGGCTTCCTCACTGAGTGGACTTTTGAGTCGACTCACAAGTCACCTCAAGCGGGGCGGCAAGGGCCGGGCTTCCTCACTGAGTGGACTTTTGAGTCGACTCACAAGTCACCTCGAGCGGGGCGGCCAGGGCCGGACTTCCTCACTGAGTGGACTTTTGAGTCGACTCACAAGTCACCTCGAGCGGGGCGGCAAGGGCCGGGCTTCCTCACTGAGTGGACTTTTGAGTCGACTCACAAGTCACCTCGAGCGGGGCGGCCAGGGCCGGGCTTCCTCACTGAGTGGACTTTTGAGTCGACTCACAAGTCACCTCGAGCGGGGCGGCAAGGGCCGGGCTTCCTCACTGAGTGGACTTTTGAGTCGACTCACAAGTCACCTCGAGCGGGGCGGCAAGGGCCGGGCTTCCTCACTGGGTGGACTTTTGAGTCGACTCACAAGTCACCTCGAGCGGGGTGGCCAGGGCCGGACTTCCTCACTGAGTGGACTTTTGAGTCGACTCACAAGTCACCTCAAGCGGGGCGGCAAGGGCCGGGCTTCCTCACTGAGTGGACTTTTGAGTCGACTCACAAGTCACCTCGAGCGGGGCGGCCAGGGCCGGGCTTCCTCACTGAGTGGACTTTTGAGTCGACTCACAAGTCACCTCGAGCGGGGCGGCCAGGGCCGGGCTTCCTCACTGAGTGGACTTTTGAGTCGACTCACAAGTCACCTCGAGCGGGGCGGCAAGGGCCGGGCTTCCTCACTGAGTGGACTTTTGAGTCGACTCACAAGTCACCTCGAGCGGGGCGGCAAGGGCCGGGCTTCCTCACTGGGTGGACTTTTGAGTCGACTCACAAGTCACCTCGAGCGGGGTGGCCAGGGCCGGGCTTCCTCACTGAGTGGACTTTTGAGTCGACTCACAAGTCACCTCAAGCGGGGCGGCAAGGGCCGGGCTTCCTCACTGAGTGGACTTTTGAGTCGACTCACAAGTCACCTCGAGCGGGGCGGCCAGGGCCGGACTTCCTCACTGAGTGGACTTTTGAGTCGACTCACAAGTCACCTCGAGCGGGGCGGCAAGGGCCGGGCTTCCTCACTGAGTGGACTTTTGAGTCGACTCACAAGTCACCTCGAGCGGGGCGGCCAGGGCCGGGCTTCCTCACTGAGTGGACTTTTGAGTCGACTCACAAGTCACCTCGAGCGGGGCGGCAAGGGCCGGGCTTCCTCACTGAGTGGACTTTTGAGTCGACTCACAAGTCACCTCGAGCGGGGCGGCCAGGGCCGGACTTCCTCACTGAGTGGACTTTTGAGTCGACTCACAAGTCACCTCGAGCGGGGCGGCAAGGGCCGGGCTTCCTCACTGAGTGGACTTTTGAGTCGACTCACAAGTCACCTCGAGCGGGGCGGCCAGGGCCGGGCTTCCTCACTGAGTGGACTTTTGAGTCGACTCACAAGTCACCTCGAGCGGGGCAGCAAGGGCCGGGCTTCCTCACTGAGTGGACTTTTGAGTCGACTCACAAGTCACCTCGAGCGGGGCGGCAAGGGCCGGGCTTCCTCACTGGGTGGACTTTTGAGTCGACTCACAAGTCACCTCGAGCGGGGTGGCCAGGGCCGGGCTTCCTCACTGAGTGGACTTTTGAGTCGACTCACAAGTCACCTCAAGCGGGGCGGCAAGGGCCGGGCTTCCTCACTGAGTGGACTTTTGAGTCGACTCACAAGTCACCTCGAGCGGGGCGGCCAGGGCCGGACTTCCTCACTGAGTGGACTTTTGAGTCGACTCACAAGTCACCTCGAGCGGGGCGGCAAGGGCCGGGCTTCCTCACTGAGTGGACTTTTGAGTCGACTCACAAGTCACCTCGAGCGGGGCGGCCAGGGCCGGGCTTCCTCACTGAGTGGACTTTTGAGTCGACTCACAAGTCACCTCGAGCGGGGCGGCCAGGGCCGGGCTTCCTCACTGAGTGGACTTTTGAGTCGACTCACAAGTCACCTCGAGCGGGGCGGCAAGGGCCGGGCTTCCTCACTGAGTGGACTTTTGAGTCGACTCACAAGTCACCTCGAGCGGGGCGGCAAGGGCCGGGCTTCCTCACTGGGTGGACTTTTGAGTCGACTCACAAGTCACCTCGAGCGGGGTGGCCAGGGCCGGGCTTCCTCACTGAGTGGACTTTTGAGTCGACTCACAAGTCACCTCAAGCGGGGCGGCAAGGGCCGGGCTTCCTCACTGAGTGGACTTTTGAGTCGACTCACAAGTCACCTCGAGCGGGGCGGCCAGGGCCGGACTTCCTCACTGAGTGGACTTTTGAGTCGACTCACAAGTCACCTCGAGCGGGGCGGCAAGGGCCGGGCTTCCTCACTGAGTGGACTTTTGAGTCGACTCACAAGTCACCTCGAGCGGGGCGGCCAGGGCCGGGCTTCCTCACTGAGTGGACTTTTGAGTCGACTCACAAGTCACCTCGAGCGGGGCGGCAAGGGCCGGGCTTCCTCACTGAGTGGACTTTTGAGTCGACTCACAAGTCACCTCGAGCGGGGCGGCCAGGGCCGGACTTCCTCACTGAGTGGACTTTTGAGTCGACTCACAAGTCACCTCGAGCGGGGCGGCAAGGGCCGGGCTTCCTCACTGAGTGGACTTTTGAGTCGACTCACAAGTCACCTCGAGCGGGGCGGCCAGGGCCGGGCTTCCTCACTGAGTGGACTTTTGAGTCGACTCACAAGTCACCTCGAGCGGGGCAGCAAGGGCCGGGCTTCCTCACTGAGTGGACTTTTGAGTCGACTCACAAGTCACCTCGAGCGGGGCGGCAAGGGCCGGGCTTCCTCACTGGGTGGACTTTTGAGTCGACTCACAAGTCACCTCGAGCGGGGTGGCCAGGGCCGGGCTTCCTCACTGAGTGGACTTTTGAGTCGACTCACAAGTCACCTCAAGCGGGGCGGCAAGGGCCGGGCTTCCTCACTGAGTGGACTTTTGAGTCGACTCACAAGTCACCTCGAGCGGGGCGGCCAGGGCCGGACTTCCTCACTGAGTGGACTTTTGAGTCGACTCACAAGTCACCTCGAGCGGGGCGGCAAGGGCCGGGCTTCCTCACTGAGTGGACTTTTGAGTCGACTCACAAGTCACCTCGAGCGGGGCGGCCAGGGCCGGGCTTCCTCACTGAGTGGACTTTTGAGTCGACTCACAAGTCACCTCGAGCGGGGCGGCCAGGGCCGGGCTTCCTCACTGAGTGGACTTTTGAGTCGACTCACAAGTCACCTCGAGCGGGGCGGCCAGGGCCGGGCTTCCTCACTGAGTGGACTTTTGAGTCGACTCACAAGTCACCTCGAGCGGGGCGGCAAGGGCCGGGCTTCCTCACTGAGTGGACTTTTGAGTCGACTCACAAGTCACCTCGAGCGGGGCGGCCAGGGCCGGGCTTCCCCACCGCCTGCTTCAAGCTCGACCCGGGCTCGTCTCCCCCTCTTCTCCCCCACCCCCCTTCCTCCCCTCATTTCATCCTCTCCCCCCCCCGTGTTCCCCTCCCACTCCTCCTTCTTCCTTTGTGCAAGTGCCCTACACTCTAAGGGAAGCCCACGGGGGGTTCTGACGCTCCCGCACTCTCAAATGCACATACTCTCTCACATGCACATACTCTTTCCACCTTGTCAATAACACATTTCCCTCTCTTCCCCCTCCCGCCTTCCCTTACCATGAGCAGCTATTGCAGCACCCCTTTGTGCAAGTGCCCGACACTCCAAGGGAAGCCCGGGGGGGGTTCTGACACACCCACCTGTCCACCATTAAAGCCCGCATCTACTGCACAGCAAGCAGCCCATGGGACTTGTTTCAGCGGAGCATTCTGATTTCTCAGCTGTCTAGAATACCAAAGCTTGGGGAGGAGATGGGGAGGGGGGTTCCCGCACACCCACCCACCTGTTGTTACCCTTCCTGCCGTGCGATCATGCTTGCTGCACAGCAGGCAGCCCATGGGATGATTGGCGATGTTTCTACGAGAGTTGGCGCACCTCATTGCTTGCCTCCTGGAGCGTACTTGGGCAGTGGGTGCCCACGCAACAGAGCACAGCACAGCACAGCACCGCACCGCACCGCACCGCACTGCACAGCACAGTACAAAATTGTTCAGCTCACCGCTGCAACCATATTCTCTCATGCATCCCCCCTATACTGCAACTGCTCTTTCTTGGCACCTTTGTCAGCTTGTCTTGTGCTCTCTTACTCAGTCTGCCTGGCTCAAGACAAGATGCATTGCATACCCTAAAATAACCGGTACCATTCTGCCGAGCCTGTGTTGCTGTTGTCAAGCCTGACTGAGTTTAGATGGCCATGTCTGTTGTCCCTTGCTTGTTTTGTTTGCCCGTTTGTTTCTGATCCTTGGCTTGCTGCCAACCTTGTTCCGCTACACTTCACATTAAGGCCCTGATGCAGTTACTATCTGATTCGTATGCAGCCTATTAGGTTGTTTCTCGTGTATCATTGTTGACGTTTCACATAATTTGTTGTACACTTGTGGATGCAAAATTTTGCTAGTATCATAGGGTTTACAGCTGCAAGGAACTATCGAAATATTCGTTTGCAAAAGTTTCTGAAGCTGGCTGCTTCCTCCTATATACGATGCGAGACCACCATATCGAGTATGGATGGAGATCACTGACGAACCGCTTGCGGAGTCGGAATAGGACTACCTCGTTGATAGACGTCGATATTCTGCATACGACCTTTGACGTTTCTCATAAATATTTTGCATTCGACACGTCCTAATCACCTCCTCGCGTGCTACGCACGTACATCCCCATTGTTCTCCTTTCTCACCATCCAATGCTCTTTAGCACCCATAGTAAACCACTCCGCTTCACCCGCCTCCCTCTAATGCTCGCCGATTCTTGCACCTTTCGCCCTGGCTCATTCGTGGACCAGTCGCCGTCCAATTCCTTGTCATGCGCTGGCAAACATTTGACACGCGTCCGAATTCGTTACGCAACCCACCGCGGTTACTTCTGTGGGACGCGGGCTCGTGGCAACGGTCGTGTTGACACTTTTGTGGCTGAACGACGTTCACGGACACTATCGGCGGAATTCAGTAGCTCGAATTCTGTTAGACCGAATTTAAGTAGGACGGAGAGCTCGCTGTTGTTCGTTACTCCTGTCGCTCGGCTTACTGCCGACCCCGCACCTAATCGGTGGAGAGCGGTGACTCAGCTCCTTCGCAGCTCGGAGCTTCGATTTTCCGCCAATCCACAACGCCGACGGTCTAGCCTCGTTTCACGCTTATCGAACACTCTCAGGGGTCGGCCTGGCCAGAAACCGTTATCGAAACAGGTCTTGGCGGGGATTTCTGCTTCTGGACCCGCTGACAGTATGAGCGAACCGGACGAGCATGATCGTTCGCCACGTGGCAAGCAGGAAGAGGTGACACGTGTCTACGTGGTTTCGGACATTCACACGGATCACGCGGAAAACATGGAGTGGGTGGAACGGCTGGCGGCGACACGTCAGCGGTCGGAAGATTCTTGGAAGGGAAGAGACGTACTCATACTGGCAGGCGACGTTACAGACAATCTCGAGGTCAGGTGGGTCGTCAGGTGAGTTCTCAGGTGAATTCTCAGGTGGAAAGTCAGATGGCGTAATATCATATTAGGAGTCCTCTCTTGCAAGGTGAGGTTCTTCTTGATGGTTTTTGGATGTCAGTCTGGTGAGTCATCAATTGAATCGAGAGGAGAATTGTCAGGTGAGTCGTCAGGTGACTTTTCAGAGGAGTCGCCAGGTGAGTCATCAGGTGAGTCCCTGGGTGCAGTTTTTGGTAGACTATTCATTGCAGCATGTTTTGCAATCCCCTCGAGCCAGACACTCTCCCGTCCCTCCAGTCAGCCAATCTCTTGCCCGTCCCTCTAAACCACTCGCCTGTATCTATCTTTCCATTCAACCGGGTTTTTTCCATCCATCCATTCCATGGGGTTTGTCTCGTCGTTCTAATAACCACACGAGTTGATGGAAGAATGACCTCCGCAGCCCACCTGTCCGCTACTGACAGCTCTCCCGTCCCTCCAGTCAGCCAATCTCTTGCCCGTCCCTCTAAACCACTCGCCTGTATCTATCTCTCTCCATTCAATTCCCTCTGCCGCTGCTGCTCGCTGCTACGCAGGTTCTCTCGCGCACATTCCACCTGCTGACGTCAGCGTTCCACCACGTGTTCTTCATCCCTGGTAACCACGAGCTCTGGTGCCGCCACCACGACCACCATACCCACCATACCCACCATTCCCACCATAACCACCTTAACCAGAACACTGAGCACAGCCAGCACAACCAGCACCAACAGCCCAGCAATCATGACCACCATACCCACCACGACCACCAGCTGCAAAGCCAGCACCAGCAGCAGAGCAACACCGGGGGCAAAGGAGGCGAAATGCCGGACGGCATTCCACCTTCCTCGGTGCCGGCCTCCCCCGAGCCGTTCACCTCCCTGCACAAGCTGACAAAGGTGCTACAGTGCTGCGAGCAGTGGGGCGTGTGCACGGAGCCCATGCGGGTCGGCGACGTTTGGATTGTTCCGCTCTGGTCGTGGCACCACCAGGTAAACAGAGCATGTGTGGAGGGAGAAGGAAGGGATGTGCCTCCTTTGTAACGAGGTGACTTTTGAGTCGACTCAAAAGTCACTCCGCTCTGGTCGTGGCACCACCAGGTAAACAGAGCATGTGTGGAGGGAGAAGGATGGGATGCGCCTCCTTTCTCTCTCCTCGTGCTCCCACCCACTGCTTACGCCAGCGCCTGTCTTCATTTATGTGCTCCCCAACGTGTGCTTCCAAACATCTCTTCCTAACCTGCTATGCTGTGTCCTCTCCTGTGCAGAGCTTTGACACCGAGCTATGGGTAACGAGGTGACTTTTGAGTCGACTCAAAAGTCACGTCCTAACGTCTGCTCTCCTGTGTGCTCTCCTGTGTGCTCTCCTGTGTGCGCTCCTGTGCAGAGCTTTGACACCGAGCCTGACATTCCGAACCTCCGAGTGCCATCACTGCGTAAGGTGGGTGGGCGACCCATGCAACGCGCACCTCTCCCTCCCCTTCCCCTGCTCCTCTTCCCCCTGCTCCCCTCTCTTCAATTCCAACGTCTGTGTTCGCCTCTGTTCACCTCTGTTCGATCCCAATCTCGCTGCTCCCCTGCAGGCCTGCATGGACTACCGCGTGTGTGTCTGGCCGCCCCACCTCCAATCCTCCCTCTGCTCCTCTCTCTTCAATCCCGATCCCCCGTGCTTTCCTCTGTTCGCCTCTGCTCGCCTCCATACGATTCAATTTTGGCGCTGCTCCCCTGCAGGCCTGCATGGACTACCGCGTGTGTGTGTGGCCGCCCCACCTCACCCCTTCTCACTCACCTCCTCACTCGCCTTCCCCCTCCTCCTCCTCCTCCTCCTCCTCCTCCTCCTCCTCCTCCTCCTCCTCCTCTTTCCCCTCCTCCTCCTCCTCCTCCTCCTCCTCCTCCTCCTCCTCCTCCTCCTCCTCCTCCTCACCGCCCCTCACTGCACCGCACTCCTCTTCACCTTTGCACTCTCTGGGAGACGGAGGCGATGCACTGGCAGCCCATTTTGATGGCATGAACGAGAGGCCGCTGCAGCAACTGGGAATGCAGCACCCTCACGTGTTTCCGTCTCTTGTGGTGGCAACACAACAGCAGGAGAAGGCACAGCAGCAACAGCAGAGGGCAGCACAGCAGCAGCAGAAGGCAGGGCAGCAGCAGCGGGACGCAGAGCAGCAACAGCGGGTGGCATCACAGCAGCAGCAAGTGGCAGCACAACAGCAGCAGACGGCACAGCAGCAACAGCAGAAGGCAGAGCAGCATCAGCGGTTGGCATTTCAGCAGCAGCAAGTGGCAGCACAACAGCAGCAGACGGCAGAGCAGCAGCAGCAGAAGGCAGAGCAGCAGGAGCAGGCATCACAACAGCAGCAGGTGGCATTAAAGCAGCAGCAGACGGCAGAGCAGCAGCAGCAGCAGCAGCAGGTGGCAGTTCATCACACCTGTGTGTTGGCTGCTGCTGCTGATGCTGATGCTGCCGCCACCGCCACCAGCACTGCCACTGCCACTTCTGCCAGCTTTGGAAGGACTTCTAGCACTGTCAGCAGCAACAGCACAGCTGCTGTCGGCAGCAGCAGCAGCTTCCAAGTTGCTCTGAACAACAACAGCACCACAAACAGCAGCCTCGCTGGCAGCAGCACGAGCGTATCAGCTCCTGTCTCGCCCCGTGCGTCTGAGAGCAGTGCTACTGTGACCCTGGTGGGCAGTGGAGCAGAGGGCAGCGGAGCAGAGGGCAGCGGAGCAGAGGGCAGCGGAGCAGAGGGCAGTGCGGAGGGCAGTGCGGAGAGCGTTCAAATCATCTCCTTCTCTCACTTCCTTCCCAGGTGTGCATGGATGCGAGTGTGCCTTGATGCGTATGCAGCTGTGCTTCCAACCTCTGGAGCTGTTGCCCTCCCTTTCTTTCTCCTCACCACCCATCCCACTCCCTCGCCTTCCTGCGCTCCTCCCAACCAACCCCCTGATTATGAATTCCAACCTGAGAGTCGCGTGCTTCCACTTAACTCCCTTCGTGAGGTGAGGGTGTTTTTGAGACGTCTCAAAAACACCCTCACCTCACGTGGTCCTCCCAACCAACCCCCTGAATATGAATTCCAACCTGAGAATCGCGTGCTTCCACTTATCTCCCTTCGGATTTTATTGCTCCTCGCGTCATGTGCATGCTGCTGTATCCGAAAATCTGAATCTATTTTTCCGCCTTCACCTCTCCCTTCCACCCCACTCTGCCTTCCCTTCCTCCCACTCCTCCTCAGGATTGACCGGCTCCCTGAGAATCGCATGCCGCTGTATCAAAATCTCTAGAGCTGCTTCCCCATCTTCCTCTCTCCACCATTCACCCTGCTCTAACCTCCCTCTCAGGATTGACCTGCTCCCAGAGAAGCGCATGCTGCTGTATCCGAATCCTCAGATATGTTCCCCCATGCCCCCCGCCTTTCCCCCCTTCCCCCCACCAACCCCACTCTGTCCCCCTGGTCCTCCCAATCCCCGCAGGATCGATCTGCTCCCAGAGAAGCGCATGCTGCTGTATCCTAATTTCTAGATCTGCTCTCCCTTTTCCTTCCTTTCAAATCCCTCCCCTCCTTGCGCACCTCCCAATCCCCTCAGGATCAATCTGCTCCCAGAGAAGCGCATGCTGCTGTATCCGAATTTCTAGCGCTATTTTCTCCCCTTTTTCCTCCCAACCACCCCACCACCCCACCTGCCCCCCCCCCCCCCCCCTCCTTCCCCCTTTCTCCGAATTCCCTCAGGATCGATCTGCTCCCAGAGAAGCGCATGCTGCTGTACTCAAATCTCTAGAGCTGCTTCCCCATCTTCCTCTCTCCACCACTCACCCTGCTCTAACCTCCTTCTCAGGATTGACCTGCTCCCCGAGAAGCGCATGCTGCTGTATCCAAATCCTTAGATCTGTTCCCCCATGCCTCCCACCTTTCCCCCCTTCCCCCCACCGACCCCACTCTGTCCCCCTGGTCCTCCCAATTCCCCCAGGATCGATCTGCTCCCCGAGAAGCGCATGCTGCTGTATGCGAATTTCTAGCGCTATTTTCTCCCGTTTTTCCTCCCAACCACCCCACCACCCCACCTGCCCCCCCCCCCCCCCCCCTCGCCTTCCCCCTTTCTCCGAATTCCCGCAGGATCGATCTGCTCCCAGAGAAGCGCATGCTGCTGTATCCGAATCTCAAGAGCTGTTTCCTTTTCCCCTTTCCCCCCAACCACCCCTCCCTGTCCCCCTGGTCCTCCCAATCCCCGCAGGATCGATCTGCTTCCCGAGAAGCGCATGCTGCTGTATCCGAATCTCGCCAAGATGGCGGGCTCCCATTGGCTGGAGGCGCGTGTGCGCGCCGTGCACGGTCCACGTGGCAGCCCCACAGCGTGCCACGTGTTCGGACACACACACTTCCACTGGGACTCGTGGGTCGATGGCATCAGGTGAGTGGGATGGGATTAATGAGTTGTATGGCAGCATGCAGGCGCGCAACCAAACAACCCATGTGCAGGGTGTAGGTTATGCCATTCTGCGAGGCTATGATGACTGCTTGGGTTGGGCACACACACTTCCACTGGGACTCTTGGGTTGATGGCATCAGGTGGGTCGATGGCACCAGGTGGGTCGATGGCACCAGGTGGGTCGATCATGCAGCCAAGCAACTTATGTGCAGCCCCAAATTGCCATTTTAAGAGCTTTTAAATTGTGCCCTCATGTTCATCTCACCTCCCAAAACGTGCAAGTCCATCCTCATGTGTCCCGACGTGCAGGTACCTGCAGGCCCCTCTGTGCTACCCCCGTGAGAGAGAGCGGAGACGACAGGCTGCTAAATATAGCAGCAACGAAAGCAGCAGCAGCAGCAGCAGCAGCAGCAGCAGCAGCAGCAGCAGCGACAGCATCCGTGGCAACAGCGGCAATGGCAGTGTAAAGCAGAGCTCAGATGACCCATGGCTGCCATTTCTGCTGTACGATTCGTCCACAGGAGGGCTCAAGACAAGTTTGTTGCAGAGCCATTGGTCCAATTATTATCGGTCGAACTCCAGGCAACCAGATGTGACTGAATTGGCGCCTTGGGTTGCAGCAAGATATGCAGGCAGAATGCGGGTGGCTGGAAGAGAAGAATCTGGGAGCTAAAAATTACCGGTTGAATCTCTTCCAGCGGTTGGATGCACTACCAGTAATTATGTACATGAAAGTGACATGCACTCCTACTGGAGCTGCATTTATCTCTCGAGAAAGCCGAGCTTGGAGGAATCTTACAGAATGGATAGCATACCATGGAATGGGGATACCCCTCATTGGTGTCATATTCCGTAGTCACCTTGAGATAATGGAAAATGCAAAACCATTTGTTTGACATACATCGTTCTGTAATGCAGTTTGGCTGTAACTTTCCGTGTTTAGCGGCGCGGCAGCTACCAATGTTGGAGGTAGTATCTGAAAGGGGTAGGCTTCAGGGTATGCACCAATCACAAAAGACGATTCGGTTCCTTGAGATTGCTTGCCTGACCTATCTGGCTGCTCAGTTCAGTAGAGGCCTCACATTTTAGGTTCGGGCTGGGTTTTCCAGAATGCCGTCGATATGCCGGCCCCAGACTTGACCTGGACGGCTTTCAAAACGGGGCGAGGTTCGGTTCGGCAAACGGCTTGGATTTCACCAGTCGGATCACCTGGACACGCAACCCAATGTTGCCCGTGCGCGACACTATGCGATTTGTCCTTCCCCGAAAAGTGCGATGTAGCGAAGCGTCGCATCACGGGGAGAGGCGCCGACGCTTTCCAGGGCCAGGATAAGATCGACCCGATAGACAGATTTGACGAAAGATCCAACGGTCATCGTCTCTCCTTCCCCACCACTCTGGATTTCTCGAGACTGACGAAGCAGCACCAGCAACATCGCACCACCAGCTCTCAAGAAACGGAGGAGATTGGGAAGCATAAACATCAGCGTGCTTCACAGCGGTTTGTTTATAATCAGATCGGTTTGCTTCGGCGGAGTTCTGACAAGCTCGGAAGAGCAACTCGGTTTGGGTAGCTTTTTTGCGTGCCTGGTCAGACGCAGGCTGAGCTGGAGCTCGCTCAACCACAAGCAAGAAGAGGCCACCTCGGCATCCTTCCACTAATCGAGTCTCTCATTCATTCCCGCGCATTCAGCAGTCTAAGGAGCTCCTATGCGCAATTGCTTCGCCGATTATCCGTCTTAGTTTTTCATTCCTTGGTACTCGGCCAAGATGGGTTGGTTTACGAATCCGACTACCTCCGCATTAGTCTCCGTCCAACGAGCATTCGGGAGACACCACGGACGGAGCAGCGATGGACCAGATCCCGAAACAGCTGCCGCCGATTCACACGGCAGTCGCGATGTCGCTGCGTTGTCACCTGCTCGAAGTGTGGTTCACAGCTCCGAGGCCTTGGGACAATCCACTCGCGGATCGCTTATGGAAATCTCCTCCGACACGGGAGACATTTCTCCAGCGAGGGATTTAGCCGATCTACCCGACGATGGCAGCAGACGCTCGTCGGTCTCTGAGGCTGCAGCGGAAGGCACTCTGGCGGAAGTGGAGGAGAAGCAGCGTCTTCTGGCCGGCTGGCGTCGCGTGCCGCACAACAAGTCGCTGGACGACCTCCACTCGTCCGTCTACGTGCCGCCTCCCGAGTCGGCCTGGTACTACAAGCTCTTCGCGTTCACCGGCCTGGGATTCGTCGTCAGCGTCGGGTACATGGACCCGGGAAACTGGGCCACGGACATTGCGGGAGGGTCGGCGTTCGGATACACGCTGCTGTTCGTCGTGCTCATGTCTTCCATCTGCGCTATGTTCCTCCAGAGCCTGTCTTTAAAGCTCGGCGTCGTCGGCGAGAGGGACCTCGCGCAGGCCTGCCGCGACGCGTACCCGCGCTACGCTAATCTTACCCTCTGGATTCTCGCCGAAATCGCCATCGCCGCTACGGACCTTGCGGAAGTTATTGGATCCGCGACAGCCATGTACCTTCTCTTCGGCTTACCCTTGTGGATAGGCATCCTTGTAACGGGAGCCGATTGCCTCCTTATAATCTTCCTCGGCGGCCGCAGCGCGCGCGTGTTGGAGCTGCTGATCTTCATCCTCTGTGCTGTAATCGCCGCGTGCATGACGTACGAGTTAATCGCGGTGCATCCCGACTGGGCCCTAGTCATGAAAGGGTTCGTTCCCTCAGGCCAGATTTTCACAAACCCTGACGTGCTATACGCAGCGGTGGGTATCCTGGGAGCAACGGTCATGCCGCACAACCTCTACCTCCACTCCAGCATCATCCAGACGCGCAATTACAGCCGCACGGCCGAGGGCAAGCGCATGGCAGTCCGTTACGGCACGTGGGACTCGTGCCTGTCGCTCTTCGTCGCGTTCTTCGTGAACGCGGCGATTCTGATCCTCGCGGCCGCGGCGTTTTACTACAACCCGTCAGGCCAGCAAACCGTGGCGGATATCAGCGACGCGTACCACCTGCTCGCGCCCGCCATCGGCGATACCGCCGCGAGGATCCTCTTCGGAGTCGCTCTGCTGGCCAGCGGGCAGAATTCCACCATCACGGGAACGCTTTCTGGACAAATTGTGATGGAGGGGTTTGTAGATGTGAAGCTTCCGCCGTGGCTGCGCCGCATGGTGACTCGCTGCATCGCGATCATCCCTGCTGTCATTGTGGCTGCTATCGGCGGGATGGAAGGTGCTGGGAAGCTTCTGGTGCTGAGCCAGGTGATTCTCTCGCTGCAACTGCCGTTTGCCATTGCGCCGCTGGTGCATTTCACGTCATCCCCGGCTCGCATGGGGAAGTTTGTGAATGGATGGGTGAGCATGATTCTGGCGATTCTCCTGACGTTGGTGATTATAGGGCTCAACGGGTTCCTTGTGGTGCAGTGGGCCATGGGTGGTTAGGCCGGGAGGGAAGGGATGGCTGGGTGTTGGTTGAGGGTTGGTTGGTGGATTGGCTGTGTGGCCATTGATGGTTAGGGTGGGATGGGGAAGTTTGTGAGTGGGTGGGTGAACACGATTCTGGCGAGTGTCCTGACGCTGGTCATTATAGGGCTCAATGGCTTCCTTGTGGTGCAGTGGGCCATGGGTGGTTAGGGTGGGAGGGAAGGGATGGCTGGGGGTTGGTTGGTGGGTTGGCTGTGTGGCCATTGGTGGTTAGTGTGGGATGGGGAAGTTCTGTGAATGGGTGGGTGAGCAGCAACATCTGGGCGGTTCTCCTGATGCTGGTCATCATAGGGCTCAATGGGTTCCTCGTCGTGCAGTGGGCTATCGATTGTTAGGGTGGGATGGCTGGGGTTGATTGGTGGGATGGCTGGGGGTTGTTTGGCTGTTTGACCATTGTTTCACAATTTTGCAGATAGGTGTGTGCATGGGGTGGGTCATCCAGTTCTGATGGCATAGAAGGATGGGATGATAACAGGTTGAGTTTTCGGCTCACACCCAACAGTTACCGGTACTACGGTAGGAGTTCAATTTGCGGAGAATAAGAGGTGTGGCAGAGGATGCTGGCCTGTGCTGGTACCGTACCTTATGCTTCTTTGTGGGAGTTGACTGGTCAAGAGGAGCATGGGTGAGATGCCTTTTTGCTGGATCATGCTGGCAAGGTGTTACCAGTTCCTACTTTTTAGGACTGGATAGTCGGGATTATCGCTGGATTATAGGTTCTTTTCCTTATCAATTCAGGTGAAATTGATTATGTTCTGAGATCTGACCACATTGTTGTGGATGCATCTGTTCATAGTAGCCTGTTTATCGCATGTGCACAACTTTCAGCAGCCACCAGGCACTGTGACGACAGACAATTGACTTCATGTGACAAAAACGCGTACGAAGCTCCCCACCACATGCATGCTGAATCTGCCACGTGTAAAAATAGCTCGCAAACCAAAGCTGCAGTCTCGGCTGTTGTAACCGCCCATCCGTCGCGGGCCCCGTATTCTCGCATGCAGGCGAGTTCAACAACGCGGCAAGCGCAACGCAGCTGGCGGCGATGCGAGAGCGGCAGCGCGACGTCACGCCGCGGTGTGGCGTCGCGTCGCTGCAAGATGGACGAATGCTGCACGAATTCCGCACGCTTCACGCTGGACGATGGACGCAGGAGAAGCAGCCTCGTTCGTGCCGCAGCCGCGCGGGAACGGTGCGGCAAGGGTGCCGCAAGGGTGCCGCAGGGGAGAGAACTGGGATGTTCCGTGAGGGTTTCGTCAACACAGCCCGGTTGAAAGCTTCTTCTCTCCTCACTGCGTGCAGAGATGGTTCGAGATTCTGAGAGCTCGCCGCGAGGAACGATCGCTGCAAGAAATAGGCGCGAAAGGGAGGGAAAGGCTTCTGCCGTAGCGTCGGTTGAGAGAGGTGAAGGATCGGTGGAGAGCGGTGGGGAATTCGCGAAACCAGTTGCTGCCGAGAGCGGGGAGGGGGGAGAAGAAGGCGGCGGGGACAGATCGAGGCACGCGCGGAGGGCACGTGGGGGAAGGAAAGGGCGTGCGGCGGCGCAGGCGCGCGGAGGTCGCGGAGAAGAGGAAACAGCGGGCGAAGGAACGGCTGGTTTGAAGGGGCACGGGACGACAAAAGGGGCGAGGGGGGTGGCGGAAACGGGGCGACGAGGGCGCGCGGGTAAGGCGAAGGCGGAAGGACGCGTAGGGCGCTTAGAGGAGCGCGAAGGCGGAGCGGAGGGCAGAGGCAGGGCGGAGCGGAGGCTACTGCGCGGATTGAGGCTGGAAGACTTCCCCCCTGCGGAGCAAGGCGCGCTGGTAGCGGAGAGGCAGGCGGAGAGTGAAACACTAGAGGAGGAGGAGGAAGGGGAGGGGGAGGAGGAGGTGCGGGAAGGAGAGGAGGAAGAGGAGGTGGTGGGATTGGAGGGAGGGAGTGAGGAGGGGAGAGGGGAGGCGGTGCAGGAGGAGATTCAGGAGCTTCTGAGGGAGGCGATAGCTGCAGAAGAGGCGGAGGCTCGGCAAGTAGAGGCACCGCAAGTCGAGGCTCGGCAAGCTGAGGCTCGGCAAGTTGAGGCTCGGCAAGTACAGGCGCGGCAAGTTGAGGCACGATCTGCTCCAACTGTAGCAGGGATAGCAGCAGCAGGGAAAGTAAGGAGAGTGAAGAGGGGTTGGGTAGAAGGGGTGAAGGGAAGAGGCAGGGAGGGAAGAGACAGAGAGGGAAGCGGCGGAGAGGGAAGGTCAGGCGAGCTGGAGGTTGCAGGGAGGAGAGGTAGAGAGGGTGAGGATCGAGAGGCAACAACAGTGGAGGTAGGGGCTGCAGCAGAGGGGGGAAAGAGGGCAGTGAGGGTGGTGGCATCACGCACACATACAGAGACAGTGCCTGTGTCGGAAGAGCAGCAGGTGGTTACAGTCACAGAGACCACGGTGCAGCTGCAGGTGCAGCAGGTGGCTGTAGAGAGGGGAGCGGAGGAAACGGGTGCAGGTGAGGCAGAGGCAGAGGAAGAGGAAGCGGAAGCGGACGAAGCATTTGAGGCTGCAGGTGAACGGATGGAGGGTATCGAGATGGCTGGCGGTATAGATGCGCAAGCCGCTGCGAAGCAGCAGCAGCGAGCAGCAGCAGCAGCAGCAGCAGCAGGGAACGGCGGCGCAAGGCCGGGTGAATCTTCCCCTGTTGCTGCGTCCCCAGCAACAGGAGCCGCGCCAAATCAACCCCCAGCTGCTGCTCCAGCAGCAGCAACTCCAGCAGGAGCAGGATCGACTTTCAAGACCTATCAAAAGTCAGCTCCAGCAACAGCAGGAGCAGCAGCGCCAAAGCAACCAGCTGCGCCACCGGCAGCAACACCTGCTGGGGCTTTAAGGGCCCCTATTTCCCCTGCTGGGGCGCCAGTGACACCATCAGCCGCTCCTGCTGTGCCTCCTGCGTGGCGCCTGGACGACCAGCAGCAGCAGATCGACTCAGGTCAGGGCGAGAAGGGCCCAGGGGTGCCTGGGGGGGCGGAACAGAGTGGGGGGGGCAGGGGGGCTGTTGACGCTGCTGCTGGGACCCGGGGTGTTAAGCGCTCTGCTGCTGTGATGACCCAGGCAGGTGGAGGGGGGGCTGGAGGACAGGAGGGGGCTGGTGTGGGTGGGCCTGGTCTTGCTGTGGGAGGACCTATCATCAGCGCTAGTCTCGGAGGGCCTACTCTCATCAGCCGCAGCATGGCGCATGGTGTGGGCCCGGGCATGGGGCTGGGAGGGATGGTGACAGCGATGGATGAGCGCATGATGGAGGTGGTGGTGCGGCATGTGCTGCAGGCACGGGAGGAGGTGCAGAGGAGGGCGGTGCAGGAGAGTGCGCGGGCTGTGAGGGACATGCGGGGACGGGTGGAGAGGCGGAGAGGCGGAGGAGGGAGGCGCGGCGGCTGGAGGAGGAGCGGGATGAGCGGCTGAGGGATTTGGCTGACACGGTTCAAGAGCTGGTAAGTGCGTTTTGGTGGTGTGTGCGTTCAGTTCAAGTGCCTGGAGTGGAGTGGTTCGGCCTTCATACATTCTAGGAACTGGTGAGCGCATGATGGAGGTGGTGGTGAGTCATGCGCTGCAGGCGAGAGAGGAGGTGCAGCGGAGGAAGGTGCAGGAGAGTGCGCGGGCTGTGAGGGAGATGCGGGGGAAGGTGGAGAGGCGGAGGAGGGAGGTGGGGAGGATGGAGGAGGAGCGGGATGAGCGGTTGAGGGAGATGGACGAGGCGGTTCAAGAGCTGGTACGTGCATGGGTGGGGGAGTGCTTTCCGTTCAGGTGCCTGGGGTGGAGTGTTGCGGCATTCATACATTCTAGGACTCGAGGAGCGGGATGAGCGGCTGAGGGAGATGGATGATGCCGTTCAAGAGCTGGTAGGTGCATGGGTGGGGGAGTGGAGTGCTTTCCCCCTCCCTTCTGCTGTGTTGTGCCTTTTGAGTCGACTCAAAAGTCACCTCGTGGGTGACTGACTAGGGTAATGTCTTTCCCCCTCCCTTATACCGTGCAGCTGGCGAGGGCGGAGAGCCTGTAGACGGCGGCAGGGGTGGTGCGTGGCTGGTTCTTATGAAGCCTTGAACCCATGTGCCTCATACCCCTGTCTTGTGTTGTGCCTTCCTTCCCCTGTGCAGGTGGCGAGGGCGGAGAGCCTGGAGAGGGCGGGCAGGGAGGCGCAGAGATGGTTCGTATGGAACCTTGAACCCGTGTGTCTCATACTCCTATGCTGTTTTGTGTTGTGCTGTGTTGTGCTGTGTTGTGTCGTGCCTTTCCCCTGTGCAGGTGGCGAGGGCGGAGAGCCTTGAGAGGGCGGCCAAGCAGGCGCGGGGGATGGCAGAGAGGGCAGAGCAGGACAAGGCAGTGCAGGCGGCAAAAATCAGGGCGAGCTACGAGGTGTGTTGGGGTTGGTTGTATGTGGGTATGGGGCGAGGGGTGGGAAGGGCAAGCGAGGGGTGGGAAGGGCAAGCGAGGGGTGGGAAGGGCAAGCGAGGGCTGTGTGTGTGGGGTGTGGGGGGGAGGGGGAGCGAAAGGTGGGCATCTGTCCCAGAACACGTGTGTATTATTGCCTATTTGTGTTTCCCTTCCCTATCACCTCTCAACCTCCTCTCTTCTTGACTCATGCACACCAGGCGCTACTGGGAGATGACAAGGAGAGGCGCACTGGCAGAGGCAGAGAGGCAGCTGGAAGCACAGCAGGCCGGTTTATAGCTGCTTCTTGCCCCTCTTGCCCCTCTTGCCCCTCTTGTTCCTTTTGTCCAGGCACTACTGAGGGACGACAAGGAAGGGGGGGCACTGGCAGAGGCAGAGGAGCAGCTGGAAGCACAGCAGGCTGAGCTGTGGGCGCTATAGGCGTCTAAACGATTAACAATCTTGTTCACTCGCTCTTGCCCCCCTCTTATACAGACGCTATTGGGGACGACAGGAATGGTCAGGCACTGGCAGAGGCAAAGCGGCAGCTGGAGGCGCAGCAGGCAGAGCTGCGAGCGTTACAGGCCAAGCAGGCAGCTCTGGCGACTCTTTCCCATGCCCTCCCTCCTCTCCTCTAGTCTCTGCTTCACTCCCTGCTTCATCCATGCACATTCTCCTTTGTTGCCTCCAGCCATGAGACTAGGCGAGCTGCAGCTTAGGAGAATTCTTTAGCAGAAGAAAAACAGGGTTTAGGGTGATGCAGTAGGGCTCATCACGCTGATTTGGGAGCTACAGGCCAAGTAAGCAGGCTGCTCTGGCGGACGACCTCAAAGCCAGGTTCTGGAGCACTGTGAAGAGCGAGCTTTATGATGGGGGCCCGTAGGCCTTATAAGGATGATGCAGGCTCGTATCGTATGGCTTGTAGCCATCTGTGTTTCAGGCACCTTGAGTAGAGAGAGACGACTTCAAGTCCAGTGTCTGAAGCACAGTCAGGAGCGAGCTGTACAACCGTTGATCGGGGCTCACAGGACTTGTACGGTAGTGCTGATGCGAAGCAGGCAGCTGAAGAGGGAGCTGTACGACCGTGGTGGCTCATAGGGCTGTGCAGTGTAGTGTTCACGCTGATGAAGGCTTTGACGGTGTAACAATGTGTTACCATGTGCTCATGTGCTTATTGCTTTGGTCGAACTAGTGGGGTAGAGTTGATATGGACGGGAGGCACTTCATGTGCTTTTGTATTATACGTACATATTGTTTATGTTGAGGTAAAACAGAAGCACGGTACATACGGTAATGCTTTGCTCATGTTGGACTGGCTGTTGCGCCTGGTAGCCCTTCGCTGATTTGTAATAATATTATCTACAAACCCCCGCTATCGATTGGATCAAGACCCACATTGTTCATCGAACTATATATGGGTCTCGCAACCCCATAAATAGCTGAATATATCTAAATATTTTAGTAACTCCTTTTTCACTCTCTGTACACTTTTGTTCCCCCAACCTGGATTGAGCAATTTCAGATCGTTCCACCGAGTCGTAGCCGAGAACGTGTCTCCAGAAATGTGACGCCATAGGACACACCCTGGCGGCAGGTGGTTCCGCCCCATTCGACCTGGGCGGCTCACGTTCAACGCAGGCCAAAGCCCGGCGAAATGAAGGTGAACTGCGCTTGACGAAAAGAAGGTGCACAACGAATGTGGTACACTGACGACGTAAGCGAAGTTAATGCACCCTTCAAGTACGCGTGGCGAATCCATTTCAGTTTTGACGAGTTCTGCAAGTTGGGACTGAAGTTTCGCAGCTAGCCTTGGCGAAACACTCTCATATCCGTTTGAAAGTGCTGGCGAAAACGACCTCTTACTGCTCACTCATCTCTCACGCCCATCCTCCATTTCGTTTCGTGCACGATTTCCTCCATACCTAATTAGGGTTCCACGACACCTCTTCCTTAGTAGTAACCCTAGGAGGCGCTGGTCGAGTAGTAAATCGCACATAGCAGGCGTAGTTAGCGACGGCGTGCACGGCGAGCGACGCCGTCAGATGCGGCGAGAATGTCCGATGGACTGCTCGGCTTCGCTCATCTCATTAATCGCCCCAGTGAGTCAGGCTGGCAATCAGACAGCTCCACACCGAAAGAGTCTAAGGTTTTCACAACATGCACAACCGTTTTAGGGCCGTTACTAGAGGGTTACCCGCCAGACTCGTCGGCGAAGCACGAGGATGCGGCGAAACACTCGTTTAGTCTTAAGAAGCTGTTTGGAGCGAAGTCGGGGAAGTCTAAAGAGGAGGAGGCGAAAGCGCGAGACGCGGAGATTAAGTTTGTCTTGCAGGCCGCCGCGACGCCGTTAGCTTCGGTTCCGAAGCAAATAAGTCTGCCTCGACCGACGACTCCCGAACTAACGCAGGTACACCGATCATGGAGGGTTGCGACGGGAATGGCGAGAGTTACCGAAGCTGACAGGATCGCTGCATTTCGCTGGTCGTCGTCGCACATCGCAAGTGTCCATTGTCAATAGAAACTGTCTTAGTTCTAGTAAGGAGGTGGTTTGATAGCGATAACGTTTTTAATTACCATTTTCACTTCTTGTGGGTCGCCGCGTCGTTTCGACGTGTTTTCTCGCCGCTCAGCCGTTTACATTGTAAACAGAAATAACCGCATTGCTCGCAAAAAAGCTAGATAGTTAGGCATCGCGTAATGCGAAGATCGCGTCGGCTAAAAAGGTTACTTTCTAACCGACTGAAATGTCCATGGCTCCTATTTTTTTACGCGCGATCGCTCACTGGGCTCGCATTTTTGGAGCATCCTGAGTAGTGTTTCTATGTTCAGAACACGTTTTTTTTTAGACTCCAACAAATTGTGTGGTGGTGTTTCCATTTTCCGTTTGATATATCCGTTACGCCGTCCGTACGTGCGCATTGAAACTTTTATCGAAAATGCGGCCCTCTTGGTCTCGTTCTGTCGTCCTCACGTTCGCATTGCTTCAATGTGGAGGCACCTGAAAACGGACACGGACTCCCTCTCCCCCCCGTACCTTCACATTGCTCCCAGCAACACCGTTCCTTTGCGCCGCTTCACCTCCCGTCACCTCACCCACCGTCGCCTCCCCCACCCTTCTCCTCCGCGTTCCAACCATTTCTCTCCCCTTGCGCTTCATGTCTCCCGGACGCGCTCCTCCCTTCGCGTCTCCCTCCCGCATCCGTTCGGGTCACTCTCAACCCTCCCTTCGTTCCCCCACCCCCTCCACCCCTCCCTTCGGGTCCCTCGCACTCGTTCGCGTCTCTCACACCCCTCCCTCGATCTAGAATCAACGGCCGTTCGGCGGCTACAACTCGACCCTCCAATCGTGCCTCCTTCGCCCCTCCGTTCGCGTCTCCCTCGCCCATCCCATCGCGTCTCCCGCACCCCTCCCTTGATCCAGAACCAACGGCCGTTCGGCGGTTGCAACTCGCCCCTCCATTCGCGTCTCCCTCCCTCACCCGTCCCCTCCCCGTCTCCCTCACCCCTCCCTTGCGCCGGAAGCAACAGGCGTTCGTGCCTGCTTTCCGACCCTGCCTGCGACTTTCCAGACGTCTCAAAAGTCGTCCCCTCCTCGTCTCTCGCACCCCTCCCTTGCGCCGGAAGCAACAGGCGTTCGTGCCTGCTTTCCGACCCTGCCTGCGACTTTCCAGACGTCTCAAAAGTCGTCCCCTCCTCGTCTCTCGCACCCCTCCCTTGCTCCGGAAGCAACAGGCGTTCGTGCCTGCTTTTCGACCCTGCCTGCGACTTTCCAGACGTCTCAAAAGTCGTCCCCTCCTCGTCTCTCGCACCCCTCCCTTGCTCCGGAAGCAACAGGCGTTCCGCGGCTACACCTCTCGACCCTGTCTGCGCGTCTCTCTCCCTCACCCCTCCCGTGCTTGCTCCCAGAACCAACGCACCACGAGGGACGACTTGAAGAGGCACATAGCACCATATGGCCTCTACAACTCACTCCCTTTGCGTCCCTCTCACGCCTTTCATGCTCCCCCTCAGAACCAACGCACCACGAGGGACGACTTGAAGAGGCACATAGCACCATATGGCCTCTACAACTCGCCCCTCCCTTGGCGTCTCCCTCACCCATCTCCTCCCTGTCTCTCTCACTCTTCCCGTGCGCCCCTCACCCCTCTGCCTTCCCTCAGAACCAACGCACCACGAGGGACGAGTTGAAGAAGCAAATAGCAGCATCGGGCGCCTGGCACTCCCCTCTCCCTTGGTCTCTCTCTCCGACCCTCCCATCCTGTCACCTCACCGCCACCCCTGTGGTAACCTGCCATTGCTCTCCACGCCTCCCGTGCTCCCTCCCAGAATCAACGCACCACGAGGGACGTTCTCAAGAAGTACGTAGCAGCATCGGGCGGCCACAACTCGCCCCTACCTTAGCGTCTCTCTCGTTCACCCATCTCCTCCCTGTCTCCCTCACACACCTCCCGTGCCCCCTCCCAGAATCAACGCACCACGAGGGACGTGTTAAAGAAGTACATAGCAGCATCGGGCGGCCACAACTCGCCCCTACCTTAGCGTCTCTCTCGTTCACCCATCTCCTCCCTGTCTCCCTCACACACCTCCCGTGCCCCCTCCCAGAATCAACGCACCACGAGGGACGTGTTAAAGAAGTACATAGCAGCATCGGGCGGCTATAACTCGCACATGGCGCAGCAGGGCTCCGTGATTTCCGGCCACGTCACAATCTGGGCGTCCGAGGTGGTCATGGGAGACAAGACGGTCTACGCCGCCCCCACCGCGGGCGGCCGCGGCGGTGCTGACGTGGCGAAGGGGACGTTCCGCGTGGTCCAGATGCCGCCCAACATGTGGCACGTGGCGGTGGCTATGGGCGACACGCGGATTGACGCCACGTGTGACGGCGAGCTGGTGTGGCGGCGGAGCAGTTGGGGGCCGTCGACGACCGCTAAAGGGCCTGTGCGACCACTCAGGCATTTGCTAGCGGTAGGTGTGGTCTTGAGTGCGGTTCAGTGCGGTGAGTGGGTTTGAGTGGGAAGGCCGTGAGGGCGTGTGACGGCGAGCTGGTGTGGCGGCGGAGCAGTTGGGGGCCCTCCACGACGGCTAAGGGGCTCGTGCGACCACTCAGGCACTTGCTAACGGTAGGTGTGGGCTAGTGCGGTTCTGTGCGGTTAAGTGGGTCTGAGTGTGGGATGGGGAAGGAAGGATGTGTGACGGCGAGCTGGTGTGGCGGCGGAGCAGTTGGGGGCCGTCCACCACGGGGGCCACCACGACCATGGGCCCCGTGCGACCACTCAGGCGCTTGCTAGCGATGGGTGTGGTTTTGAGTGCGGTTGAGTGGGCTTTAGTGGCTGGGAGGGTGGAATGAGGATTGACGCCACGTGTGGCGGCGGAGCAGTTGGGGTCCATCGACGACGGCTAAGGGACCTGTGCGACCACTCAGGCACTTGCTAGCGGTGAGCGCGGTTGCGTGCGGTTGAGTGCGGTTGAGTGGATTAGGAAGGTGGGATGGGAAAGGAAGGCTGTGACCTGGTGCGGCGGCGGAGCAGCTGGGCGCCGTCTAGCACGGCTAATGGGCCCGTGGGACCACTCAGGCACTTGCTGGCGGCGAGCGTGGTCTTGAGTGCGGTTGAGTGCGGTTGAGTGGCCTTGAGTGGGGCTTTGAGTGGGCGTAGCAGCTGGGTGCCGTCCACCACGGCCAAGGTGCGACCACTCAGGCACTTGCTGGCGGCGAGCGTGGTCTTGAGTGCGGTTGAGTGCGGTTGAGTGGCCTTGAGTGGGGCTTTGAGTGGGCGTAGCAGCTGGGTGCCGTCCACCACGGCCAAGGTGCGACCACTCAGGCACTTGCTGGCGGCGAGCGTGGTCTTGAGTGCGGTTGAGTGCGGTTGAGTGGCCTTGAGTGGGGCTTTGAGTGGGCGTAGCAGCTGGGTGCCGTCCACCACGGCCAAGGTGCGACCACTCAGGCACTTGCTGGCGGCGAGCGTGGTCTTGAGTGCGGTTGAGTGCGGTTGAGTGGCCTTGAGTGGGGCTTTGAGTGGGCGTAACAGCTGGGTGCCGTCCACCACGTCCAAGGTGCGACCACTCAGGCACTTGCTGGCGGCGAAAGGGCGGGCAGTAGTGCGGTTGAGGAGTGCCCATGAGTGTGGTTGAGTGTGGTTCAGTGGGCTTGGGCGTGGCTGTGATTGGGCGTGGCTGTGAGTGGGCCCGATTGGCCTTGAGTGGGCGTGTAGGGAGGCATTGCAAACAGACAGTGGTCATGACTGCTGCTGTGTGGCGCCGACATGCAAAGGGGACTGTTGGGCCAGTGAGCGACGCCCAACAGAGGTCCACTTATCTTCACTTATTGCTTGTGAAGATAAGCAACACTCACTTATCTTCACTTCTGGTCCTAGCAGTGGCGGGTCGCTTGGAGTGCGAGTGCTGCTGGTGGTGAGCGGTCACTCTACCAGGTATAGTATGAGCCGGTGGGAGAGGGGAGATGATAGAGGTGGTGGGTGTGGTTCTGGGTGGCGCTGCTGGGTGGGATGCGGTAAGTGCCGCCTAGGGTGGGGTTGGTTTGAGTGAGTTCCGCGTATGAGCTGATTGTTCAAAGAGCAGGCGGCACTATCGAGCAGGAAGAGAGTCCGTGTATTCTAGCTGACATGGATTCGTTCTAATCTAAAAGACACGGAATCAACGCCATGGGATGAACGAACCCAGCTGTTTCTTCCATGGGAACAACAACTGGAAGGAGCACGCAGGGAATGGTTGGAGGCGGTTTGTGGCGGCTTGAGGCTGTTTGAGGTGGTTTGAGGTGGTCACTGCACAAGGGTATGTGCTGCTCGCAATGTCCCTTCCCAATCCCTTCCCACCTCCTTCCTCCACGACTTGTAGAGGAAGGAAGTCCACCCTTTTCCACTGCTCTCCACTCCTCTCCAATCCTCTCCACTCCTTACCCCACCCCTCCTTCCACCCCGCATCAGGGCCTGGACTGGACCCGCCCACAGTCGCGGACGTGTGTGCATCCGCCACCTGTTCCACCTTCCATCCCCTCTGCTCCTCCCCTCCCCACTCCTCATGGCTGTTTTGAACACCACAGGGACTCGATCCGCCCACAGTGGCAGACGTGTTTGCGTCGGGAGAGTATCAGGGCGACGAGGGCATAGAGGAAGAAAGTCCACAACTCTCCATTCCTCTCCACTCCTTTCCACTCCTCACTCATCCCTCCGCGGCCCTACTCTGCCCAAACCCCAGGGCTTGGACCCGCCTACAATCGCAGACGTGTTTGCGTCAGGGGAGTATCAGGGAGACGAGGGCATAGAGGGCGACGAGTGCATGTGCGTGAAGGTGATGGCCAATCCGCTGGCGCTCATGAGCATGAGCACGGGCGGGGGCAACGTGGGCGGCAAGCAGCAGGACGACCAGCAGCAGGGTGACCAGTGCACGCAGGAAGGAAGTCCACCCCTCTCCTCTCAACTCCTCTCCACTCTTCTGCACCCCTCTCCACCCCTCTCCACCCCCCTCCACTCCCTTCCCGGCCCTATTCTGCCCAAACCCCAGGGCTTGGACCCGCCCACAGTGGCAGATGTGTTCGCGTCAGGAGAGTATCAGGGAGACGAGGGCATAGAGGGCGACGAGTGCATGTGCGTGAAGGTGATGGCCAATCCGCTCGCCCTCATGAGCATGAGCACGGGCGGGGGCAACGTGGGCGGCAAGCAGCAGGACGTGTGCGACGTGCTGGCGTACCAGGTGGAAGGTTTCTTCAGTAAAGCGTCGGGGCTGCTGATTGGACTGCGCGACCACCACCTTACGAAAACCAAGGTGCGTCTGGTGGATGTCTGAGTGCAAGGGGCCAGAGGGGGGGAAGGCAGCAAGCAGCAGGGCGTGTGCGACGTGCTGGCGTACCAGGTAGAAGGATTCTTCAGTAAAGCCTCGAGGCTGCTGGTGGGGCTGCTGGTGGGGCTGCTGGTGGGGCTGCTGGTGGGGCTGCTGGTGGGGCTGCTGGTGGGGCTGCTGGTGGGGTTGCGCGACCACCATCTTACTAAAACCAAGGTGGGAGGGATTGGGGAATCTCCAGGGGCAGCCTGGGATGGGATGGGATGGGATGGGATGGGATGGGATGGGATGGGATGGGATGGGATGGGATGGGATGGGATGGGATGGGATGGGATGGGATGGGATGGGATGGGATGGGATGGGATGGGGAATGAATGCCACCCCCGAGGCAATCGCGACTGCCACCCCCGCACACACCTATGACTCTTGAGGCGCGCGCCTCAAGAAGGGGGATTGGGGATACACGCATGACAGTCCCTCCATGGCCACAACGCCCGAGGCAACCACGTCTGCCACCCCACCCTTCCGCTTCCCCTTCCCCTTCTCCTTCCCCTTCCCCTTCCCCTTCCCCTTCCCCTTCCCCTTCCCCCACCCCATTCCCCTCCCCCTCCCCCTCCCCCTCCCCCTCCCCCTCCCTCTCCCCCTCCCCCTCCCCCTCCCCTTTCCCATCGTCGGGGACGATACGCGCGTGGGTGAGGGAAGAGTGGCATGTGGACTTGGTCACACAGGAGACTCTGTGCTCTCCCTCTGACGAACTGCTCCCCTTCCTCTTCCTTTCCCCTTCCCCTTCCCCTTCCCCTTCCCCCTCCTGCTCCCGCCGTCTCTTGCTCCCCCTCCCTTTACCCTCCCTTTCCCCCCTCCTCCTCCCCTCCCCCCACGCAGACAGCGAGCAACAGCACGATCTACTGGGAGAGGGTGATGGTGACGCGGGTGGGGGACTTTCAGCCCATGGAGGGCGGCATGATCGTCCCCCACAGCGGCCGCTCCGTGCTCTCTCTTGCCAAGCGCTGCGATGACGACACGTCGGGGACGATACGCGCGTGGGTGAGAGAAGAGTGGGGCGTGGACTCGGTCACACAGGACGCCACCGCCATGCAGGGGTTGCTAGCTCGGCCGGCGGATTTGATTATGACGGCTAGTTCGGCGTCTTTGCATAGAGGGTGATTTGGGATTGTGGATCTGAGAGGCTGGGGGTTTTCGGATGTGCGATTGGGTATGGATGGGTTTACTGCTGTAGAATGGGCGGCAGACTTTATTATGACTGCCAGCTTGGCTTATTTGTTAGAGGGTAATTATCATGAAGGTTTTTTATGGTTAGCTTGTGTGGGTTGGCGGGAGAGGATGAGGGAGTGGCAGAAAGAGTTGGTCGGGGTGGGTGGATAGGGTTGTAATCTGGTTTAGATTGTGATTCAGTTGTTAGGATGGGTTTCGAGGGGGTTTAGCAGGTCAGAGCAACCATAGTAGAGTAACTGAATATTGTCTGGAGCTTGCTCTGCATGACTCTTGTCTGGTAGTAACTCAAATTTGTGGACTAGTTATTGAGGCACTTCCATTCGGTGAATAAAGTGTATTACACCTCTGACATGAGAAGCAGACATCAGTTACCGGTAACAGTAATCATGTACTGTACCCTGAGTGAATGGGGCTGGGGAAGCATATTCTCACGTCACGAGGGAGTGTTCGTGCTGGCCGACATCACACCTCTGCGCCCATTCGAAGACGCTCGGCGTGCCAGCATTGCACGTGAAGCTGGAACAGATATTTTTCAGATACGGTAACCATCTGGCATTTTTGCGCTATCTGCCCGAACATCATTTTTTAGACTGGAAAATCCGGTGCGTTAGAGTTTATGAAATTGCATATCTTCCTCATTTTACATAGTTTTGGGCTGGATGGAAGGAACCCCCAGGCTCAGGGCGTTGCAGATTTGCGCAAGATTTACCTGCCTTCACATTGTCATGACATGTCGTGTCAGCGCATCTCTGTCATGGCAATGGCTAGAAATCTGCGAGATTTCGCTCCAAGTCAGCCTAGCACGTGTGCCACGCAAACCCACAAATGATGGAAATCGATTTGGCGACAGAGCATTATTTTTTTCTGAACAAAAAACGAGTCTACACAGTTCTGTAGACTCGTTTTTTAGAAATGCCTTTAGTTGCTGGGAATTTAGACCTTGTTCAGTGTTTACTCTATCTGATTCAAGGGCTGTACATAGGGTTTGTTTGCACAAATATTACCGATGACCTCCCCGAGCACGTTCAAACGGTTGCAGCATCCTGCTTCAAACTTTGCTCATTCCATTTGGTGTTTCTTTTGTCAGCACGTGCTGTCAGGGCCAGGGGGGGGCAACCCAGATTGCTGCCAGCACAGCAACACCCAAACTAGTGTCAGACGGCGCCACCCAAACCAACAGCAACAGCACACGGTTCAACTGGAGCCAAGGCAAACCACCAGGTCCAAGCCAAACCACCACCAAGGTGCTTCGTGACTGGCGTTGCCTTCCTTCCCTCCCCATTTGAAACAAGCTGCTCCAGGAAGCTTTGAACTGTTCCACTCCACGCGCTTACTCCGGCGAGTTTCTCGGTCCCTCCCTCCCTCCGCTTCCATTCGTCCCCAAGCCAACCCAGTCCAGCAGTTCCCACTCGTTCCATTCTGTTCTGTGCACCGCCTCACCCTCCCCCACACGCAACCAGTTTCGTTGGCACGATCACCACCAGCAGCAGCTAAACAGAAACTGGCAAGAAGCAATTGTTGGCCTTTTCCTTTGCCAGAAAATTCTCTCGAAATTGCGCTAGGGAGACACTGGGCGACTATCATGGCTGGAATGGACCACCGATCGCCTGTGTCTGATAAATCTTGGCAGCAACCAGCTCAGCCTAGCCTGTCCGTCAGGTCAGGAGGAACAAGAGATCTTGTAGCGGCTGTATCTCGTGACAATTTATTCCATTCCGTCGTGGGCGCGCCCCCGCGGTCGACGTTGTTCTCCGCTGGAATGGCATTCCATCGGGCAGGCTGCTGCCTTGAGCAACACACAACGACGACACGATACGACATGGCACGACACAACACGACACGACAAACCATGTTTCTTGTTTCCGTGTCGCACACGCCCCGCCGCGTCCCTCTATTGCTTCCTTCTTCCCCTCCCCTCTCTCCCTCGAACAGACGTTCTTCGTTCAACTTCCAGCCAATTTCTTTCAGATGATACCAGCATTTTGTGAAACTAATAGTCGCGATCGCAACACCCCCTTCCACAGTCCCACTTGAATAGCCAGAAGGTCTTCTTGCTCAGAGCACCGCCGGCGAGAGAACAAGTACCGATTTTTTTTTATAAGCGCATTGTCTTCCGAACGTAAAATAATAACACTTGCGGCCATGGACATCTGTCTCCGCGACATCTACCCACCAGCGACACCGTCAAGCGCAGAGTGCGGCGCCCGTCGTGGGCGCGCGCGCAACACGCCACCGTCTCATTTCCCCTCCGCCGCGGCGGCTGACGACCCTCCGGAGGGCTCTCAGCCGCGCAAGCGTGACTGCCACTACCCGTCTACGACGCGTTGCATTACGACTACGGTTCAAGCAACAGCTCATAGCGACGGCGAGCCGTCGAATAACAATCATGTCCACGCGGCGGACACTCAGCCGCCACTGACGAACGTTCTCGGGAAACGCTGCGCGGCGCTTTGTCGGTCAAATCGGAACAGAGCGACGGATATGGAGTCGCAGGAGTCGAAGCGACGAGGCTGCGACAGATTTCTGCGACATGATGTGCTCGAAGAGTCGTCTTCCCCGGCTGTGGAGAGAACATTCGAGGAGTTTGGACGGATGAGGAGAAATATTGCTCACAGCCCAAGATCGTCTGAGTCGTCGCTTTCCGCTTCCGCCGCCGCGTCCCAAGGCCGTTTGCTTCGATACAAGGCTCTGGCGGAATGGCCGGCGACGGCTCAGAGAATCGCGGCGTCGGCGACGTCGCGAGGTACCACTACGGAGGCGGCGACGCGGCGCGCTACGGAATGTCCGGCGACGATCGTCGGATTGCTGCAGAATATCAAGCGGAAAAAGCACGTAGTGATGTCTCCGCACGCGACTTCATCACCTCCGCATGCGACGTCGCAGCATATGATGACACTCCAGCACGGGCGCCACGTGACTATCAGCGATGCCGCGGCGCCGCAGCGGAATCTCGAGGCGGTTAAGGACCCAGCGCGGAATGTTCTGACTACTACTCTTTGCTCTGCGCTTAGTTTCGCGACCATTTCGCGTCCGGGCCATCACGCCATTCGTGACGACATTTCGCATCCGTTCTCGCGAACCCCTGCCGAAGAGTCATTACCACGCATCCAAGATTCTAAAGCGGGCGCCGAAGTTACTCACGCAGGCGCGTGGCATCACAAGGTGGGGATCGAGGAAACGTGCGGTGCCCCTGCGGAGACGGCGACCTACTACTGCTCGACAAACCCTAAAGTTCGTGAAGCAGAGCCAGAAGAATATATCCCGCTCATCACTGCTGCTTCGACCCTAGCTAACGAAAATGCGGGTTTCTCTGCGACCGTTGCGGCGTTACCCCATCAGATTTCGAACAGTCAGATTATGTCAGTTTCTCGAGTTTCGTTTGTTCCATTTTCGGCAATGCAGCTGTCCCTCGCAAATGTTTCGTCAATTCCGGATTTTCAAGATCAGCCTCAAGTTTCTTCACCAGCCCCCACGCTTTCGCCAAAACCAGTTCCCGAGGTTGGATCTGCATTACAACTTTCCGCTGCGCCTGCGCCAACTTCCGCACTCTTTTCTCCGCATAATGCCTCAGCCGCAACCTCCCCAACTGCACCATGGCGGAAGGACGAGGAGAGCATCTATACGATGCAGGGTAAATTCCCCAGCAAAAACTCTACTACACTCAAGGAAAAGGAGCCGTCTTGGAATAACCTGGTGTCTCTTTGCGAGCTGGATGACGCCGAGCTGACGGCAGCTGCTGACGCCAGCGAGACGGCGGATGACGTCAGCGCCAGTCGTCTGAGTGGCTATGGAAGCGGCCAGGGTGAAGCTGAAACCAGCATGGAGGATGGGGATGCGAATAACAAGGATGGCGTGAAGGGACATTTTGGCCTGGAGCTGGGTAACGCGCTGTTTGGAATCATTCCAGAAATGGAGGGGACTGATACGGAGAGGATGGAAGAGAAGGCAGCGGGAAGAACGTGTTTCGATGGGATTGGCATGGAGGGACAGATTGAGGGCTTGTTGAACCGCGAAGACGAAGGAAGCAACCGTGGCAAGGTAGACGACAGCTGTATCGCATCAGCATTGCTTAATCATGGGCCATCGGCACGCGCCACTACCCCTGTCCCCACCCGCCTTGTCTCTGCTTCTCCCTCTGCCTGTGTCGAAAGCACGCGCGCTGCTTGTGCCACGTCAGCATCCGTGTTTCTCCCCACCCCCATGGAGCCCATTGTCCCCAGCCGGCGTGCGGTAACTGGGTTACCAGCTCTGGTGCTGCCCCCTCCTGGCGGCGACAACGACGCGTGCAGTGCTGATTGCAACCGTGGGTGCAGCACTGGTTACCACACAGGCTTAAGCGGATACTGCAAGGAAGACTGTAAGGGGGATTGCAAGGGAGAGTGCAACAGCGGAGGCTCATCCTTCCCTTATGGGTCTTCCCCTTACGGGTCTTCCTCTTATGGGTACACGCTCACACCCGGCCTGCCAAGCACGCCCCCGCGACACGACACCATGGTTCTTCCGTCCTGTGAAACCGACTCAGAGGAGCAGCGGCCGCTTGAGACGACTGGGGCCCCCCCGGGGGCAGGTATTGTTGGCGCGGCTCAGAATGCCTTCACTGTCAAGAAAGAGGAGGATGCTGACCTGTATGCTGACGTGTATGCTGACGTGTATGCTGACGTGGCTTCTGACGTGGACGCGAGCAGCAGAGCGACTCAGGGATACAGCTACTCGAAGCGGGAGAGCGGAGGAGCGGCCCCAACTGTTGCCGCCATGCAGAAATCCAGGCGGTGAGTCCCCCATCCCCATCCTCATGCTGTCCACATGCTCCCCTTGCATTGCCCTCACGGGGCGGAGGCGGGCAGCCAAGAGAGCATCAGCCAAGCGCATCTGCATGCCCGCATGCCCAACATTCCCATGCTTATGCATATGCTGTTCCCCATCCCTATGCTCGCTCTCATGCTGTCCCACCCTCTCCCCCATCCCATCCCATGCTTGGTGTCACGGTGCGTGCAGGCGGGCGGCAAACAGAGCATCAGCCAAGCGCGTTCGCAGCAGACAGCAGCAGCACCTGCAGAAGCTAGAATGCGAGGTAGGGCACCCTTTTTTATTTTTTTCTTTTTATTTTCTTCTTGCAAATACCCTTTGTTTAAAAATCCGTTTCCGAACATAGATTCCACGTTCGGCCACATGGCTCATGGCACATGGCACTGCTGCATGCCACAGAGCCTAGCCATCCTCATCCCCTTCCTCACACCCTCTTTCCCATTCCCCTCTTGCCAATGTTACCACCATCACACCAGACGCGTGAGCTGGCAGCAGCAGTCTGGAGGGCACTGGGAGCTGAACTGGCAGAGGCGAGCTGGCAGGTGTGGCTGTTGAGACACATTCCCGTCTCAATGACACTTTCTGCATTCCCCCATGCCAAAATAACCCCCTGCCAATGTTACCACCACAACCACACCAGACACACGAGTTGACTGCGCTGTGCAGGGCGATGAGAGCGGAGCTTGCAGAGGCGAGCCGGCTGGTGGGACACACTTTCTTACCAATAACTCTCTCCGCATCCCCCCTTGCCCATGTTACCACCACCACCACACCAGACACGTGAGCTGACAGCGCAGTGCAAGGCGATGCGAGCAGAACTGGCAGAGGCGAGCCGGCAGGTGGCAGCTCAGAAGAAGCGCAATGAAGAACTGGTAGGGGAGAAGCAGAGGCTGCTGGTGCTGCTGGGGGAGGGGCAGACCAGTGGGCTGCTGGGCCGTTGAAATATATTCATATCACGTGAAGCGCCTCAACGCAGAAAGAAGTGGGACAAGGCTCCTCTGGTTGGAGCAGAAGCAGCGATTGCTGCTGCTGCTGGGAGAGAGTTAAACCAGCGGGCTGCTGGAATTTAGTATGGCAAGGTCACTCATGACTTGACGCCTCAAGTCATCTGCACGTGAGCTCTTCCCCTGCTAAGGGATTGTCTGCTGGAATGCTGCATTCAGCATCCGACGTCAAGAGCTCAAGCGCGCATGTACAGTCACCGTATCTGGGAGCACAGCATCCCTGCAGAGTCGACTTGTAGTAGTCAACCAAGTGCGGCACCGATGCGCTGTAGTAGGAGGGATACCGTATGTTATCTTATGTTTATTTATATCTGCAGGGTATGGTAGATACCGCACTGTACCTACCGGTAAATTGGACTGCTGCATATGCCGTCTTGACTCTACATACAGCATGAAGATGTGTGGTAGAGGTACCTTGATACTGGAGAATAAACTACGGAAGGTGGGGTTAAGATACGGTACAATAGGGGGTACAATAAGCTACAGTTGTGCATGACGTGCTTCGTGTAAAAAGATGGCTCGAAGCTGGGCTTATGAGAATTCCAAACAAAGTGGATTTGGGAGGAACTGTTGTGGGAACCTGCTCTTCAGAAATCCATCAAGGCTTGGTTTGGTGGTGAGGTGAGTACATGCATGTACGGTACTTTTATGGGGACTGGACTGGAGTCAATTACGGTACAAAGACCTGTACAGGCAGCCACATCTGCACACTATCACACCAACAATAGCGCTGTAACGAATCACACACTAGAGGATACACTCCAGGCCAGGCCGATTCCAGATGATGGCTCTGTCTGTCATTTGAGGCGCCTTAGGCGATGCCGCTTGGGCACCAGTCTCCCTCCATGCCTCCTGCTGCCTCCTGCTGCCTCCTGCTGCCTCTGCTGCTTCCCATACTCTCATCGCCCCTTACCCGCTCGCCCCGTTTCTCCTGCACCTCCGCATCCTCCTCCACTTCACATCCTCCTGCACCTCCGCATCCTCCTCCACTTCACATCCTCCTGCACCTCCGCATCCTCCTCCACTTCACATCCTCCTGCACCACCGCATCCTCCTCCACTTCACATCCTCCTGCACCTCCGCATCCTCCTCCACTTCACATCCTCCTGCACCTCCGCATCCTCCTCCACTTCACATCCTCCTGCACCTCCGCATCCTCCTCCACTTCACATCCTCCTGCACCTCCGCATCCTCCTCCACTTCACATCCTCCTGCACCTCCGCATCCTCCTCCACTTCCGGCTCCTCTTGCAACTCCGTCTTGCCTTGCCTCCTGCCTTGCCTCCTGCCTTGCCTCCTTCCTTTCCTCTGCTGCCTCCTGTTCTCATCGCCCCTTCCGCACTCGCCCCACAATGCCACTCCCCGCCTTTGCTCCTCCGCCTGCTCCCTTGCCTGCTCCACCTGCTGGCCCCCCACCTGTGCCCCCCTGTAGAGCAGCCCCGAGCTCTCGTATTCTTGCCTTCTTGGAGTTGAGGACCAGCAGGAACTGCGGAGGGGTACAAAGGGGTACAAAGGGGTACAAAGGGGTGCAGAGAGGGTTGAAGCGGTGCGCAGGGATTTGAGACGCTTCAAGGTGTCTGCCTCCTCCTGCCCCCGCACCTGTGCCCCCCTGTAGGGAAGCCTCCAGCTCTCGTATTCTTGCCTTCTTGGCGTTGAGGACTAGCAGGAACTGCGGAGGGGTACGAAGGGGTGCAGAGGGGTGCAGAAAAGAAGAGATTCGCATGCACGCACAAATAGAGGAATGATTTTATCAGTCAAACTTCCCAAGCACAGGGAAAACAAAAGGGGGGGCTCAAGTAGAGAAATACTGAGCAGTGGAAAAGAACAAAGCAGCAACCTTTCCCTCCTCGTCCTTCCTGCTAGGTGTAAAGTATAGGTTTTCTGCCTGCACTATAAAGTATAGGTGTTCTGCCTGCACTGTAAAGTATAGGTGTTCTGCCTGCACTGTAAAGTATAGGTGTTCTGCCTGCACTGTAAAGTATAGGTGTTCTGCCTGCACTGTAAAATATAGGTGTTCTGCCTGCACTATAAAGTATAGGTGTTCTGCCTGCACTGTAAAGTATAGGTGTTCTGCCTGCACTGTAAAGTATAGGTGTTCTGCCTGCACTGTAAAGTATAGGTGTTCTGCCTGCACTGTAAAGTATAGGTGTTCTGCCTGCACTATAAAGTATAGGTGTTCTGCCTGCACTATAAAGTATAGGTGTTCTGCCTGCACTATAAAGTATAGGTGTTCTGCCTGCACTAAAAAGTATAGGTGTTCTGCCTGCACTGTAAAGTATAGGTGTTCTGCCTGCACTATAAAGTATAGGTGTTCTGCCTGCACTATAAAGTATAGGTGTTCTGCCTGCACTATAAAGTATAGGTGTTCTGCCTGCACTATAAAGTATAGGTGTTCTGCCTGCACTATAAAGTATAGGTGTTCTGCCTGCACTATAAAGTATAGGTGTTCTGCCTGCACTATAAAGTATAGGTGTTCTGCCTGCACTGTAAAGTATAGGTGTTCTGCCTGCACTGTAAAGTATAGGTGTTCTGCCTGCACTGTAAAGTATAGGTGTTCTGCCTGCACTATAAAGTATAGGTGTTCTGCCTGCACTATAAAGTATAGGTGTTCTGCCTGCACTATAAAGTATAGGTGTTCTGCCTGCACTGTAAAGTATAGGTGTTCTGCCTGCACTATAAAGTATAGGTGTTCTGCCTGCACTATAAAGTATAGGTGTTCTGCCTGCACTATAAAGTATAGGTGTTCTGCCTGCACTATAAAGTATAGGTGTTCTGCCTGCACTATAAATAATAGCCACCTCCTCACGCCCCTCGGCCTCCTCAACCCTCTCAACCTCCTCACTCTCCTTAAGATCCTCAAACTCCTCAGCCTCCTCACACCCCCTACGCCCCGCACACCCCCTCACACCCCTCACGCCCCGCACACCCCTCACGCCCCTCACGCCCCTCACGCCCCTCACACCCCTCACCCCTCTCCTCTTACCCCCTCATACCCTCACCCTCACAGTGCTCTAATCACATCCCTTAACCCACTACAAACGAAGCTACACCTACACCACACCGTTACAAGCACACCCCACCGCACAGCTCACACCTTCCACAATAGCTCGTCCTCCAGTCGGCTCTTCTCCTCCCTGAACCGCTCACTCTGCTGCAAGCACCGCTCTGCCTCCCTCTGCATCCTCCCACACGCCTCCCTGCTGTGCTGCTGCTCCGCCTGTGCGATAGTGTGATGGAGGAAGGGGAAAAGGAAGAGAGAGGGGTGGGGGAAGAGAGACCGTCAGTTCTCCCACACCCCCCGTACTGTGCGCGGCTGCTCTAACCTGGGAAGAGTGTGGAGGAGGGTTATGGGAATAGTGGCTGCAAGGTGCCCTTGCTGCAAGGAAAAGGGAGCACGCAGCGACAGCATCTTGCACCCACTACCTGTTTTTGAGTCAGCAAAACAAGATGCCCAATTTTGAGTCGACTAAAAAACAAGGTGCCCTTGCTGCAAGGAAAAGGGAGCACGCAGCGACAGCATCTTGCTGCACCCAAGATGCTGCACCCAGCAGCAGCACTACCTGCCCACCCAAGCCGCCTGTGCTGCTTTTCTCCCTTGAGTGGTACGGCAAGGGAGACACGGAAAAGAGGGGGCGCTTATAAGGTGACCAGCAACGAAGCCTAGCCAGCCCAGAGCGCCGCCGCGCCCTCAATGCATGCTCCCTTGCTCCCCGTTCCAAGCAAGGCCACGCCATGCAATGAATGCCCACCCCACGACTTGACTTTTTAGTCGACTCAAAAGTCGCCGCGCCCTCAATGCATGCTCCCTTGCTCCCCGTTCCAAGCCAGGCCATGCAATGAATGCCCACCCCACGACTCACCTGTGCAGCAGCAGCCCCACGCATGGCTTCATCGAGAATGCGCCCCTCTGCCCCTCGCTGCTGCTGCCAAGCCCATGCCCATGCCATGCCATGCCATGCCATGCCATGCCATGCATGCATGAACACCCACCCACCCGCCCACACAACCCACAACCCACCTGAGCAGCAGCAGCCCCACTCATCGCTTCATCGAGTATCCGTCCCACCGCTGCTCGTTGCTGCTCCTCGCCCTCCACCGCCCTCAGCTGCACACTCGCCCGCATCTCCAGGCTCAGGTCTGTCCGCTGCACGGGCCATGAGAGCTGCAGGCAAAGGCGGCGAGGAGGGGGACAGCGAAACAGGAGTGGCCTTTGCTCCTCGCCCTCCACCGCCCTCAGCTGCACACTCAGCCTGTCCGCTGCACGGGCCATGAGAGCTGCAGGCAAAGGCGGCGAGGAGGGGGGGGAACAGGGCAACAGGGATGGCCTTCGCTCCTCGCCCTCCACTGCTCTCAGGTCCACACTCGCCCCCATCTCCAGGTCTGCCTGCTGCACTGCCCACGCCAACTAAGTAGGATGGGTGGAGGGGAAACGCGGAGCGAGTAGACTGTTGAGCATTGAATTTAATACTAGGTTAGTACTGCTCAACAGTCACTACCATCCCCCTCAGCTCCACACTCGCCCTCATCTCCAGCCGTCCAATCCAGTCAGCTACAGCCTACAGCCATCGAATAGCCATCCAATCAGGTACTGTCTCTCCGTCCAACAGATCCAATGCTCACCTGCCACGTGGAGGGCTGCTCTTGTGTGTCTCTGGCTCTCTTGGTGCGCCGGCCCCATGTGAAACGGAGAGTTGAGGATGGCTGGTGGGAAGAGGGAGGGAGGGAGAAGAGGAGAGGAGAGAAGAGACTCTTTGAGTCAACTCAAAGTTCTTTTGAGTTGACTTGACACAAAGGGCCTCCTTGCTGCACCAACACAACACATGTGACTGGGAGAGACGCGGGCGGCTGGTGGGAAGAGGATTTGGGAAGAGTAGAGAGGAGAGGAGAGGAGCGAGGAGAGGAGGATAGAAAAGGAGGAAATGTGATGCAAGGGCGAGCGAGGGAAAAGGACAGGAGCGGTTTTTCAAGCTCGTCAAACCAATCCCCAAGCTGGGTCAAAAAGTAAAAATGTTTCGGTGAGAAGGTGTGGAATCAAAGCTGCTGGAAGCACGTTTCTGTTGTATTCACCTGAGCCAAAGCTGCTCGGAGCACGTCTCTGTTGTATTCACCTGGCGTCTGAAACCCCCAGGCCTCCGCCTTGTCCCACAACTCCTCCTCCTCCACTGCCCATCAATTCGAGAGGGAAGACACGAGTGGGCGAGGGGGAGGCTGTAGCAGAGATGAAGTGAAAAGAGGAGGAGGCTGTAGCAGAAATGGAGTGGAGAAGTTTGGAGACGCCCCGAAAGGGGGGCGGGTGTAGCGGAGATGGAGTGGAGAAACGAACGAAGCAGTACATTTAATCCCACTGCCTGCCACCAAGACATGCAGCAACTGAGTGACAGGCTGACTTGCTCACTCACTCATTCACTCATTTTACTCACTCTCACTCAGTCCCTGCAGCACGTTCAAGCAGAGCGGCCGTCACTGACCGACGGACTGACTGACCGACTGACTGACGATCTGACTGAATGACTGATGGACTGACGGATTGACTGACGAACTGACCGACTGACTGACGAACTGACCGACTGACTGATTGAATGATTGACTGACGAACTGACTGACTGACTGACTGACTGATGAACTAATGGACGGACTGACTGACCACAGCACGTCCAAGCGGAGCGGCCGTCGCTGATTGTCAGCTCGCAGCGCGCTTCTCCCCACCGCGACAGCACGTACAGCCGGCTCGCCTCGCTGTCTGCCGTCAATTCTAACCGCGCGCAGCAAGTGTCGCCGGCAGCGTCGCCGTCCGCCCCTGGCTGGCCACCGTCAGGCCTAGCGGCAGACATGACACAAACAAATGACAGGAGGTGGCGTCAAGAAGTTCAATCGGGGAGGGCGTCGCTAAGCGAGTTCGGAGGCGGCCTGAAACGCGGATGCGTCGAAAGTGATTGCGGCTGCGAGCAAGCTCAGCTCGACAAGAGGAGGATGTGAACAGTACTGCCTAGCGTTTAGGGTTGACAATAGCGAGTGAGGCTAATGTGGGTTTCTTTTACACACGGGCATCGCGGCGACATGGATTCTAGAGCCTGTTTCATGGAATCCCAGAGAAGAGAGCCTGAGGCTGGTTACGACAACTTCTCGCTTCTTGTCGCGAATTTGTCTCGTCCAAACATTTACGGTAACCAGACGAGCCAAACAGTCATTTCCTGACTCTACAGTTTCGCAAATCTCGTCGATAAGCACATTGAATGGGCAACCTCCCAGCACATTGGACCCCACTCATTCAAAATCCGAACTCCAAGAATATCCCGAGGCGAGTCGCTCCAAGAATATCCCGAATCTGCGTTATTGAATAGGACCTTGGGTGACATTAGTGTGGCAGTCTGAGCTTCCTGGATCAGCCTGGCCTCGCATCGCATCCCATCGCATCGCATCGCATTGCAATCTAGGGCACTCTTGCGTGTGAACCGAACACGGTGCTTCGTAGCGTGCGCCTGATAACTCCCGTCGTAACACTCAGCTTCTCGTCTTAGCAAAGCGACCACGTTCCCGTTCGTAAACCATTCGTCAATAGTGCTGACGTCAGTCAGTGCTGGCGTGAGCGGCACCGCTGTGTCCGTCCTTGAACGGCAGATTAAATTAGATAAATACGAAATAAAGGCGAGAAACCGATTAATAGCAGGTCGGGAAGAACTTGAGGCGCCTCAAAGGTCCTCCGCAGCGGAGGAACAAATCATGACACAGTAACAAGGAATTTCAGTAGGAAAGGGTAAGGGGATTCGACTTTTGAGGCGCCTCGAAGGGCCGCCGTTGCTTTTGAGAATTCTCACAAGGCAGGGGGGAGGGATCCGGTATCAGTCGCCGCAAGGGGGAGAGCGTGGCGGGGGGGTGGGATTCGGCGGGCATGGGGGAGACGAGGGAGGGTGGAAAGAGGTGGCGGGAGGCGGCGGCGGAAAGGGAGAGCGGAGGGGCAGCAGGCGTGGAAGGGAGTGGTGGCAGCGGAAGCGGAGCGAAGTTTCCTGTGCGGTCGAAGCAGTTCAGCGCGGATATCGAGGTGCGCGCAGATGAGCGCAAACGTGTGCACGCGCGCACACAGGCGCATCCGCGCGCGAATAGATGCATACGCGCGCGCATAGGCGCATACGCGCGCACGTAATCACATACACACGCGCGCAGATGCGCACAAAGGCGTACATAGTCGCACGTGGGCGCACGTGGGCGCACGTGGGCACACGTGTCTCGACGCATTCATGGGGGGGAGCGCATGAGCACCCAACGCTTGCAGCACGTAGCTTTCATCTGGGGCAGATGGGCGCACGTCAGGGCAGATGGTCGCACGTCGGGGCAGATGGGCGCACGTAAGGGCAGATGGGCGCACGTAAGGGCAGATGGGCGCACGTAAGGGCAGATGGGCGCACGTAAGGGCAGATGGGCGCACGTAAGGGCAGATGGGCGCACGTAAGGGCAGATGGGCGCACGTAAGGGCAGATGGGCGCACGTAAGGGCAGATGGGCGCACGTAAGGGCAGATGGGCGCACGTAAGGGCAGATGGGCGCACGTAAGGGCAGATGGGCGCACGTAAGGGCAGATGGGCGCACGTAAGGGCAGATGGGCGCACGTCAGGGCAGATGGGCGCACGTAAGGGCAGATGGGCGCACGTAAGGGCAGATGGGCGCACGTAAGGGCAGATGGGCGCACGTAAGGGCAGATGGGCGCACGTAAGGGCAGATGGGCGCACGTAAGGGCAGATGGGCGCACGTAAGGGCAGATGGGCGCACGTAAGGGCAGATGGGCGCACGTAAGGGCAGATGGGCGCACGTAAGGGCAGATGGGCGCACGTAAGGGCAGATGGGCGCACGTAAGGGCAGATGGGCGCACGTAAGGGCAGATGGGCGCACGTAAGGGCAGATGGGCGCACGTAAGGGCAGATGGGCGCACGTAAGGGCAGATGGGCGCACGTAAGGGCAGATGGGCGCACGTAAGGGCAGATGGGCGCACGTAAGGGCAGATGGGCGCACGTAAGGGCAGATGGGCGCACGTAAGGGCAGATGGGCGCACGTAAGGGCAGATGGGCGCACGTAAGGGCAGATGGGCGCACGTAAGGGCAGATGGGCGCACGTAAGGGCAGATGGGCGCACGTAAGGGCAGATGGGCGCACGTAAGGGCAGATGGGCGCACGTAAGGGCAGATGGGCGCACGTAAGGGCAGATGGGCGCACGTAAGGGCAGATGGGCGCACGTAAGGGCAGATGGGCGCACGTAAGGGCAGATGGGCGCACGTAAGGGCAGATGGGCGCACGTAAGGGCAGATGGGCGCACGTAAGGGCAGATGGGCGCACGTAAGGGCAGATGGGCGCACGTAAGGGCAGATGGGCGCACGTAAGGGCAGATGGGCGCACGTAAGGGCAGATGGGCGCACGCAAGGGCAGATGGGCGCACGTAAGGGCAGATGGGCGCACGCAAGGGCAGATGGGCGCACGTAAGGGCAGATGGGCGCACGTAAGGGCAGATGGGCGCACGCAAGGGCAGATGGGCGCACGTAAGGGCAGATGGGCGCACGTAAGGGCAGATGGGCGCACGCAAGGGCAGATGGCGCACTAAGGGCAGATGGCGCACGTAAGGGCAGATGGGCGCACGCTAAGGGCAGATGGGCACAGTAAGGCAGATGGGCGCACGTAAGGGCAGATGGGCGCACGTAAGGGCAGATGGGCGCACGCAAGGGCAGATGGGCGCACGTAAGGGCAGATGGGCGCACGCAAGGGCAGATGGGCGCACGTAAGGGCAGATGGGCGCACGTAAGGGCAGATGGGCGCACGCAAGGGCAGATGGGCGCACGTAAGGGCAGATGGGCGCACGTAAGGGCAGATGGGCGCACGCAAGGGCAGATGGGCGCACGTAAGGGCAGATGGGCGCACGTAAGGGCAGATGGGCGCACGTAAGGGCAGATGGGCGCACGTAAGGGCAGATGGGCGCACGTAAGGGCAGATGGGCGCACGTAAGGGCAGATGGGCGCACGTAAGGGCAGATGGGCGCACGTAAGGGCAGATGGGCGCACGTAAGGGCAGATGGGCGCACGTAAGGGCAGATGGGCGCACGTAAGGGCAGATGGGCGCACGTAAGGGCAGATGGGCGCACGTAAGGGCAGATGGGCGCACGTAAGGGCAGATGGGCGCACGTAAGGGCAGATGGGCGCACGTAAGGGCAGATGGGCGCACGTAAGGGCAGATGGGCGCACGTAAGGGCAGATGGGCGCACGTAAGGGCAGATGGGCGCACGTAAGGGCAGATGGGCGCACGCAAGGGCAGATGGGCGCACGTAAGGGCAGATGGGCGCACGTAAGGGCAGATGGGCGCACGCAAGGGCAGATGGGCGCACGTAAGGGCAGATGGGCGCACGTAAGGGCAGATGGGCGCACGTAAGGGCAGATGGGCGCACGTAAGGGCAGATGGGCGCACGCAAGGGCAGATGGGCGCACGTAAGGGCAGATGGGCGCACGCAAGGGCAGATGGGCGCACGTAAGGGCAGATGGGCGCACGTAAGGGCAGATGGGCGCACGCAAGGGCAGATGGGCGCACGTAAGGGCAGATGGGGCGCACGTAAGGGCAGATGGGCGCACGCAAGGGCAGATGGGCGCACGTAAGGGCAGATGGGCGCACGTAAGGGCAGATGGGCGCACGTAAGGGCAGATGGGCGCACGTAAGGGCAGATGGGCGCACGTAAGGGCAGATGGGCGCACGTAAGGGCAGATGGGCGCACGTAAGGGCAGATGGGCGCACGTAAGGGCAGATGGGCGCACGCAAGGGCAGATGGGCGCACGTAAGGGCAGATGGGCGCACGTAAGGGCAGATGGGCGCACGCAAGGGCAGATGGGCGCACGTAAGGGCAGATGGGCGCACGTAAGGGCAGATGGGCGCACGTAAGGGCAGATGGGCGCACGTAAGGGCAGATGGGCGCACGTAAGGGCAGATGGGCGCACGTAAGGGCAGATGGGCGCACGTAAGGGCAGATGGGCGCACGTAAGGGCAGATGGGCGCACGTAAGGGCAGATGGGCGCACGCAAGGGCAGATGGGCGCACGTAAGGGCAGATGGGCGCACGTAAGGGCAGATGGGCGCACGTAAGGGCAGATGGGCGCACGTAAGGGCAGATGGGCGCACGTAAGGGCAGATGGGCGCACGTAAGGGCAGATGGGCGCACGTAAGGGCAGATGGGCGCACGTAAGGGCAGATGGGCGCACGTAAGGGCAGATGGGCGCACGTAAGGGCAGATGGGCGCACGTAAGGGCAGATGGGCGCACGTAAGGGCAGATGGGCGCACGTAAGGGCAGATGGGCGCACGTAAGGGCAGATGGGCGCACGTAAGGGCAGATGGGCGCACGTAAGGGCAGATGGGCGCACGTAAGGGCAGATGGGCGCACGTAAGGGCAGATGGGCGCACGTAAGGGCAGATGGGCGCACGTAAGGGCAGATGGGCGCACGTAAGGGCAGATGGGCGCACGTAAGGGCAGATGGGCGCACGTAAGGGCAGATGGGCGCACGTAAGGGCAGATGGGCGCACGTAAGGGCAGATGGGCGCACGCAAGGGCAGATGGGCGCACGTAAGGGCAGATGGGCGCACGCAAGGGCAGATGGGCGCACGTAAGGGCAGATGGGCGCACGTAAGGGCAGATGGGCGCACGCAAGGGCAGATGGGCGCACGTAAGGGCAGATGGGCGCACGTAAGGGCAGATGGGCGCACGCAAGGGCAGATGGGCGCACGTAAGGGCAGATGGGCGCACGTAAGGGCAGATGGGCGCACGTAAGGGCAGATGGGCGCACGTAAGGGCAGATGGGCGCACGCAAGGGCAGATGGGCGCACGTAAGGGCAGATGGGCGCACGCAAGGGCAGATGGGCGCACGTAAGGGCAGATGGGCGCACGTAAGGGCAGATGGGCGCACGCAAGGGCAGATGGGCGCACGTAAGGGCAGATGGGCGCACGTAAGGGCAGATGGGCGCACGTAAGGGCAGATGGGCGCACGTAAGGGCAGATGGGCGCACGTAAGGGCAGATGGGCGCACGTAAGGGCAGATGGGCGCACGCAAGGGCAGATGGGCGCACGTAAGGGCAGATGGGCGCACGTAAGGGCAGATGGGCGCACGTAAGGGGCCAGATGGGCGCACGTAAGGGCAGATGGGCGCACGTAAGGGCAGATGGGCGCACGTAAGGGCAGATGGGCGCACGTAAGGGCAGATGGGCGCACGTAAGGGCAGATGGGCGCACGTAAGGGCAGATGGGCGCACGTAAGGGCAGATGGGCGCACGTAAGGGCAGATGGGCGCACGTAAGGGCAGATGGGCGCACGTAAGGGCAGATGGGCGCACGTAAGGGCAGATGGGCGCACGTAAGGGCAGATGGGCGCACGTAAGGGCAGATGGGCGCACGTAAGGGCAGATGGGCGCACGTAAGGGCAGATGGGCGCACGTAAGGGCAGATGGGCGCACGTAAGGGCAGATGGGCGCACGCAAGGGCAGATGGGCGCACGTAAGGGCAGATGGGCGCACGCAAGGGCAGATGGGCGCACGTAAGGGCAGATGGGCGCACGTAAGGGCAGATGGGCGCACGTAAGGGCAGATGGGCGCACGTAAGGGCAGATGGGCGCACGTAAGGGCAGATGGGCGCACGTAAGGGCAGATGGGCGCACGTAAGGGCAGATGGGCGCACGCAAGGGCAGATGGGCGCACGTAAGGGCAGATGGGCGCACGCAAGGGCAGATGGGCGCACGTAAGGGCAGATGGGCGCACGTAAGGGCAGATGGGCGCACGCAAGGGCAGATGGGCGCACGTAAGGGCAGATGGGCGCACGTAAGGGCAGATGGGCGCACGTAAGGGCAGATGGGCGCACGCAAGGGCAGATGGGCGCACGTAAGGGCAGATGGGCGCACGTAAGGGCAGATGGGCGCACGCAAGGGCAGATGGGCGCACGTAAGGGCAGATGGGCGCACGTAAGGGCAGATGGGCGCACGTAAGGGCAGATGGGCGCACGTAAGGGCAGATGGGCGCACGTAAGGGCAGATGGGCGCACGTAAGGGCAGATGGGCGCACGTAAGGGCAGATGGGCGCACGTAAGGGCAGATGGGCGCACGTAAGGGCAGATGGGCGCACGTAAGGGCAGATGGGCGCACGTAAGGGCAGATGGGCGCACGTAAGGGCAGATGGGCGCACGTAAGGGCAGATGGGCGCACGCAAGGGCAGATGGGCGCACGTAAGGGCAGATGGGCGCACGTAAGGGCAGATGGGCGCACGCAAGGGCAGATGGGCGCACGTAAGGGCAGATGGGCGCACGTAAGGGCAGATGGGCGCACGCAAGGGCAGATGGGCGCACGTAAGGGCAGATGGGCGCACGTAAGGGCAGATGGGCGCACGTAAGGGCAGATGGGCGCACGTAAGGGCAGATGGGCGCACGCAAGGGCAGATGGGCGCACGTAAGGGCAGATGGGCGCACGCAAGGGCAGATGGGCGCACGTAAGGGCAGATGGGCGCACGTAAGGGCAGATGGGCGCACGCAAGGGCAGATGGGCGCACGTAAGGGCAGATGGGCGCACGTAAGGGCAGATGGGCGCACGTAAGGGCAGATGGGCGCACGCAAGGGCAGATGGGCGCACGTAAGGGCAGATGGGCGCACGTAAGGGCAGATGGGCGCACGCAAGGGCAGATGGGCGCACGTAAGGGCAGATGGGCGCACGTAAGGGCAGATGGGCGCACGTAAGGGCAGATGGGCGCACGTAAGGGCAGATGGGCGCACGTAAGGGCAGATGGGCGCACGTAAGGGCAGATGGGCGCACGTAAGGGCAGATGGGCGCACGTAAGGGCAGATGGGCGCACGTAAGGGCAGATGGGCGCACGTAAGGGCAGATGGGCGCACGTAAGGGCAGATGGGCGCACGTAAGGGCAGATGGGCGCACGTAAGGGCAGATGGGCGCACGTAAGGGCAGATGGGCGCACGTAAGGGCAGATGGGCGCACGTAAGGGCAGATGGGCGCACGTAAGGGCAGATGGGCGCACGTAAGGGCAGATGGGCGCACGTAAGGGCAGATGGGCGCACGTAAGGGCAGATGGGCGCACGCAAGGGCAGATGGGCGCACGTAAGGGCAGATGGGCGCACGCAAGGGCAGATGGGCGCACGTAAGGGCAGATGGGCGCACGTAAGGGCAGATGGGCGCACGCAAGGGCAGATGGGCGCACGTAAGGGCAGATGGGCGCACGTAAGGGCAGATGGGCGCACGCAAGGGCAGATGGGCGCACGTAAGGGCAGATGGGCGCACGTAAGGGCAGATGGGCGCACGTAAGGGCAGATGGGCGCACGTAAGGGCAGATGGGCGCACGCAAGGGCAGATGGGCGCACGTAAGGGCAGATGGGCGCACGCAAGGGCAGATGGGCGCACGTAAGGGCAGATGGGCGCACGTAAGGGCAGATGGGCGCACGCAAGGGCAGATGGGCGCACGTAAGGGCAGATGGGCGCACGTAAGGGCAGATGGGCGCACGTAAGGGCAGATGGGCGCACGTAAGGGCAGATGGGCGCACGTAAGGGCAGATGGGCGCACGTAAGGGCAGATGGGCGCACGTAAGGGCAGATGGGCGCACGTAAGGGCAGATGGGCGCACGTAAGGGCAGATGGGCGCACGTAAGGGCAGATGGGCGCACGTAAGGGCAGATGGGCGCACGTAAGGGCAGATGGGCGCACGTAAGGGCAGATGGGCGCACGTAAGGGCAGATGGGCGCACGTAAGGGCAGATGGGCGCACGTAAGGGCAGATGGGCGCACGTAAGGGCAGATGGGCGCACGTAAGGGCAGATGGGCGCACGTAAGGGCAGATGGGCGCACGCAAGGGCAGATGGGCGCACGTAAGGGCAGATGGGCGCACGCAAGGGCAGATGGGCGCACGTAAGGGCAGATGGGCGCACGTAAGGGCAGATGGGCGCACGCAAGGGCAGATGGGCGCACGTAAGGGCAGATGGGCGCACGTAAGGGCAGATGGGCGCACGCAAGGGCAGATGGGCGCACGTAAGGGCAGATGGGCGCACGTAAGGGCAGATGGGCGCACGTAAGGGCAGATGGGCGCACGTAAGGGCAGATGGGCGCACGCAAGGGCAGATGGGCGCACGTAAGGGCAGATGGGCGCACGCAAGGGCAGATGGGCGCACGTAAGGGCAGATGGGCGCACGTAAGGGCAGATGGGCGCACGCAAGGGCAGATGGGCGCACGTAAGGGCAGATGGGCGCACGTAAGGGCAGATGGGCGCACGTAAGGGCAGATGGGCGCACGCAAGGGCAGATGGGCGCACGTAAGGGCAGATGGGCGCACGTAAGGGCAGATGGGCGCACGCAAGGGCAGATGGGCGCACGTAAGGGCAGATGGGCGCACGTAAGGGCAGATGGGCGCACGTAAGGGCAGATGGGCGCACGTAAGGGCAGATGGGCGCACGTAAGGGCAGATGGGCGCACGTAAGGGCAGATGGGCGCACGCAAGGGCAGATGGGCGCACGTAAGGGCAGATGGGCGCACGTAAGGGCAGATGGGCGCACGCAAGGGCAGATGGGCGCACGTAAGGGCAGATGGGCGCACGTAAGGGCAGATGGGCGCACGTAAGGGCAGATGGGCGCACGTAAGGGCAGATGGGCGCACGTAAGGGCAGATGGGCGCACGTAAGGGCAGATGGGCGCACGTAAGGGCAGATGGGCGCACGTAAGGGCAGATGGGCGCACGTAAGGGCAGATGGGCGCACGTAAGGGCAGATGGGCGCACGTAAGGGCAGATGGGCGCACGTAAGGGCAGATGGGCGCACGCAAGGGCAGATGGGCGCACGTAAGGGCAGATGGGCGCACGTAAGGGCAGATGGGCGCACGCAAGGGCAGATGGGCGCACGTAAGGGCAGATGGGCGCACGTAAGGGCAGATGGGCGCACGTAAGGGCAGATGGGCGCACGTAAGGGCAGATGGGCGCACGTAAGGGCAGATGGGCGCACGTAAGGGCAGATGGGCGCACGTAAGGGCAGATGGGCGCACGTAAGGGCAGATGGGCGCACGTAAGGGCAGATGGGCGCACGTAAGGGCAGATGGGCGCACGCAAGGGCAGATGGGCGCACGTAAGGGCAGATGGGCGCACGCAAGGGCAGATGGGCGCACGTAAGGGCAGATGGGCGCACGTAAGGGCAGATGGGCGCACGCAAGGGCAGATGGGCGCACGTAAGGGCAGATGGGCGCACGTAAGGGCAGATGGGCGCACGCAAGGGCAGATGGGCGCACGTAAGGGCAGATGGGCGCACGTAAGGGCAGATGGGCGCACGTAAGGGCAGATGGGCGCACGTAAGGGCAGATGGGCGCACGCAAGGGCAGATGGGCGCACGTAAGGGCAGATGGGCGCACGCAAGGGCAGATGGGCGCACGTAAGGGCAGATGGGCGCACGTAAGGGCAGATGGGCGCACGCAAGGGCAGATGGGCGCACGTAAGGGCAGATGGGCGCACGCAAGGGCAGATGGGCGCACGCAAGGGCAGATGGGCGCACGTAAGGGCAGATGGGCGCACGTAAGGGCAGATGGGCGCACGTAAGGGCAGATGGGCGCACGTAAGGGCAGATGGGCGCACGTAAGGGCAGATGGGCGCACGTAAGGGCAGATGGGCGCACGTAAGGGCAGATGGGCGCACGTAAGGGCAGATGGGCGCACGTAAGGGCAGATGGGCGCACGTAAGGGCAGATGGGCGCACGTAAGGGCAGATGGGCGCACGTAAGGGCAGATGGGCGCACGTAAGGGCAGATGGGCGCACGTAAGGGCAGATGGGCGCACGTAAGGGCAGATGGGCGCACGTAAGGGCAGATGGGCGCACGTAAGGGCAGATGGGCGCACGTAAGGGCAGATGGGCGCACGTAAGGGCAGATGGGCGCACGTAAGGGCAGATGGGCGCACGTAAGGGCAGATGGGCGCACGTAAGGGCAGATGGGCGCACGTAAGGGCAGATGGGCGCACGTAAGGGCAGATGGGCGCACGTAAGGGCAGATGGGCGCACGTAAGGGCAGATGGGCGCACGTAAGGGCAGATGGGCGCACGTAAGGGCAGATGGGCGCACGTAAGGGCAGATGGGCGCACGTAAGGGCAGATGGGCGCACGTAAGGGCAGATGGGCGCACGTAAGGGCAGATGGGCGCACGTAAGGGCAGATGGGCGCACGTAAGGGCAGATGGGCGCACGTAAGGGCAGATGGGCGCACGTAAGGGCAGATGGGCGCACGTAAGGGCAGATGGGCGCACGTAAGGGCAGATGGGCGCACGTAAGGGCAGATGGGCGCACGTAAGGGCAGATGGGCGCACGTAAGGGCAGATGGGCGCACGTAAGGGCAGATGGGCGCACGTAAGGGCAGATGGGCGCACGTAAGGGCAGATGGGCGCACGTAAGGGCAGATGGGCGCACGTAAGGGCAGATGGGCGCACGTAAGGGCAGATGGGCGCACGTAAGGGCAGATGGGCGCACGTAAGGGCAGATGGGCGCACGCAAGGGCAGATGGGCGCACGTAAGGGCAGATGGGCGCACGTAAGGGCAGATGGGCGCACGTAAGGGCAGATGGGCGCACGCAAGGGCAGATGGGCGCACGTAAGGGCAGATGGGCGCACGTAAGGGCAGATGGGCGCACGCAAGGGCAGATGGGCGCACGTAAGGGCAGATGGGCGCACGTAAGGGCAGATGGGCGCACGTAAGGGCAGATGGGCGCACGTAAGGGCAGATGGGCGCACGCTAAGGGCAGATGGGCGCACGTAAGGGCAGATGGGCGCACGCAAGGGCAGATGGGCGCACGTAAGGGCAGATGGGCGCACGTAAGGGCAGATGGGCGCACGCAAGGGCAGATGGGCGCACGTAAGGGCAGATGGGCGCACGTAAGGGCAGATGGGCGCACGTAAGGGCAGATGGGCGCACGCAAGGGCAGATGGGCGCACGTAAGGGCAGATGGGCGCACGTAAGGGCAGATGGGCGCACGTAAGGGCAGATGGGCGCACGTAAGGGCAGATGGGCGCACGTAAGGGCAGATGGGCGCACGTAAGGGCAGATGGGCGCACGTAAGGGCAGATGGGCGCACGTAAGGGCAGATGGGCGCACGTAAGGGCAGATGGGCGCACGTAAGGGCAGATGGGCGCACGTAAGGGCAGATGGGCGCACGTAAGGGCAGATGGGCGCACGTAAGGGCAGATGGGCGCACGTAAGGGCAGATGGGCGCACGCAAGGGCAGATGGGCGCACGTAAGGGCAGATGGGCGCACGCAAGGGCAGATGGGCGCACGTAAGGGCAGATGGGCGCACGTAAGGGCAGATGGGCGCACGCAAGGGCAGATGGGCGCACGTAAGGGCAGATGGGCGCACGTAAGGGCAGATGGGCGCACGCAAGGGCAGATGGGCGCACGTAAGGGCAGATGGGCGCACGTAAGGGCAGATGGGCGCACGTAAGGGCAGATGGGCGCACGTAAGGGCAGATGGGCGCACGCAAGGGCAGATGGGCGCACGTAAGGGCAGATGGGCGCACGCAAGGGCAGATGGGCGCACGTAAGGGCAGATGGGCGCACGTAAGGGCAGATGGGCGCACGCAAGGGCAGATGGGCGCACGTAAGGGCAGATGGGCGCACGTAAGGGCAGATGGGCGCACGTAAGGGCAGATGGGCGCACGCAAGGGCAGATGGGCGCACGTAAGGGCAGATGGGCGCACGTAAGGGCAGATGGGCGCACGCAAGGGCAGATGGGCGCACGTAAGGGCAGATGGGCGCACGTAAGGGCAGATGGGCGCACGTAAGGGCAGATGGGCGCACGTAAGGGCAGATGGGCGCACGTAAGGGCAGATGGGCGCACGTAAGGGCAGATGGGCGCACGTAAGGGCAGATGGGCGCACGTAAGGGCAGATGGGCGCACGTAAGGGCAGATGGGCGCACGTAAGGGCAGATGGGCGCACGCAAGGGCAGATGGGCGCACGTAAGGGCAGATGGGCGCACGTAAGGGCAGATGGGCGCACGTAAGGGCAGATGGGCGCACGTAAGGGCAGATGGGCGCACGTAAGGGCAGATGGGCGCACGTAAGGGCAGATGGGCGCACGTAAGGGCAGATGGGCGCACGCAAGGGCAGATGGGCGCACGTAAGGGCAGATGGGCGCACGTAAGGGCAGATGGGCGCACGTAAGGGCAGATGGGCGCACGCAAGGGCAGATGGGCGCACGTAAGGGCAGATGGGCGCACGTAAGGGCAGATGGGCGCACGCAAGGGCAGATGGGCGCACGTAAGGGCAGATGGGCGCACGTAAGGGCAGATGGGCGCACGTAAGGGCAGATGGGCGCACGTAAGGGCAGATGGGCGCACGTAAGGGCAGATGGGCGCACGTAAGGGCAGATGGGCGCACGTAAGGGCAGATGGGCGCACGTAAGGGCAGATGGGCGCACGTAAGGGCAGATGGGCGCACGCAAGGGCAGATGGGCGCACGTAAGGGCAGATGGGCGCACGCAAGGGCAGATGGGCGCACGTAAGGGCAGATGGGCGCACGTAAGGGCAGATGGGCGCACGCAAGGGCAGATGGGCGCACGTAAGGGCAGATGGGCGCACGTAAGGGCAGATGGGCGCACGTAAGGGCAGATGGGCGCACGTAAGGGCAGATGGGCGCACGTAAGGGCAGATGGGCGCACGTAAGGGCAGATGGGCGCACGTAAGGGCAGATGGGCGCACGTAAGGGCAGATGGGCGCACGTAAGGGCAGATGGGCGCACGCAAGGGCAGATGGGCGCACGTAAGGGCAGATGGGCGCACGCAAGGGCAGATGGGCGCACGTAAGGGCAGATGGGCGCACGTAAGGGCAGATGGGCGCACGCAAGGGCAGATGGGCGCACGTAAGGGCAGATGGGCGCACGCAAGGGCAGATGGGCGCACGCAAGGGCAGATGGGCGCACGTAAGGGCAGATGGGCGCACGTAAGGGCAGATGGGCGCACGTAAGGGCAGATGGGCGCACGTAAGGGCAGATGGGCGCACGTAAGGGCAGATGGGCGCACGTAAGGGCAGATGGGCGCACGTAAGGGCAGATGGGCGCACGTAAGGGCAGATGGGCGCACGTAAGGGCAGATGGGCGCACGTAAGGGCAGATGGGCGCACGTAAGGGCAGATGGGCGCACGTAAGGGCAGATGGGCGCACGTAAGGGCAGATGGGCGCACGCACGTCACGTGTCCCCATTCCTCTGTTGGGAGAGGGGGATCGCATGAGCACTCAACTCAACAATAACAACAACATGCCCACATGCTCCAACCCCTCCGCTTTCCCCTCCCCTGTTGCCCCGCCCATCCCCGCCCATCCCCGCCCATCCCCGCGCATCCCCGTCCATCCCCGCCCATCCCCGCCCATCCCCGCCCATCAGGGCACGGAAACCACCTTTCTCTGCCTCTCATATGACGATCGCCTCATGGTACCGCCACTGCACCTCCCCTGCTGCTGCTGCCTGCCTGCCTGCTGCCTTCCTGCCTGCCTGCTCCCACCATCCTCACCTTCTCTCCATCTTAACCCGTGATGCAAGGGTTCTATCTGCAACTCTCGCGCGTTTTTCTCCTGCTTCCACACACACGCACCACCCACCCTCCCCCTTTCCCCCCTTGTGTCCACTACCACGTTCTCGGTTTCCCTTCACTTCTCATTTCCTTGGGATTGTTTTTTAGGCGCCTTGAAAATACTTCTGTCCTGCTTCCACACACACACACCACCCACCCTCGTGCCCACAGCTACGTTCTCGTTTCCCCTTCACTTGTCGTTCCCTTGGGATTCTAACACCCTCCCGCTGCTTTTCCCTGCCCAGTTGGCCATCATTCGTGTCATTTGCTTTTAGCCTCTCATATTCTAAACGCTCTCCTGCTTTCTCTCTCCTCCTGCCTCCCTTCTCCCTCCCTCTCAATTTATTTGCCCATCCTTCCTCTGTGACAGGTGGTGGTGACTCAGATCGGCACGCTTGGCACCATGCTGTATGCCAGGTGGGTGTGGAGGGAGGGAGCATGGAGGGGTGTAGAGGGATGTAAAGGGGCACAGAGGTATATGGGTGTGGCAGGTGGTGGTGACTCAGATTGGCACGCTTGGTACCATGCTGTATGCCAGGTGGGTGCAGAGCGAGCATGAATGGAGGGTTATCGAGGGGTATAGAGGGATGTAAAGGGATATAGAAAGAGAGATATCTCGTTCCTGGTCTTCCCCTTCCTTCGTTTCCGCTCTCACTTGTTTCGTATCCCCCCTGTTTTCCGCCCTACTTTGCTTCCTCCCATTCGTTTTTTTTTTTTGTTTTTTTTTTTTTTTTTCGCTCACCTGTTTCCCCCCTTCCCTGCTCCCCCCGCCCTTCTTTTTTTCCACCCTCCGCTGCTCTCTTCTTTCGTTTTTTCCTCCTTCGCCTGTTTACCCTCCCCTGCTCCCCCGCTTCCTTGTCCCCGCTCCTCAATTGTTTCCCCCTTCCCTGCTCCCACTCTACTCTGTTTCCCCCTTTCTTTGTCTTCCCTCTTTCTTGGTGTCCCGCCTTTGTCTCCTCCCCTCACCTGTTCTCCTCTACAGGCGAGAGCAAGTGGGGGGGGCGGAAGGGAGAGGGCAGATGGGAGGGATGGAGGGGAGCTCTGTGTTTAACGTGTCCGTGCTGCTGGGAAGGAGGGACGAGGTGAGGTGCGGTGAGGTGCGGTGAGGTGTGGTGAGGTGCGGTGATGTGTGGTAGCCCATGGTGGGATGGGATGAGCAACGGAAGGTTGAGGGCAATTGGGAGAAATGGAGGGGAGCTCTGTGTTCAATGTGTCAGTGCTGCTGGGGAGAAGGGACCAGGTGAGATCGGGTGAGGCGTGGTGAGATGGAGTGAGATGGGATGAGATGGGGTGAGATGGGGTGGGATGGGGTGGGATGGGGCTTAGCTGCGATGAGGTGCAAGTGCACGACAAAGTTTTCTTCTTAATCTTTCCTACCTCTCAGAAGTTTCCTGCAAATCTAGGGATCGTGACAGGAGGTGGCTCATGCCTCCTCCCCTCACGCCTACTCTCCGTTCCCCCATACATCTTCCTCTCACCTCCATCTCTCGTGTCTCGCTCTTCCCTTGCTCCTCCCTCACTCCTCCTCCCTCCGCCCTTCTCGTCCCCTCCTCCTTCCTCCTCCCCGCTCCTACCTCCCTCGTCTATCCCGTGCAGCCCCTTATGGCAGCATGTGCCCGCCACCTCATAGAGACACTCAGGTCTGTGCCCCTTCCACCCCTCCTCCTCTCACCATCCTCCCTGCATTGCTCTCCTCTCACCCCCTTCGCGTGTACTCCTCCCTCCCTGTATCCTCTCATGCCACCATGTGCTCCCCACTTGATACAGACACCCAGCTCTGTGTCCCTTTACTCACATCTCTTTCTCTCACCATCTTTGAGACGTCTCAAAACCCAGCTCTGTGTCCCTTTACTCACATCTCTTTCTCTCGAGAGTTCCTCTTGACCCCGCCCACCCTTGCTCCTCCCTCAATCACTCTCTCTCCTCTCGACCTCCCTACAAAACTCGCGCTCTCACCCCCAGTCCATCGCCCCCAACTCTCCTCTTTCGAACTAGCTTCCACAGCCTCTCCTCTTGACCCTTTCACTCACTCACTCTTTCACACACTCACGTTGCTCTCTCTTGCCCTCCAAACCCTCCTCTCTTCTTCCCTCCACACCTCACCCCCACCCCTCTCGTAGCAGTCAACAGGGAGTGACCCGTCCGCTGCTGCTATGCCTGGGGCTCAAGAGCCACTCGCAGGTGAGGCAGTGAGGCAGTGAGGCAGTGAGGCAGTGCTGTGATTGTGGCTGGGGTGGTGGAGGGAAAGGCACCCCCGCCGGCCCCTATTCTACCGTATCAGCCAACAGGGAGTGACCCGTCCGCTGCTGCTATGCGTGGGCTTCAATAGTCACTCGCAGGTGAGTCATGGTACTCTTGTGGCTGTTGAGAATTCTGAATAGCGACTCGCAGGTGAGTCATGGTACTCTTGTGGCTGTTGAGAATTCTGAATAGCGACTCGCAGGTGAGTCATGGTACTCTTGTGGCTGAGCGGGTGGAGGTGAGATAGGCTGGAGCTGAAGTGGGCATGGTGCCATGCGTTGCCATGGTTCCACTATTCCATGGGCTGCATTGCCCTCTCTTGTCATCTCATCCCACATGCCATCTGATCCCACGTGCCATCTCATCCCACATGCCATCTCATCCCACATGCCACCTCATCCCGTCTCATCCCACGTGTCATCTCTGCATTGTGTCAAAACACACTCCAAAGCCGTTCGTAGCCTCGCTCTCTTGTCTACTCTTGAAGGTTAATTTGTGACAAGTGGGTCATGCTATGTACTTCACTTTCTGTTGTCCTCTCTCCACACGCACCCGCTCAGAAAACACTCAAGGCCATCCTTACGTCGCTCCTCGACTCTCGGTTTTGGGTTCCATCTGCTTCAGCATGAGAAGCTCTGGCGATTAGAGACATTTTTTCATGGAGAGAAATTCATGTGAATCATTGTACTGGGCAATTAGTGGAGCGTTACAGGGAATTTCAGTCCACATTGGCTTTAAGCAATCAAGCAGTTGAACGTGTCACATGAAATGGATAAGCAATGTTTGCACAGGGCAAGCAAAGAAAACTGTTTCTTTTGTAAGCAGTTTTCTGCTGGATGACAATGAAATGGGCCTGACCTGTTTCTTATGTCAATTATTCTCATTGTGTTGCTCGTTGGACCAGGTTCATTGAATTACCTACATGCGACTGTTGCAACTCTTTGTTTTTGCAGATTGGTGCTGTCTGCGGTGTCCATTGTGCACTGGCCATAAAACAAGCTCGTCTGGTTGGACACTTCCAATCCACCAGTTGTAGAACACCGCCTTGGTCATGTCATGTCCTTTTGGCTTGGAGCAACTTTGGCGGCAGCATCTGCCTTGCACTGCGCAAACCAAGTGCCGCCAATTGCACAAATTGATGCAGCGCAAGTTCACTCGCAAGACCGGTTCTGTGGTCGCATACAGTCTGGTGGACGCTTTGAATTTCAGAATTGAAAGTCTAGTGACAACTGGACGCTCGGACCCTGTGGCTCATCGCGCCAAATTACGCGCTATAGTCAACTTTTGCACCAGTTCGGTTTGACGAGGTCAGCTACCTTTGAAGACGGTCGGTTGAAATTTTAATATGGCTCGGTAGGGTACCCAGGTTAACGAAATTTCAGATCACCCGCCTCCTAGAGACGGTTATTGTAAACTTTTCGAATACGTCCAAGGAACAATTCCACTGTTCAGTGTGTTTCCGTAGTTCAGTGTAGCGAGAAACAGGGTGTACTGTACAACAAAGCGTGTCCGACCGAAGTGATCAGGTTGGGAACTCGGGATAGTGACCCTTGAAACACCTGGACACTCGAAGATCGAGGTGTCGCATACAAAATTGTGAAGGGCTGCGGTACACCCTGTTTCTCGCTACACTGAACTGCGGAAACACACTGAACAGTGGAACTGTTCGTTGGACTTATTCGAAAAGTTTACAATAACCGTCTCTAGGAGGCGGGTGATCCGAAATTTCGTTAACCTGGGTACCCTACCGAGCCATATTAAAAGTTCAACTGACCGTCTTCAAAGGTAGCTGACCTCGTCAAACCGAACTGGTGCAAAAGTTGACTATAGCGCGTAATTTGGCGCGTTGAGCCAGAGGGTTCAGTATACCGGAATTCACAATAGCGAGAAACAGGGTGTATTTTCTTTCACAGTTCAGCAATGTCGAGGGAGAGCTGAAATGCTTGATTTTGGAGCTTTGAGACGACGACTCACCTTTCTCGACATTCCTCGATGTTTCATTTTTCGCTGTCTCTATTTCCCCAAAATACACGGCTTCGTTTGGCGATTGACGCCTTGTGTCGGGGACAAATGACTCGCAAACGCTGCCCGTAAACGAATACAGTAAACACTGTTCAGTTTGCACCAGGTACGCTGAAGCCGCAACTTTGCGTCATCCCAACGCAAAAGCGGTGGATAGAAACGACACCAGTCACCAACCACTGACTGAATTCCTGACTCTTGGAGTCCAAAACACCGGACACGCCCACAGTCGTCTATCCTCCCCAGACACACCCCAGCCATTTCCCTCAGTCCAACCGCCATTTCCCATCTCTCTTTTACTCCACCATCCCCCGCGCCCGCCCCCCAACCCCCAAAGTGCCTTCTTCCCGAATCGTTTCGTTTCACCTCCATTCCGCTTGCAAGGCATCCAGCAAAGCACATCTGCACTTCCCGCCCCAACATTGCGTCGGACATTACTTGGCAATGCCCACTGCCATCCATCACCGCCCGAACGTCCCTCCGCTCCGCACATCCACCGTGGTCCGTACAGACTATGCGCGCCGCGCTGTCCTTCCTTTTCCCCCCTGCCATACGCGCTGACAATTCAGCCCCCCCCCCCCCCGCCCAATCCCGTCTCGTCCCGTCCCGTCCCATCAACCAAGTGAATATTCCTCCTCACTGCGCCTTCATTCCCCTCCCCAATTCTTCCCCTTCCCCCCTCCCACTTCCCCGACTGTCTCCGCCCATCAGCAGCCATGGCTGCTCGCGCCATCGCCGTCCTCTGTAGGACCGTTCGGAACAATATTTCGTGAACCAATCAACATTAGCAGTTCACCCGTAAACACGATGTCGTATGACTGATGCGGTGAGCACACGCAGGAGCCAGCCTTCGCGACTGTCGGACCAGATGCTTATTATGGAATCCTTGCTAACTGAGTTGCGATAGCCCTGAGCACTAGGTTTGCGAGTTACCACCATCCCCGTTCTGAAAGCTCAACAGATTTCGTTCCCTTGGCGCCGTCAAGCACTAGGCGGCGGAGCGAAGGGCACTTGAAGTGACTCTAGTAGGGGTCTTGAAGTGACTCGAGGGCTCTTGAAGTGACTTTAGGGTTCTCCTTATTTCCCGTCCAAAGTGCCTAGCGCAAATTCTCGACTCGCGCGGAAGTGAAAGATGAGCATCACTGTGACTATCATTTCGACGCGGTAATCCCGTTTGTACGAGCCGAGTACAGAAGACAGCAGTCGGAGAGGCGAGGCAGCCGATGATACAGTATTAACGACGCAGACAGCTGTATCAGCCTTCGTAAACAGAAGAACTCGTATGGTATAAAGGTTGGAATTTTAGAACGTATTAAGTATTTCCGGCGGCGGTCAGGAGTGGCGGTCAGGAGTGGCGGTCAGGAGTGGCGGTCAGGAGCGGCGGGTATCATGGCCAACGCGGCGTCAGTAGACGCCATGACGCCATTCCCGCTGTCCTCCGCACCTGCCGTTTTCGCTTACGATGCCCGCGCGGCTGCGACTGCTCCCACTTCCGCCTTCAACTCCCCCGTCGACCTGCCTCAGCCGCAGCGGCAGCAGCAGCCCCCGCCACAGCAGCCAGCCTTGGGGCATCAACCGCATGTCGCCACGCTCATTGCGGCTTCCCCCACAACCAATCCCGCTTCCGCCGCCTCCCCCGTTTCGAACATCTCCGCCGACCCGCCGCAGCACCCGCATCAGTCGCAGAATCCGCATCAGCCGCAGCCGCAGCAACCTCTTTCGCGCCTCCAGGCGCACGCCATGCTCATCGCCGCCGCCACAGGCCGCGTCGCGCTGCCCAATCTTTCCGCCGCTCGTCCCCCCGCGACTCACAGCGAGAATGTTAGCGACGATAATCGCGTCGAAAACGGCTACCTGACGATTAGCAACGGCAAGACTGATATACGCGATACTGTCAGCATCGGTACTCGCAGGAGCGTGGCCTCAGCGTCGCACGGCAACTCCGTCGCGCCGCCGGAGCCCGCGACGGCAGCGACGACAGACGCGTGCGACGCGCCGGCTTATAACGGAACGGCTTTTAACGAAGCCGCGACGTCAGTTCGTGCGTCCCGTCCGCCGCCGGCACAGCAACCGGCCGGGTCGGCAGCGTCCGGCAGCAGAGGCGCGAGCGGCACGAACGAACGGAGTGACAACGGGGGTGGCGACACGAACGGGGGAAGCGGTGCCAATGGCAGCTGCGGCGGTGGCTGCGGACTCGGCGGCGGATACAGCGGCGGCTCGGGCGGCGCTTTTGACGGCGGCTCTGGCGGCGGCGATGGGTACAGCAGCGCGAAGGCCGCGTCGGCATTCTTTATCAACACGAAGTCGCTTCTTTCCTCGACGGATCTTAGAGCCGACACGAATACTAGCGGCTCCGCTCACCCTTGCCGGACACCCTTGGTCCGCGAAAACTCATTACTAGCCCAAGGAAACTTGTCAGTACGCGGTGGTGACGTCATAGCCGGGAAAAACTCCGCAAATTTCGGAGACGCGATAACCCGACTGTTTTCAAACGCCGTGGCGGCGCCGTCTTTGCCGCCGCCTGTGCCGCCGCTGATGCCGCAGCCCTTCGAACGATCTTCTCCGCCCATTCCAACGTTTTCCGCTCCGCCCTCCCGAACCAGCGGCGAACCTGCCGAGCCTCCTCCCGAACCACTTTCCGAACCTCTTTTCGAGTCTCGCTCCTGGCCTTCCATTCCCGAACCTCTCCAGCCGTCGCATGCACTCCCTCTGCCCGCGTCCGCCGCCCCATCCGCTTCCCATTTACCCGCGGCTCTGGCGGCGCTTCTGGGCATGACACGTGGCACGGATCCGCTACAGTTCATGGGAATCGAACGGCGGCGGAACGACCTGCTGCGAGCTGCGGCATCGGCGCGCAGCGCCTGCGGCGTCCCGTCGGTCAACTGCCCGTCGCAAAGCAATATCGTCTCGCAGATCTCCTCCCATCCGTCCGATTCGCTCTCATCTCATCCGTTCGAGTCGCTCCCCGCTGCGCCGTCATCCGCGGCGCTTCCGTGTCTGCCGCGGCCCGCTTTCGGAGGGTCGCAGCGCCCCGTCTCTCCGCCATTCTCCGCGGCCGCTTCCGCTCCCGCCGGCTCCGGGGAAGGCAGAACAGCAACAGCAACAGCAACAGCGGCACCCACAACGGAGAAAGGGGAAGGGGAGGGGGGAGGGGAAGCAGCGGGAAGTCACGAGGGGAAACGGGGAGCGGGAGCGGCGTGGGTTGCGCAGACTCCGCGCGAGGAGGATATCAACGAGTGGCTGGCTAAGGTGCTGGGGCCGGGGGGCTTGCAGGCACGCGGGGGGGGGATGCAGCGGCGGGAGCAAGCAGACATGGGGACGGTGCGCGGGCAGGAGGCGCAGCAGAACGCCTCGGCGGCTGGAAGCGCCGGACGGTTGGGCCAGGGGGAAGGGCGCGCAAGGGAGGGGGTCCGGGTCCGGGTGGAGCAAGGTGGGGAAGGTGGCGGAGGTGGAAGCGGGTGGGGTGGAGGGTTGCTTTCAGGGAGCGTTCAGCTTTTGGCTGCGAGTCAGGGGTTACATGCGAGTTTGGGGTTGAATTCGGGACAGGATACAGCATTCGACGAGGCTGCTACTTTGGCTGCTGCGGTTCGTTCCAGCCACGCAGCAAACGGTTCCAGGAGAATGCCGATTGGTCAAGGAGGCTTGACGTTTGGATCGTTGGGTGCGGCAGAGGTCGGGTTGGGTGCAGCAGGGTTAGGTGCGGTTGGGAACAATGTGATGATGGGAGGACGGGATGCGATGGCAGCAGCAGCAGCAGCAGCAGCAGCAGCGGTGCAGGGGGTGTATCAGCAGGCGCTGTTGGATCGATTCAGGCAGGGGCAGCAGGCGAGTAGCTTGCGCTCTGCCATGGCCACTCTTGCTGCCGCTGCTGGTGGTGCTGGTGGGGCTGCTGCTGCTGCTGCTGCTGCTGCTGCTGCTGCTGCTGCTGCTGCTGCTGCTGCTGCTGCTGCTGCTGCTACTCTTCCCGCTTGTGTTGTCAGTGGCGGTGGCAGTGGCAGTGCAAGCTCCAGTGCCGCTGCTCATGCTTGTGCTGGCAACGGTGCTGTCAATGCTGCTGCCAGCAGTGCTGCCAGTGCACACGTTCTACAACAGCACGATGGCATGCAGTTAAAGCGGCAATTATCAGCAGCAGGAGCAGCCTTTGCTCTTCATGCTTCCGCACTGCCTCTCCCTGAACGTGCTGCTGCTGATGCGTCTGGGTGTGAGAGCGCTCCTCTGAGGGATGGTGTGTCCGGGTGTCCCGGTGTGTCACTAGGTCAGTGGGACTCGTGGGAGCTGTAGCAGCCTGCCACTGTAGAGGAGCTTGTGCTGCAGCAGTGCAATAAAAGGTGAGCTTCCCGTCCCTCCTCACCTCTCATCTCCTCTCCTCTACTCCCATCTCTCCCCTCCTCTCCTCTCCACCCCTCTCCCCTCCTCTAATCGGTGCTCCGTGATTTTTTCTCGACATTCCTCTCCTCTGCTGCTGCCGTTCAACCCTGTAATCAAGCTTTGTTCGTATATTTGTTTGGCTGTCAATCGCACACTAATGTGGAAAATCGATGTGAGTATACGCTCCAGTAAACTGTTCTCCTGTTGTGCTCTCTTGTGGACTGTTTGTCTTTGCCAGAAAACTAGCTGCTCTCCATGAGACAGTATTCAACGAGCAAAATAGACAGCGCCTGCTCTAGGTAACAGAATCTCTTGTCCAAGTTACGCACACATGGAGAGCCACACATACAAGGAGCATGTGGATATTAGTTTGTACAGGAAGTATGAACATTCCCTGAATAGGCTGCAAAGACGGCCAGTAAACTAGCCCTACAGACATCACTGTATTTGCCTTAATAGTAGACTTGGGCTATAAGGCTGTCATAATTATGCACTTGTGTTTTTGCCACTGTTGTGCAATCTTCTCATTCGTACTTCTATTGCACTCGTAACAGTTCTGGACGGTTTATGTGAACTTCCCATGTCCCATGTCGTCGCTTATCGCGTTCCCTTGGTCCCAACTTCTGATTGTTTATCGCGTTCCCGCGATTCGGGTTTTCCATCGTTGAAGCTCGGCGGGTACACACCCAGATCTCCTCATATTTCTCAGCGTTTTCGATGGTGACCCTTATGTTTGAGGGATCCTGTAAATCAAGGATTCGGACACTACTCACACGATGATACTCCAAAAGAAGCAGCCATTGCTAATCCCAAAATCAGGTCTAGGCGGAAGTTAAAAGCCATAGGAGTCGGAAGTTCAGATCAGTACGATGGTACACCTTTCTGAATCACGAACGCGAAAAAGGTCACTGAAAAAAACAATACGGAACGCGTTCTATGTCATCGGAATGCAATTGCATCCTGGTCGGGACTCAAATGTTTAGTCCCTGTCGGCGTTTCGACTTTGGTGCAGCTCGGTTGTTACCATTTTTCGACGGTCCTGCGCAAGGTAGCTGCATTGTTCTACGGTAATTGCAAATGTGGCACTGACTTGCCATTGCAATAATTCACTTCGTTTCTGCCCCTTGGATTGTTGGCGTTCCACTCTCGCAATTTTCTGCTTATGTTTGCTCGGTTCAGCTGACAAGCATTTTCATCCATCAACTACTAGCTGAAGGTCTCGCATAGCGATTGCTGGAATGTCTGGCTCTGCAGCAACTGATGCCGCGGCCCCGCAGCAGCCGCCAATTCACAATAGCGACCAAGTTACCGTCGACAATGTAGACGACGACTACGAATACTCCATCGACGACAGCAACGACGATGACGACACATTCTCAACGTCGTCATCAGAGGACCTCACGACCGAGGTCGAAGAGCTCAAACGCGACGCCGCCAGCAAGAATTTCTCGCCTTCCTCCGACGCAGCCTCCGCCTACTCAACCTCCGCGGCCCCCGCCTCTGTGCTGACCTTCTGCAACATCTGCTACTCCGTCTCCGTCAAGCAGCGCAAGGGGGAGACTTCCGCGGCTGCCGGCCCGCAGTTCGCGCGGCAAGACAGCACGCTCGCGAATTTCGCTGGATTGCCGCCTCAGCCGGGCATTCAAGAGCCGCCGGTTTCTGCGGCCGCGGCGCAAGCGGATGGCGGTGCAACTGGAGGCGGCGGGATCGCCGACAAATTCCGGCGAAAGCGCGTTCGGCGGCAGATTCTGACCGGCGTGAACGGCGAGGCGCGGTCGGGGGAGGTAACGGCGATCATGGGCGCAAGCGGAGGCGGAAAGACGACGCTGCTGAACATCCTGGCGCAGCGGATCTCGTCTGGGCGGCGGAGGGGGACGGTGGAGCTGGACGGTGCGGAGGTGAGCGCGGGGATGATGCGGCGCGTCTCCGCGTACGTGATGCAGGACGACGTGCTGTTTCCGTCGCTCACGGTGCGCGAGACTCTCATGTACGCCGCAGAGCTGCGCCTGGAGCCGCGATTCACGCGACGCGAGAAGGAGGAGAAGGTCGCGCGGCTCATCGACATGCTCGGGCTCGCGAAAGTGGAGAACTCGCCTATTGGGGGGGAGACAAAAAGGTGGGCATTCTGTCATCAACGAGAGGTCCCATAATATCCGCGTTTGAGAATGAAGACTAAATCAGGTGCAACCCCAAACCACGAATTTACACCCATAAATTTTATTCTTGTCACTTTGTGTATCATTTCGCAGAGGCGTTTCTGGCGGTGAGCGAAAGCGAGTGGCGATCGGGGTGGAGATGGTGAGCGACCCGAAGATTCTGTTTCTCGACGAGCCAACTTCGGGGCTCGATTCGACCAGTGCTTACCGCGTCGTACGCGCTATGAAGTCCGTCGCGATTCAAACTTCGAGCATCTGCATGATGGTCATCCACCAGGTGAGTGGGCCCATAAATCTAAGCGTGTTATTTTTTATGCAACAAATTGAGCCTAGACCAAATACACTTCACGAATAACCCACTTCCGTTTTCGTTTTCTTGAATTGAGTATCTTTTCAGCCATCGTATCGCGTACTGTGCGTCATCGACAAACTACTCCTCCTAGGCGTCGGCCAGACGGCCTATCTAGGCCCACCTTCCGGCCTCCCGCATTTCCTCGCCTCGCTGGGAAGCCCGGTCCCTGAGGGCTCGAACAGCACAGAGCATGGCTTGGATGTCATGGCCGTGTTGCAAGCCCAGGGTGTTACCGACATCCAGGCCTACGCCCAAGCCTGCCGGGAAGGCGTGGCCGACCCAGTGGCGGCGGCTCGGAAACCGTTGGAGGTTCCACGTGATACGGTTGATCCAAAGTCTTCCAAGGGAATGTCTGCCTGGGGTGGACGGGTGGGGAATGAGGAAGAGCCGAAGGGCAGGGAATTTGCAAACGGATGGTTTCGGGAGCTGTGGGTGCTGACGAGGAGGGCCACAACGAACATCATGCGCACTCCTGCACTGTACCTGCTGAGGCTCGCGCTCATCCTTATCGCGGGTCTGCTTCTAGCGATCCTGTTCTGGAGGCCAGCCGAAACGTGAGTGGAGTTCCCAAGGTGGGTGGGCAAATCTGGTGCTAGGCTGTGGGCTTTTGAGCAAAAGAGTGGAGGATAACGGGTGAGGTACAAGAAGCAGGACTAATTCAGTTTTTCTTTGTTATTTATTCCAACCCCCGTTGCGCCATTGGTGGGCTTGCAGGCCCGAGGGACTTATCATTCGGCTGTCCTTCCTGTCATGCGCTTGCTGCATTGTCTTCTTCACCTCCTGCGATGCCGTCCCGATATTTATAGAGGTATGATTACTCAAGCCGATTTACCAAGCGAGAAATGTCATGTCTTGGTTTCAAGATTTTGTTATTTGAAACATTCTGTTTACATTACACTTGCTGCTGCAGTCAAGGAGGAATGTTCAAGTCACCCACTTCGGATATGATTGTCGTTATGTGCTCATTGAAGTGCGTTCTAATACATCTATTCACGTGCACCCTCCTTGCTCTCTCCAACCTCCTTTCACCCTGCTGTACCGCTCAGGAATCTGCAATTTTCGTGAGGGAGTCGGCCAATAACGCGTACAGGCCATCAACTTACCTCGTGTCATCAACCCTAGTCTACCTGCCACTGCACTTCCTCATGGCCTTGCTTCTCACCGCCGTCTCCTGGTGGAGCATCAGCCTTGCGGGCGGCGCCGAGGGGTTCTTGTTCATGGTGGTGGCGTTTTTTGTCATGTTCTTCGCAGCCAATGCCATCGCGACATGTGTCAGCATATGTGTCAAAGAGTGAGTGGCTTGGGTTTCATATGGAGGTGATTTGTGAAACGTTTGGTCATAACTCCTCTACTGAGCTGCCTTATTGTCACGGGCATTGCGTCTGCCAAAGATGCATACAACACGAACATAGCAAATGAGGAAAAAGAAGGGGAAAAGAACTGCAAATCTTCACCCTCGTTTGCTCTCCCGCATGCCCCCTGTAGCAAACAGCTATTGGACGCAAGCATTCTACTCACCTTTTAGCTATATGCATTCTCCTCTCCCCCCTGATCATTTCTATTTTCCCATCCAGCATGGTACTTCATTCATTTTTCAACAATCATATCCTCCCATTCTGTGTTGTTCATATTTCCCCACATCACCGTCCCCGTCCCTTGCAGTGTCGTCCTGGCATATGCAACCGCCATTGCAATAATGTCCTACTTCTACCTCGTTAGTGGCTATTACGTTACAAGGAAGCAAATGTCCATGGCGCTTATATGGCTACACTACATCTCACCCTTCAAATACGCTTACGAAGCTCTCGCTATCAATCAATTTGACAGGTGAAGTGCAACCTACGCCCTTCTTCCTCCCCGCTTTACTCCCTTAACGTTCTCCCACAACCCCCCTCGATTGCTCTCAATAACTCGCTGCTGGGTTACATTTCCCTCCAATCAATTATGTTTCCAGATATTATTCTTCCGCCCTCCTTACTGTCTCTCCCATCCCATCTCTTCTCTCTGGTCCCATCTCTTCTCAGCTATCCCATATCTTCCCTCTCATCCCATCTATCCTCTCTCTCATCCCATCTATCCTCTCTCTCATCCCATCTATCCTCTCTCTCATCCCATCTATCCTCTCTCTCATCCCATCTATCCTCTCTCTCATCCCATCTATCCTCTCTCTCATCCCATCTATCCTCTCCCTCATCCCATCTATCCTCTCTCTCATCCCATCTATCCTCTCTCTCATCCCATCTATCCTCTCCCTCATCCCATCTATCCTCTCTCTCATCCCATCTATCCTCTCCCTCATCCCATCTATCCTCTCTCTCATCCCATCTATCCTCTCTCTCATCCCATCTATCCTCTCTCTCATCCCATCTATCCTCTCCCTCATCCCATCTATCCTCTCTCTCATCCCATCTATCCTCTCTCTCATCCCATCTATCCTCTCCCTCATCCCATCTATCCTCTCTCTCATCCCATCTATCCTCTCCCTCATCCCATCTATCCTCTCTCTCATCCCATCTATCCTCTCTCTCATCCCATCTATCCTCTCTCTCATCCCATCTATCCTCTCCCTCATCCCATCTATCCTCTCTCTCATCCCATCTATCCTCTCTCTCATCCCATCTATCCTCTCCCTCATCCCATCTATCCTCTCTCTCATCCCATCTATCCTCTCTCTCATCCCATCTATCCTCTCCCTCATCCCATCTATCCTCTCTCTCATCCCATCTATCCTCTCTCTCATCCCATCTATCCTCTCCCTCATCCCATCTATCCTCTCTCTCATCCCATCTATCCTCTCTCTCATCCCATCTATCCTCTCTCTCATCCCATCTATCCTCTCTCTCATCCCATCTATCCTCTCCCTCATCCCATCTATCCTCTCTCTCATCCCATCTATCCTCTCTCTCATCCCATCTATCCTCTCCCTCATCCCATCTATCCTCTCTCTCATCCCATCTATCCTCTCCCTCATCCCATCTATCCTCTCTCTCATCCCATCTATCCTCTCTCTCATCCCATCTATCCTCTCCCTCATCCCATCTATCCTCTCTCTCATCCCATCTATCCTCTCCCTCATCCCATCTATCCTCTCTCTCATCCCATCTATCCTCTCTCTCATCCCATCTATCCTCTCCCTCATCCCATCTATCCTCTCTCTCATCCCATCTATCCTCTCTCTCATCCCATCTATCCTCTCCCTCATCCCATCTATCCTCTCCCTCATCCCATCTATCCTCTCTCTCATCCCATCTATCCTCTCCCTCATCCCATCTATCCTCTCTCTCATCCCATCTATCCTCTCCCTCATCCCATCTATCCTCTCTCTCATCCCATCTATCCTCTCTCTCATCCCATCTATCCTCTCCCTCATCCCATCTATCCTCTCTCTCATCCCATCTATCCTCTCTCTCATCCCATCTATCCTCTCTCTCATCCCATCTATCCTCTCTCTCATCCCATCTATCCTCTCCCTCATCCCATCTATCCTCTCTCTCATCCCATCTATCCTCTCTCTCATCCCATCTATCCTCTCCCTCATCCCATCTATCCTCTCTCTCATCCCATCTATCCTCTCCCTCATCCCATCTATCCTCTCTCTCATCCCATCTATCCTCTCTCTCATCCCATCTATCCTCTCCCTCATCCCATCTATCCTCTCTCTCATCCCATCTATCCTCTCCCTCATCCCATCTATCCTCTCTCTCATCCCATCTATCCTCTCTCTCATCCCATCTATCCTCTCCCTCATCCCATCTATCCTCTCTCTCATCCCATCTATCCTCTCTCTCATCCCATCTATCCTCTCCCTCATCCCATCTATCCTCTCCCTCATCCCATCTATCCTCTCTCTCATCCCATCTATCCTCTCCCTCATCCCATCTATCCTCTCTCTCATCCCATCTATCCTCTACCTCATCCCATCTCCCCTCTCTCTCATCCCACCTCTCCTCTCCCTCATCCCACCTCTCCTCTCCCTCATCCCACCTCTCCTCTCCCTCATCCCATCGCTCCTCTCTCATCCCATCTCCTCCTCTCTCATCCCATCTCTCCTCTCATCCCATCTCTCCTCTCATCCCATCTCTCCTCTCTCATCCCATCTCTCCTCTCTCATCCCATCTCTCCTCTCTCATCCCATCTCTCCTCTCTCATCCCATCTCTTCCCCCCCATCCCGTCTCTCCTCTCTCATCCCACGTCATCACTCCCAGGCCGAGCCCCTGCTACCTGAATGTCACTGACTCCTTCCCCAACTTTTCTGGAAACACCCCCACCATACCCACGTCACTCTCTAACTCACCGAGTATCCCTCCAAGCCCACCCGGAGCCTCTCCAGCCCCAACCCCAGAGCAGCTGCAGACCCAGCTCCTCTCCACCGCACTCTTCACAAACCCGCTTCGCGAGTCAGCTCTTGGCAAGTTGTCCCCTGAAATGAGGGCGACGGTGGAGAGAGGCGGGGGTGATGTGGGCGGGTGTTTGCTCACGGGCCCGCAGCTGCTGGTGAATCGGGCGTTGGATCAATTAGGCAAGTGGGAGTGCTTGGCTGTGCTGCTCGCGATTGGGCTTGCTGTAAAGCTCATCACCTTGTTGCTGCTAGTGAGGCTTCGGCGGGCCAAGCAGAAATAGAGTATGTGGATGTTGGTCTCAAGGATGGTCGAAAGCACAGTGCAGAACGTTTGTGCCGTTTCTAATCGTAATGCAGCTGAGGTGGAAAGGTGAGGTGGGGTGAAAATGCATACTACGGTAACTGTTTGTTGTAATATGTTGTGTTTTGTATCAATGGGCTGCTAGCGTTTGGATCTGTTTGGTGATCAAATCATTCAATGCTATATCTTAGGGAGTTTGCGCAAGGTGATGCATGGTGTAGTGTAAGGGCTCGTAATAGCTTCTATTCTCTGTTTTTCAGTGTGCTTTTGTGTCAGTATGCTTAATAGACCCAGGTTGGCCTTGATTATTTCATGTTTTTTTCAGCCCCCACGATTCTACCGGTTTTTGGTTGGATGCCATATCAGATTTGGTTCTGTAATATTGGGTTATATGGATTCGCCAATTACAATGGCTTGGCTGGTGTGCTTACCTCAATCGCAATTCACCGTCTTCAATCCCCATGTTCGATCGGTCCTGCCTTCAACAATTTTCCTTCCGCATGGCCTTTTTCCCGCCCGAACCCCTTTTGATCCCCCCCAGGTGGGGTTTACTTTTCCTGCCCGCACGGCCCGTTTTCGGTCGTCATCGCTCCTGCCATCAGTCACCCCCGGGTCCTACGGTGGCCGGCTAATCCCCTGAGATATATGCCATGTATGGTGGTACATCTTCGTGGTACATACGCACCATACATGTCTCTCAGGGGATGACGGCGGTATGTATCCCCCGCTCCGCACCTGAAGGCGGAGCGTGAGACATGGATACTTGCAGGAATGACATACGGACAGTACAGAACTTCCCAGATTTCGAAACGCTCCTTGGCGGCGATCAAATAGCTCCCCTAGCTCAGTGTTACAGTACACGATTTCGAAACGTGCGATCTCAATTGGCTCCACTGGCGAATCAGGAAAGTCGCTGTGGGCTGTGATCATAGTACAGCTCGGTTGCACATAGTGTTTCGGTGGTTCTGCGCAAAATAGCGGATCTTAGTGCGGTAATTAGACGAGACAATACTAGAAGCTAGACTTGCTTCGTCCGTCTTCTCATTTGCCAGTGCTGCACCCCAGAACTTCGTCCCTCTCACGCAGTATATCAGATGGTTTGCCGAAAACCATTTTCACTTATCAACCACGACCGCAGAATTTCTCGTCGCGGCCATCACCTAGCCCAGAATGTCTGGCCCTGCAACGACCAATGCCGCAGCCCCGCAGCGGCCGCCGATTCGGAAGAACGACTACGTTACTGTCGACGACATAGACGACGACGACGAGATTTCCAGCGACATCGACGATAACGACGACGACGGAGTTTCCACGTCGTCCGAAGACCTGACGGTCGAGGTCGAAGAGCTCAAACGCGACGCCGCCAGCAAGAAATTCCCGCCTTCCGCCGACCCAGCCTCCGCCGGCCCGGCTTCTGTGCTGACCTTCCGCAACATCTGCTACTCCGTTTCCGTCGCACAGCACAAGGGAGATCCGGCCGGCGCCGGCCCGCAGTTCGCGCGGCAGGACAGCACCCTCGCGAATTTTCCCGGACTGCCGCCTCAGCAGGGCTTTCCAGCATCGATTTCAGTCACGGCGCAAACGGATGACGGTGCAACTGGAACCAGCGGCGCCGCCGCGCCTGACGGCGGCGGGATCGCCGACGGGATGCGCCGGAAGCGCGTTCGGCGGCAGATTCTATCGGGCGTGAACGGCGAGGCGCGATCGGGGGAGGTGACGGCGATCATGGGCGCAAGCGGAGGCGGAAAGACGACGCTGCTGAACATTCTGGCGCAGCGGATCTCGTCGGGGCGGCGGAAGGGGACGGTGGAGCTGGACGGCGCGGAGGTGAGCGCGGGGATGATGCGGCGCGTCTCCGCGTACGTGATGCAGGACGACGTGCTGTTTCCGTCGCTCACGGTGCGCGAGACGCTGCGATACGCCGCCGAACTGCGCTTGGACTCCAAAACTTCGCGACGCGAAAAAGAGCAGAAGGTCGCGAGGCTGATCGACTTGCTCGGGCTGGCGAAGGTGGAAAACTCGCCGATCGGCGGCGAGAGGAAGAGGTGAGCTACCATGATCAGAGGAGGTGAGCCTTGTGTTTCGCTATGATGATCAGGGGTCCATATCCGCTTTTGGAATTTGAAAATATGTTACACCTTATAATGTTTTCATTGTGTTACCTTATGCGTTTCTCGCAGAGGCGTTTCTGGCGGTGAGTGAAAGCGAGTGGCGATCGGGGTGGAGATGGTGAGCGACCCGAAGATTCTGTTTCTCGACGAGCCAACCTCGGGGTTGGATTCAACCAGCGCTTACCGCGTTGTACGCGCTATGAAGTCCGTCGCGATTCAGACTTCGAGCATCTGCATGATGGTGATTCACCAGGTAAGCTCAGAACCACTTACATTCTAGGCCATCTTCCAAGCTGAGGCTCAACAATATTAGTAATTTCAAACACTTCCTGTTATCGAAATTTATTGGTTGTTTGTTTTTCATTTGTTCAGCCGTCTTATCGCGTGCTTTGCCTCATCGACAAGCTCCTTCTCCTCGGCGTGGGACAAACAGCTTATTTGGGTCCACCTGCCGGTCTGCCGCATTTCCTCGCCTCGCTGGGAAGCCCGGTCCCGGAAGGCTCGAACAGCACAGAGCATGGCTTGGATGTCATGGCCGTGTTGCAAGCCCAGGGTGTTACCGACATCCAGGCCTACGCCCAAGCCTGCCGCGAAGGCGTGGCCGACCCTGCGGCGGCGGCTCGGAAACCGTTGCTGGAGGCTCCACGTGTTGGAATAATCAAATCAATCTCTCGGAAGGGGAAAGCGGCCTGGGGACGAGCTGGCTCAGAAAAGGACAAGGTGGGGCATGTGGATGAGCCGAAGGAGCGACAATTTGCGAACGGATGGTTTCGGGAGTTGTGGGTGCTGACGAGGAGGGCTACAACCAACATCATTCGCACTCCTGCACTGTACCTGCTGAGGCTCGCGCTCATCGTTGTAACGGGCCTGCTTCTATCGATTCTGTACTGGAGGCCAGCGGAAACGTGAGTTGAATTGCCGAGGCGACTGATCAGGTCTGGTTCTTGGTTTGGTAATGGATGGTCCGGTCTGGTGTTAGGCTAGGAAATGCTTGTCTAGGTCTGGTTTTGGGCTGTGTGTTGTAGGGGAAATGAGTGGAAAACACTGAATAGGGAACAATAAGAAGGAAATAATTTGTTTCAACTCTTCCTTCCGTTCCCATTGCCGCATGGCTGTTTTGCAGGCCCGAGGGACTTGTGATTCGGCTGTCATTCCTGTCATGCGCCAGCGGCATTGTGTTCTACTCCTCGTGCGACGCTGTCCCGATATTCATCGAGGTAAGCTCAGGTGGACCATGCACCGACGTGCCGACCCTGAGGGGGTGATGGTGTGCTGAGTCGATTTTTTGAGTCGACTCAAAAACCGACTCATCACGTGCCGACCCTGAGAGGGTGATGGTGTGCTGAGTCGATTTTTTTAGTCGACTCAAAAACCGACTCATCACGTGCCGACCCTGAGAGGGTGATGGTGTGCTGAGTCGATTTTTTTAGTCGACTCAAAAACCGACTCATCACGTGCCGACCCTGAGAGGGTGATGGTGTGCTGAGTCGATTTTTTGAGTCGACTCAGAAACCGACTCATCACGTGCCGACCCTGAGAGGGTGATGGTGTGCTGAGTCGATTTTTTTAGTCGACTCAAAAACCGACTCATCACGTGCCGACCCTGAGGGGGTGATGGTGTGCCTCTCATTCTGACTTGACGCCTGCACTGTCTTGTTGCTGTTATAAGATGCCGTGTCTGGAACCTGACCTGATGCCGTGGCTCTTTGAGGGAGCTGCTGCGCTCATTAAGCGCTGTTTAATTCATCCAGTTTTGAAGTGGGTTTTGTTCTGTGCTCATTCAAATATTGAATATGACATTCCTTCTCATGCATCCTCCCTGACCTTTTCCTGACCTCTTCCTTACCTCTCCCCGACCTCTCCCTGACCTCTCCTTGAACTCTCCCTGACCACTCCCTGACCTCTCCCCAACCTCTTTCTGACCTCTCCCCGACCTCTCCCTGACCACTCTGACCTCCTTTCACCCCGCTCAGGAATGCGCAATATTCGTAAGGGAGTCAGCCAATAACGCGTACAGGCCATCAACCTACCTAATGTCATCAACCATAGTCTACCTGCCGCTCCACTTCCTCATGGCCTTGCTTCTCACCGCCGTCTCCTGGTGGAGCATCAGCCTCGCAGGCGGCGCTGAGGGGTTTTTCTTCATGGTGGTGGCGTGTTTTGTCATGTTCTTCACAGCCAATGCCATCGCGACATGTGTCAGCACATGTGTCAAGGAGTAAGTGGTTCGGGCTGCATATTGTGGTAGGTTGTTTCATTTCTCAACAAGTAGTTTCCTAAGTGGGTTTTTATCTGTAATGAAATTTATGCATCAGTTTTGTGCAACTGTGTTTGTCACTGTGTTGTGATAAAATCTGTGAGCACCCTTATTGCCATTGTACTGTCACTGTCTTGCGTGTCTATGCTTCTTCTCATTTTCCCTCTCTCATGCCTCACGATATTACTTTCCAGCTCAATGGTTATCCCTTCTCCAGCTAATGAGTCCCGTTTCCCCATCCAGCATGGTACATATGTGCCAATCACCAGACATTGCTTCCCGCTCAGTGTTGTTCGCATTTCCTCTCATCACCACCCCTTGTACCTCGCAGCGTCGTCCTGGCATATGCACTCGCCATCTCAATCATGTCTTACTTCTACCTCGTTAGTGGCTTCTACGTTACAAGGAAGCAAATGCCTGCCGTGCTCATATGGATGCACTACCTGTCGCCCTTCAAATACGCGTACGAAGCTCTCGTCATCAACCAATTCGGCAGGTGAGGCCGAGGTTATTCGCCAGGTGAGGCCGAGGTTATTCGCCAGGTGAGGCCGAGGTTATTCGCCAGGTGAGGCCGAGGTTATTCGCCAGGTGAGGCCGAGTTTATTCGCCAGGTGAGCTGCATCGTATCCATTCTTCCTCCCAATCTCCTCCCGTAGCAAATCCCCCTCAGCTTTCCTCTCCCATGAAGCTCTCGTCATCAACCAATTCGGCAGGTGAACTCCAGGCCTACGCGTTTCTTCCTCCGACTTTCCTTCCCAATCATCTCCCCCTCTCTCCTCTAAGCGTCTCCCCTAGTTCTCTACTCTTCCTCTGCAAGATTCCTCCCCATTCCACTCTGTGTATGTTCCCTTTGTGAGCTAGGTTGAACATGTTCCTTGCACACAAGTTAGCACGCTGCAACCTGCTTTCATTTTCATACACATCCATTTCCAAAGTTTTCATTTTCATGCACATCCATTTCCAAAGTATACATTTTCGTACACATCCATTTCCAAAGTTGACATGTTCATACACATCCGTTTCCAATGTCACACCTGCCCTCCCAGCACGTTACTCACTTTCCACTCTCGATCCCTCTCCTCCCTTCCTCTCCCAGGCCAACCCCCTGCTACCTGAGTGTCGCTGATTCCATGCCGAAACTTCCCAACAACACGAACCTTCCCAACAACACCACGCTCAGCGTACCCAGTTCTCTAAACAGCTCACTCGCCATGCCCCCAACCCCACCCACCGGCAACTCCTCACTCACCGCAACGCCAGCGCAGCTGCAGAGCCAGCTGCTCTCCGAGCTCCTTATAAACCCGATTCCCGAGTCAGCTCTTAGCGGGTTGTCTCCCGAGATGAGAGCGCAGGTGGAGGCGGCTTCGGGAGGGTGCTTGCTCTCAGGCCCGCAGCTGCTTGTGTCTCGGTCGGTGGATCAGCTCGGCAAGTGGGAGTGCCTGGCTGTGCTGCTCGCGATCGGGCTTGCTGTGAAGCTGATTACCTTGCTGCTGCTGGTGAGGCTTCGGCGGGCCAAGCATAAATAGAGAATGTGGGTTTGGATGGGGAGAAGCTTATTGCAGCTCGGCTTTGCCCCTTAGCTGAAGGAGATAGGAATGCAGCTGGACTGGAAGTGGGGTTTTTGGGCATGCATTGTTGTAACACTATTTTGTATCAATAGTAATTTTATTGGGAGCTCACGTCATGGTTAGGGAGATGGTAACGCAAGGTACAACAAGTTACAGTAGATGGTTCCAACAAGAATATTTTGGTATGGTTTGCATTGCACCATCCCATTAAAGTACTGGCTATCCTACCCGTAAGACCCCCCCGAAATAGAAAACCCCCGGGTAGCGATTATGGGGGCGATACTATATTACCGTATCGCCCCGGATATAACCGCAGGCCTATGTTAAGTGCATGCGCTTCTATCTGGAGCAATGCGCTTATGGCCGATCCTCAATTAGAAGCGCACCCTCTAAAAAAACGTTACTTATTATAAGCGCACCCTTGCTGTATAGAATATATGTTGTTTTTTTCACTTTCTTTACAACCTACGTAGAAACTACATTTCTCTAGCTAAAAAATTCAACTAAAATTTTCAAGTAAAATACATTAGACTAGAATCATAGCCTACACACCATTTTCAAGATTAGTCTAGCCTAAGGTCTACTCCTCGTCCGATTCAGGCTCAGTGGAGTTGTTGCCAAAGAACCCGTCTGCTTGGATGTCGTCATCAACCTCCACCTCGTGGGACAGCTGACCTCTCCGGTGCGCCAGCACCAGTCCGTCTTCACTCCCGTCAAGGGCATAGCTGATGCCGCAGGTGAGGAACGCACGCTTAATCAGGTCGGCGGGCACAGCTTTCCACGCCCGTAAAATCCACTTGAGCACCACCTCCGGAGGTGGTTTCTTGATGTTCCCTGCGCCACATACACGGGGGTGGGAAACACGTGAGTTCGTTCACAAGCAGGCAGACAAGCGAGCGAAGCGGTCACGGGAGAACACTTGGCGTACCTGCGGGTGTCAGGAGGTTCATGCCGTCCTGCTCGAACCAGGTCTGGTACTGCTGCCGAACACTCGCCTTTAAGCTTTTGTTGACCGACACATCGAGCGGCTGCAAGTCTGCCGTGCATCCAGCCGGGATGACCGCCGGCACGATGTTGAGTTCCGCGAACTTCGCCTTGACTTCGGGTGTCAGGTGCCCACGATAGGAATCGAGCACCAGCATGGCGCTCCGGCTCTGCAATCCGAACTTCGGTTTCAGGAACGGCACCACGCCTGCACCGAGCCACTCGATGACGTCCGAGGCCTCCATCCACCCGTTAGCTTGGCAGCCGACCACGACATCTGCATACAAGCAAGCGGTGGTTAGATTATAGTTTTGTTTTTCCCCTCGGAAACACGCGCATACGCAGCTTCTTACCGTTCGGGAAGTCACCCTTTGGGAGGGTCTTGCGCTTGAAAAACACCCACGGCTTCAACTTCTCGCCCGACGCCGTGCACGCCAGCATCACAGTGACCCTCTCTTTCTGGTAACCACCGCTGCGGATGGGCACCGACTTCACGCCCGTCTGCTCCACCGTGGTAGTCGCCGGCATCTCCAGCCACAAGGGCGTCTGGTCGGCATTGATGATGTAACGGTTGTCGATGTCGTACTCGTGGCGTGCGTCGCGGACAAACTGCCAAAACTCCTTGCACTGCTTTGCCACGTCTACGCACGGGGAGGGAGGGACGGTTAAAAGGGAGGATGAGCACGCTACAGTTAAACAGACATGGGCAAGAAAGTTGACATTAATACAAGATAGAATTTCACGATAGGATGACAGTGCACGGACAGGCACTTACGCTGCTGTGTCTTTTGCGCCACCTTTGTTTTCATGCGCACGGTGAGATTCCACCGCTTGCGG